CCGCAGAACTCCTCCCAACAGATCCTAAGAGTGCAAGCACCTGCTAAAAAGGCACACGAAAGTCGATGGCACAATTCCTGAAACGTGTGGATATGGCAGTAAAAGGGTTCGACTAGACGAAAAGGGGGGAGGGGGGAATTGTGCCATGTACTCTCACCCAAGTAGAATAAGATTCTTTCTGGGGGCGGTTGTGCATCTGGCTGGTGATTGGACACCTCCATTTTAATTACAACCGTTTGCTCCTTGGCAAGTGGGCAAATGGTTATACCCTGCTCGTTTGCTCGTCCTCCGAAAGCCGCCAGGTACTCTCGTGGGCGTTTTAAGGGAACCCAGAAGGACATCCAAGCCCCAATCCCGCGGATGTGGTTTCTCAACCTGTTCAACCACAAGTGACACTTGAAGGGCTTCAAAGCCGTTACACATCCCAAAAAGACAGAGCTGAGAAGAGTGCGAGAGAGAGAGGGTTAAAAAAAGCAAAACGAAAAGTCCTCTCACCTTCGGCTGCAGGAAAAAATCAACTACCACCGGTGACCAGAGAGGAGGCTGAAACTCTTGACCCTCCAAGTGGCGATCGTTCGCTGGCTGCCCTGTTCGAGGCTGTCCCCAAGTTTGCTCATCTTATTTGAGTTTCTTTCCATTCATGCCCTCTGTTCTCCTTCGCGCTCTCCAGTAAATACTACCTTTGGGGGTGCTGAACAGGGGTTCAAACAATGCCCGGCCCTTTGGGCCTTTTTGGGAAGATTAAACTTATAGGCCACTTCGCACTCGGGGACGCCTTTGCGGTGGCGACACATCCCCGCCCCAAAGCGCAGACTTGGCTCGAGGCACATACTGACGGAGGTCCGACAGCTTCTTCAGCACTGCGTTGTACTCTGCCCAGTTCACCTTCTTTGTGATAGTCGCCTAAGTGGGCGTGGTTTGTTAACACAAAGTTTACAGCTTGCCAACCCAACGGGAAAGGGAAGCCCAAATGAAAAGAGGCGTAACTGGAAGGCGCCGACCCTTGGAGAAAAGGTACCATGTCTTCGTGGGGCTAAACACTTTCAGTGCAGAGCCTCACACCCCACCCACTAACATAGAACCTGACTCGGGATGCCTGAGCTATCCTGAGCTAATTTCTATGATGAAGTGACCCTCGGGTGTTTTGGGTAAGTTGAACACAAAGGGACACCTCCGGATCAGAGTTTTGCCCGACCCTCAACAGGCAAGGCTCCGGGACCTACGAACTAGGGTCCAACTTCTGGGGCACGCCCAAAGAATAAACTAAACATGCCGTTCCTATGATGATTCCTTCACCGTGGCCTCATGATTTTACCATGATCAAAGTGACCTCCTAAGTGGTGGGCTAAGGGAAACAACCCGAGAAACCGTCCAAAAAATGACCCCAGTCACTTTGCCCTTGAACACCCCAAACCCAACTCTGATCCCTTAGGAGTATAGATCGAAAAACCCGAAGCTAGCTCTCAGCTCTGGCGCCTGCAGATCGACCACTTCCTCTCGCTTGGAGAACATCGCCAGGCACTTGCCTAGGAAAGGGAAGGGTTGGTGAAATGTGGCAACACTCCGCCAAGCTGGCAATAAGAATCAGACTTTTTTAAGTCAGGGACCTTAAAATTCGGAATGCCGAGTCAGTTATACCGAGCCAATTCCAAGGTCTTTCAACTAGGCCTTCAAGAGGATGTGGGCGACACTGGAACCTGGTGGCCAAGGAGAAACCAATACCAGCAGGATGCACATGATCATGTACATTTTACCCCCTTGACATACAGATTGAACAAGAACAAGGCCAACAGGCAGCGCACAGTGACACACCCACTTCTGGCTCACAAGCCCAAATCCCTTGGCCCTAAAACATCCCAGCCCCGCCCCGAAAAACTCGCCCCGGTCTTGCCGGGCGTCGGTTCGAGTCCTGGAAAGCGTCCTCGATCCGGTTCTCGAACTCCTGACGGATCAACCGAGCGCGAAATGTTCGAGTCTCACCCCTCTTACAGGTTGGGAAACCCGCCTCTTCAGCCAAGAAGTTAAAGGTCAAAGACCCAAGGTCGTGACTTGGCCCGAGTTGTATGGCCGTCTCTGTGTTTGGTTTAGAGGGGAAAGCAAAAAAAAGGGGAAACCCGCCGTCTTTTGCAGGTTCCCTTCTTCTGACACATCCCCCTGTTCTTGAAGGCAAAAACCAGTGGCCCTTTCACAAATACTCGTCCTGGCCATTTCCCGCGTCCTGCATGCCAGGCCCCGGCACCATGCAAAACACCCCGGCCACGTACCCCTTCCCGGCTTCAAACCAATTCGGCTTCATTTTGTTTGTTTCAACCCCATAGCTCACCCAAGGGTGGGGTAAAAACAAAAGGGGAAAAGGGGGGGGGGCGGCCACTTCTTGGGAACCCTTCTGACCAACAACATGGAACCCACCACAGGATTCCTGGATAATCGCCCAGCAGCAAAAACATCTTTTTGGGAACCCTGCTGACCAACATGGAACCCACATCCCTAAAACAAACAATCGAACAACATGGAACCCACCACAAAATTTCAGGAAAGTCGTCGCCCACATGATCCCAGAAAAAGCCTCCCCGAAACTCATCAGGTTCCGCCAATGGCCCGGAAACGACCAAAACGACCCCGGCAAAATTATCCGCGTCCTGAAAGGCGAGGCCCAGAGCCCGCCGCAGGTCCGTCTCCGAGATCATGGACTTCAGCCCCGTCTCCAAGGTCGCCGTCGCCTCCGTCGGCCATCGGCTCGGGGGGGGGGGGCCAAAAGAAACGAGGGAAAAACGAAACGGCGGTTGGATCTTTTGCCCTAAATCTTCGGAGTTGTTTGGAGATGCCCAGTTTTTCAGGATGGCGTTCTGTTGTGGCGCTTTTTCCTGGCGTGTCCCACCTCTTTAAACCCTTTTTTGTTGCTTGGTTTGAGGCACTGGCCGAACCCAAAGGTGCAAAAAACCTCCAGAACCGCCAAAACCCACCTGAGTCGCCGAAGCCAAAACCTATGGTCTGGAGGTGGACATCTGCACCCTCTGGCTGGGACCCAGCTTTGGATGCACAAAATCCAGCTCCAGCGGGGATTGATGAGAACCTATGAAAACTAGGATAGGTCACCTACCAACTGGTACGAGACTTTATCCCAACTCCCCTTGTTGAGTGAGCCCAAATGAGTGATTTCTGGGTTCGGGTGGCTCTTTTCATAAACCTCACGAGGATCAAGCGAGACTGCCGCTTAAAACACGCGTCCGGCTTTCCCCGAGCTCTCTTCTGCTTACAACTCGTTCAAGATCAGATGATATTGGTGAAACGCGGGATGGGTGAAAATCTAGAAACTCTTCTGAGGAGCACTGCTTGTGGGAAAAAGGCGGATGAATCGACACATGACGGCAAAAAGGGTCGGCGTTGGCCAAACGGTGGCGATCTCTCCAGTTGGAACCGCACAAAGTGACACCCGAAACAGGTCATACTCAGCTTCCCTCTAGTTGGAGGTTTGGATTTGTGGTTTGGAGCGTGAGGGATGGTTCCCATCTTACCTCGAGGTGCACCCCAGTTCCACCAAACCAAACCACAATTCAGGGATACCTGAAAATCACGTTGGCCGGTTCGGTCCCCCCACCATGAAAGCATCCGGCTCGCCTGGTGCTGCTTCAGGGACAGCTTTTGCAGTTTTGACACTTCTTGTTGCAGGTCGAACATCTTCTTCCTGCCATCAAGATGTGGGTTTCGCCTTCTTTGCCCCACCTGCTCTTTCAGAGGGGAGTCAACCAAAAAACATCCTGCGTTAACCTACTGTTACTCTTACTGGCCCCATGGTGCCCGGCACCAAGAAACTATCTAGAGAGCGCCCAGGCAGAAGCTGGCACAATCCAACCCCGGAATGGAGGCTGCAAGGTCCGCGATGTCAAAGTCACCAAATGCTCCGGGTCAAAACAAAAATGGAAGACCCAAGTGACAATCCACAAATTCGCTTAAAAAAAATGCGACAAACAAGCACTTGACTTGTCAGTACTCAGCTCTTGGGAAGGAAAAAAAAACGCATTTGTGGTCCCAATCCCCGGCCGTGCCGAGCATGGCCATGATCCACTTCATCCGGATCCCGTGCAATTGCCTAAAAAGAACGCAGGTTGCACATGCGCATCACGCACCTTTTTGCGCTGACAGCAAAGAGCCACTTGAGGTTCGACCGAGCCCCGGGAGTCCTGCCGAAGTTCTGGTCCGCGATGGGCTCGGGCACTTGCTCCGAGTCCCCGGTCTGCCCCGCCAGAACCAGCGCCATGGGAAGAAAACGCGGGGTGCCAAGCTCGGCCAGGCGCAAAGAAACCAGCACCCCCTCCCCAGCCAAAGTCTTGCTCGTCGCGTTGGCACAAGTACAAAGCGGTGTGACCCGCTCTCTCTTGTTTTCATCCGCGGAGTTCGGTTTGGTGCTGGCGGTGCTGGTTGACAACCAGAGGGGACAAGTACGTTTGATCGTGTTTCCCGTGTGCGATGGAAAGCAGTTGGTTGGCAGCTGCGGCACTTTCTTTGATCCACTGTCACTTTTGGCTGGCACCTCCCAACCGCCTCGCCTGGAGCCGGGCTATGCGCGAGGCCGGGGCCCTGATTGAAAGGGTCTTCGACCAGAGCCTTGGCGAGCCTTGGCCCAACTCCCAGGTACACCAAAATAATACGTTCAAATGATGCTCTATATTTGACCTACCTCGATGTTTGCACAAACATCTTAGAGGAGACCCAAGCCTTTCAGCACCCGATCCATGCCCCTCGGGCAAGAACTGGCCCGAGCCCCGTGGTTCCCCGGCCACACTTGGAGAGATGTTCAATTGGAGACCCTTGGGAGTTGTTTATTGTGATTAGAATTATTATTCTTAGTCTTATTATTATCATGCATTATTAATAGTTTACTTTTATTTATTTTTGAAACGTGAACCATCTTGGAGGGTTGTTCCTCCACTCTCGAAAGAACACCCCTCAACGAAAGACCAAGCCCTTTTCAGCAAGACAATCTGCCCAGTAGGCGTGTCCTCCGGCTCCACGAAAAGCTCGTCCGGCATTTGCTGAAATCCCAGCTTCCTAGGGGTCGAGAAGTGGGTGGTAATCCTTGACTGGAAGGTGTCGGTCATCAAAAAAGTGCCTGCTTGAGTCCCGAGATTCTTCGGCTAGCAGGTCAAGAAAAACATGTTCGCAAATGGGACACTAAGAATGATGGATAAACTTCATCATGCAAGTTCACATGGACACATCTCATCGAATCACACGAGGCAACATCCTTGCCCAAGCTCCCTTTGGAGCACAAACATTAGCCAAAGAAACTCCCTAGCCCAAAAGGTCATGTCTTCACAGAGCAAAGGAGGAACCATAGGGAGTTTAAGCAAAGGATCCCACGTTGCTTTGATTTGAAGATGCTTTGAGGAGGCTAAATGGAGCTTCCCAAACCACTAATCCAAAGCACCAAGTGTCAGCTTCCAACCGACTGGTTTGGAGCCCGCTGCTTTGGAGGTGCTCCCACCCACAAGCACCAGGCGTCAAATCCAAACCGAACAATTCTTCGGAATACCTCACATTGGCAGAGGAACCTGCCACAAAAAAACGGTGGCTTCCATTGAAACCATCGCCACCTTTGGAGGTTCCCACCCCAAAAACAAGAACAACAAACTATTTGTTGGTAAAACATGTGTATATATATATATATATATTAGTTAAAACATATTTTTGGGTTAAAAATGAAATAATTATAAACATATGATTGGTAATGCTAAAAAAAGAAACTACTGTTTGGTTTAAAATAAAAAGAAACAAAACAACAATATGTTTGATAATAATACAAACTATAAATATGAATAAAAAAACAAAAATAACAAAAACTAAACTAAAACAATAGTAATAGGAATAACAATAATAATAATAAAAAAAAAATAAAAAGAAAAAAAAACATGAGCTGAGCTGAGCCGGAGGTTCCGATAGAGCTCCGCCGCCGCCAGGTTGGCGTCCCCCCGGCCCAGCGTCAGCACCGCCGCCTGCTTGCCGTCCTCGCGAATTCGCCCGGTCCGCGCGGTCACGGGGATCGATTTTTTTTCGGGAAAGCCGGGGGGAGACAAAGGAACCCGGGACACAGGTCCAGAGCCATGGGTTGAACATTGTAACATCGTTTTTTTTAGGCCGCCTTTTCTGTTTGTGCTTCTTGGGGGCCATGCTTTGAAAGGAGCTACAGCCGCAAAAAAAACAAGATGTGCCTAGGCAGGGGTGGGCCAAGCCCCAGTTCAAACATATTGGGCCAACCCCGGAAAAATGCGGAAAGCCGGGAGAAAGCCAAACACACCTCTCAAAGCTAGGGATCAAAAACCGTCTCACTGAGATACTGCACGGCCTTCCCAGGACAAACAAAAGAAAAAGAAAAACATATTCAGGGCCATAGCAGCAGCCAGAGCGGCATAGAAGTCAAGGGTGACCTTCCCTTGGCTCCATCTGCTGCTGCTTGATTCGTGTTGGCTGCTTCCGATTTCCATTTCGTCAAAAACTTTGGCCCCTCTGGGGCAGACTCGGGATACGCGGGCACCTCAAAAACGGTTTTGGCTTAGCTGCAACTTGAAAGAAGGAGAGGGTACCCCAAGAACAAGACACTGCCTTGGCTCAGCCCCGTGTTCCCTTGGTCCAAGGGCAGAAGTTCTTTTTCGGCCCTGCCAGCCAGCCAAGCCAGCCAAACGTACCCGAATCCTCTCACTTGACACCCCGACTGGAAATCATGAGGGTGTTTTCCATTTACCCTTCCCCCCCCAAAAGAAACATGTGAGTTTGTGTATGCAAAAGCCCAGGCACATGCACCCCTCTTCCCCTCTTCCCCACCCTCCTTGACCGCGGAGTACGCCAGGGCGGCCACCTGGGAGACGCCAAAATGGTACGTGAATTTTGAGCTGCAAAAAATGGCTGTGGTGGTCAAAAATAGGGCAACCCCAAAATGCCACCCAAGGTTGTTCAAAATCCGCCGACATTGCTCGGCGTGTCGGACACCTAAGAGAGGATAGAGGATAACCCCCCCCCTAACCCCCCCCCCACCCGACGTCTGATACGTGGGAAGGGGGGGGCCCCCCCCCCCCAAGGACCGCGCGGCAATTTGATGACGTTCCACTAAACGTAGTCTTCGGGGACCCGGTGTCGCAAAACAGGGGTCCCAGGCTCGATTCCCCCTGCCGGCTTTTTTGCTGGCTTGGGCTTCCTGCATCCTTTTGCCGAAAATCTGGAAAAACTCTGTGTTTTTGGACATCCTCTTTGCGAAAACGCTGGAAAAACAGTGTTTTTTGCGGGAAATACTGGGGAGCAAAGGGGAAGTGCAAGGATACATACATACATACATACAGACATACATACAGACAGACATACAGACATACATACATACATTACATTACACAACATCACCTTACATTACTTTAAATTACATCACATTACATACATACATACATTACATTACATTACATTACATTACATTACATTACATTACATTACATTACATTACATTACATTACATTACATTACATACACATTACATTACATTACATTACATTACATTACATTACATTACATTACATTACATTACATTACATTACATTACATACATACATACATACATACATACATACATACAACATTACATTACATTACATTACATTACATTACATTACATTACATTACATTACATTACATTACATTACATTACATACACATTACATTACATTACATTACATTACATTACATTACATTACATTACATTACATTACATTACATTACATTACATTACATTACATTACATTACATTACATTACATTACATTACATACATACATTACATACATTACATTACATTACATTACATTACATACATTACATACATTACATTACATACATTACATACATTACATTACATTACATTACATTACATTACATTACATTACATTACATTACATTACATTACATTACATTACATTACATTACATTACATTACATTACATTACATTACATTACATTACATTACATTACATTACATTACATTACATTACATTACATTACATTACATTACATTACATTACATTACATTACATACATTACATTACATTACATTACATTACATTACATTACATTACATTACATTACATTACATTACATTACATTACATTACATTACATTACATTACATTACATACATACATACATACATACATACATACATACATACATACATACATACATACATACAGAGAGGGAGCTTGGGGAGAGAGTGGCTTGGGGGGATGGGGAGGATGGGGAGCGGAGGGAGGGAGAGAGGACGACAGAACACACCAGGGAGACAAGGGAGAGAGGAAGAAGGAGAAAAGGGAGAGGACAATGTCGGCGGACTGAGCCGGAGGCTCTAAAGTTTTGACTACACCTGTGGTCCCTAGTAAATGGCAACAATGACCAAAACCTGTGGTCCATACCCTGGTGGCTTAATTTTGACCCATACCGGACGCCCTATTTAGTACCCAGCACGAAGTGCGACCAAAGGAGGCGGAACCTAGTGACCCCTGTCCCATACTTTTAGTGTCAGGTTGACGAATCGCGTCCATTCACCCGGATGGTTTGCTTCGCCTGGGCGGAGCCGAGCCGTACGCCAGGGCAAACTCGCTCGGGACTTGTTTTTTTTGGTAGCTGAAGATTCCTTCCGTGGCAAATGCGAACATGGAATCCCAAACTTCTTCTTTTTCTGGTTGGCTCATCACCTTGAACACATGCAGGTCACGCAGGTCCTCGAACAAACACGTGTTTCCACCAGGCGGAGGCTGCTGGCACTCGCAAAGTGTTCGGCCAGCATGCTCAGTTGCAGCACATTTTGGGTAATCTTCCAGGAGGGGCATAGGAGCCCGGTTTTCGACTTGGCTTCCTTGCCGCAAAATTGGCCTAAACCCGCCCCCCCCACAAGCAGAGTCTGCGAAACAGCGGGGGGGTTTTACAAATCATTCAGCCCCTTTCGGTTTCCTTTTGGAGAGCCTGAGCAGTTTTGGGCTACTTACCACCGGGGCACCAAAAAAATGGTGCCTGCAAAAAACGAACTCATCACTAACCCCCCCTCCCCACTCCTTTTGGGTTTCCCTTCGGGTAAATCGAACCATGTGGGGTTTCACCCCCAGGTCCCTTGAGGGCTCCATCCATACCAGGGCGCGAGCAGCAGCTTGCCCACCCCGCGGCCCCGGAAGGCGTCGCCGGTGCAGAGCAGCTCGATCAAGACCCAGGCCTCCGGCGGGGTGCCTGGGGCGGTGTTAACGCGCCGGGGAGTCGAGCGGGGAATCTGGGGGGAATTTGGGGTGGGGGCGGGGGGTGGAGGAGCAGAAGGGGGAGGGGGGTGCTTAAATGTCATGGGCTTCTGAGGGTGTGGTGGCGGGGAGGGGGGTGGGGAGGAAAGGGGTGGAGGGGGGGAAAGGGTCCGCAAATTGCGTGGGCTTCTAAACTCCATGGTCACAAACGAGACCGGGCCCCGAGTGGTGCTGTCAAACGATCACCCAGGAATCCACCAACACATTGAAGCATTGGGACGTGCCTTGCGGTCCAAACCCAGCCAGCCGAGCGGCGCAGGGCCAAAGCTTCGCTGCCTCGGATGTGAGGTGTCCGTCTTGCGCCTTCGTGGATGTAATTGATGGGGTCTGAAAAATGGGTCTCAGGGCAGCTCCTTTCAACTCACTTCTCGTGTGGATGGTTCAAGAGAAGTCTGAACCTTTTGTTGGCCACTAAAATTGTCTTTCCAAAAAAGTATAAAGCCATCTGGAGGTTTTCTTTGTTTTTGTTTCCTCCCTACTTTTTTGCCCGCGGCCATGTTGAGATGTTTAGATAAAAACCCACACCAGGCTTGTGAAAGAAGGAGCATGTTGCTCAAATAAGTTGGCGGTTGGCCCCTTAAGTCCGCCCAAAACTAACACTAAATCAACCATATTCTCAATTTGTGCTCCAAACGGAAAGTGGCGCGGCCCAACTTAGACATTGATGCCTAATAAACCAGCCAGGTGATGCTAAGCTAAAGGGTTGACCCGTCAGGATCCTGACACAAGTTGTTTGCCAATATTGGGACACTCATCCAGGAACTCGGGAGTGAGTCAACCACCAAGAGTAATTTGACAGTTTGAGGATGTCTGGCTAAGGCCCACTCCCCTCGGTGTGGGGGCAAAACTGCACAGCCTCAGCGAATGATGCCCCCTTTGGGCCGATTACGAGGTCCGTGTCTGCTTGAAAACGACTGTAGCGCTCTAACAAGCACCGCATTCTGGCAAACAGATTGGGCGGTGACGACGCGTTCCAGAACGACCCTTGCCTTGCCGCGGATGATCCGATCTACCTACGCAACTCCGCCCTGATGTTGACAACAAGCTGTCAGTGCAATCTGATGCACTCCCACCACCGCAGCGCCAACACGTTCGAAGTTCGGACGCATGCAATCCTGAGGACGCATCAAACCAACGACACATGGGTCCGACCACGCGTTCCGCGCCGACGCTCGCGGATGAAGAGAAAGCTGCGATCCCCATCCGCCAGCACAGAAAGCAAAGGTGCAACAAACCCTGAGGGTCCGAGTACCTGCCAATCCCTCGAAAACCGGCCAAAGGGTAGCAAAGGGTACCAAGGACGTTCCTAAACACATGGTGTCACTTTTTGCCGGTTCCCGGGCTGATCTCAGCCTCTCGCCAAGGGTACCTTTTTCAGGCCGCGGCACCCATGTCCACCAAAACGTGTCGCCAGAACTCGTCGTGCGAGGAGCGCAGGTAGCGCCAGAAGATCATGCCCACGAGATTGCCACCTGCGGGAAACTGGGGATGGGCTGAATACGGGTTTGAACCCATTTGCAGTCCATTAGGGAAACTGCGCCCGGATGCTCAACCCACTTTGAAAAGTAATCCCCCGCTGCAGTATTTCGGAGGGGGGTCGGCTTCCCAATTCTGTCCCTCTAGTCGTCCTCACTGATAAGAAGCTAACAATGTGTCCAACCCCAAGATGCCCCAACCCCATGTTCTTCTCCTTGCAGGAGGTATGGCCCGCTACGTTGCCTGGGCTCGAGATGTACGGCTAGCTGGCAACACGCTCATGCTCAGAATGTGACAGGGGGTGGGAAATGGCGCCGTGCGCATGTCCTACCCAGGAAGTGTGGTAGCAGCCTCCCAAAACCGTGAAAAAAAGCCTCTTCGGATTCACGAGTGAAAGTAGATGGCACAATGCCCAATCCTTGTGGGTAAGTAAAGGGGATGATACACCAAAACAAGAGCCGTGGACTTTTTTGTGCGGGTGTCCCATGCTCGCCGACCGTGTTCCTTTGCATCCCTCTTGCCTTGGTCCGTGGCGGTCAGTAGAAGAAGGTCGTCGTCGTAGTCCTTCTCCTTGGGAGGTTCTTCGAGGGACGTGGCTCTGTGCAATCCACACCCTGAATTCTCAAAGGTCAACAGGCAATTCCTGTCCAATCAAACATTAAAAAAAAGCTTCATGTAATTACGCGGCATGAGGGGGCCCACATCAGCACCACGTGCGTTTTTACAAGTGCTGCATACCCGTTTATTGGCCGGTAAGCGTTGTTGCGATGATGGAGCGGATGAGCTCGGAAAGCATCACAGCCCGGACCGTAAAATTCACACCCCAAAGCAGGGAAATGTGGCGGAAGCTCCTTATGGAACCCTCAGTGACGCAAACCCCATGAGGTTGGAATAATTTGCACAAACATATGAGCAGCCCAGCTGGGCAAAAGCCCCACCTGCTGGAGTGACATCCTCAAATCGCCCTCCAAATGGTGGTGTTGAACAGAAATCGCCGCAAGAGTTGTGGTGAGACAGCTGGTTGGCTCATCACCCAAAATCTGAGAGAGCCATGGCCGCCCCTCAGCCAGCTTGCAAGCCTGACAGTCCCAGACACTCCAGAAGCTCAAGAAGGCAGCCCCGAATGATGCCCACCTACATCATAAATTTGGCCGACAAGTGCGTATCCAAAGATTCCCTGAACATGGGCCGAGACAATTCCCGGAAGACTTTCCAAAGAAATCCCCGAAACGAAACCAGTTCCAGGGCGCGATGAACTGCTCGAGCAGCAGCTCCTGCAGAGTGGAGCTAAGTCCTTACACTCTGCATATTTCTTTGGCGGGCTCTGGGTAAAACGGAGCTCGCCATGATGAAGCTTCATATCCTGGGGATCCCTTACTTGAGGGTTTTGGATAAGCTTGCAAATGGACTCCGGTTCTCCGGCGAATTGAATGACCACATATTGCTTGACTTGGAACAACCAATTGGTGGCATCCCCTCTTCTCAAGGCACTTCCCTTGGAATTGGGTCACAAACTCCCAGATAGGGAAGAGGAAATGACCAAGAGATATGAATGCATCTGTTGGCTCTCTGTTTCTCCAGCATAAATTATTTCAAGAATCAACAGCTGCCGATGGAAAGTGATGGAGAAAGAGATGTAAGATAGAGAAACTACAAGAGAAATAAATGAGAACAATACAAGATTAAAGCATGCAATGGAAACCATGGACGTATGTATTCAAGTTTTGAAAGCGGAATTTAGATGTCATTCCAATTTTGCTGTAAACGCCAAGAGTTAATTATTGAATTATGGAAAATAGGATTGATTTATGGACAGTACAAATTACAAATATTCGGGCGCAGGTTGGCGTCACGCGACACAAACCCAAAAACACATCACCGTCTGTGGGGTCCAAATCCTTCTCCCACCTGAAAAATGACCGCGAGCTGAACCATCCAACTGGTTTCCTTGGAGGGCATCCCGAAACGATTTCCCAACAACCTCTCCCGCAAAACGGAAACCGGCACCAAAGCCCCTTTCCCTGGGAACCAGCAAGCGCTCGACATGTCCAGCGCCAGCGGCGAGTCGCGAGTTCGCGAGTTCGCGAGTTCGCGAGTTCGCGAGGCGCGGGCCGCCTGCATGCCGCCCATCGAGGACTTCATGGCTGCCACCTGGCCTTGCAGCCGCGGAGCCTGGCATCGGCAAGCCTTGCCTTAAAGTCAGCCCAAAAGGGGAACGCCCACTGTGGCTGGACGAAATCCCTTCGCACCACGAAATGAAACCACGGCTAAGGGCTGAAACCATTTGTTGGTGGTGCGAAGTAGACTTCGTCCTTCCGCAAAAGGTACCACTTTACAGGGCCCAGCTATTACTCTCAAATTCTGCGAAATAATTCCAAACCCAGAAAGAAGAACTGGATGCACCTTGCCGTAGACGTAGGCAGAATATGGACTGAAGATAGACCGAACTGAGGGGTTACCCAAACAAGCGCGTTTGCCATGAGTAGGCTATGGCTGCCCATTCTACGAGGGCTTCGCACCTTCCTAGATCTCGCCGTTTCGGCATGCGGCTTGCCGTCAGTCCATGGAACAGCATGCCCCCCCCAAAAAAAAGCGCCAGGCCGCCAAGACACATTCCCCCACCCACCCCGCAGTGACGATGACTGCAGGCATCCTAACCAAAATCGGGAAAGTGCAGTACCATAGCACACACCGTAATTTTTGCACATGTCAAGTCTTGTTCGTTGTGCCCATCCCTAGACCAAATAACGGAGCGAGGCGGAGCTATCCCAAAGCCTCTGCCCACCACCCCCCCTGGCAAAAGTTCATGGCTATCATAACCTTTGTGCGAGTGGTTCTCCGGGGGAGGGGGGAGCCAAGGCCTCAAGCTGAGTTTGGGGGTGGGGGGGCCGATGGCTTCTGAAGCTGAGCCCCGGGTCCCAGGCTCCTCCTCCGGAGTCTCCAGCGTGATGCACAGCTGCAGCTCATCTTGGGCACAGGGCGCATGGAAGCTCCTCTGCCTGTCGAAGCTCATGTACCGTGCACCTGTGGATTTGTCCAGGAAGAAGGTTACCATCTTTGCGGTTCTGTGGATTTGTCCAGAAAGAAAGGCACCAATGTTTTGTTGGCATGCAGTCAGTTGATGGTGAACTGTCGAAGGGAAGCCCCTCCAAACAAGGGAAGAAAAGGCACCACGGTAGGTCTGGGACCACCTTCGGCGAGCACAAGAGAGACTCCGAGACTCAGCTCTTCAACAAATACAGTGGAGTCCCTTCACATCGCGAACTGGCCAACCAGAACAGGGCTGGAATGACCATGGGCAAGGGAGGAATATGTCAACAATGACGAATGAAACAACTGATAACAAAATAGTAATACATACTAACAAAGAAACAAAACAAAACAGACATACCCGTGTGTACAGGCACAGGGTCCTTATTTGCAATATCCACGGTTTTGCCAAAGGAGTAAACTGCGCTGGCAAGGTGGAGACAAGTGTCGCAAAGCTGGGACAGGCAACAAAAATATGTATGTTTCAAGCAACACTCAACAAACATCCGACACCAAGCGACATGCCCGCGACTCATACTTGGAGGAACTAGCTGTCTAAACCAGTGCTTGAAAGAACAGCAGCCAGGGCTTAGCTTGGGCAAATGCAGGGCAGGGTCCTCAGCAAACATCACCGCCATGAACACTTTCAACCCGCTGGTCCGAGGCAAAAGCTGACGGTCCAAAAATGGGTGGAAGCATGTTCCCGGTGGCCTCCGTTTAAACCACCCCTACATTTTTGACCCCCAGCCCGTGTGTCTTTTTTTAATATGTTTATTGTTTTTTTCTGGGCAACCAACTCGAAATCTGGAACCTCCCCACAAAAGCGCACTTCAGCGGGTAAGCTCCTTCGACCTCCGCATGACAGATCGCTCGATTTTGACTACCCAGAGACACCTTCAAGAAAGGAAGCCTCCTTAAAAGGCGGCAGTTGCTCAAAATGGTGGACCCCTTTTGGTTGGTACTTTGCTTTAGGGTGGGAAGCCAACCAAAAGCAGACCAACCATCCGCAGGTACCTTTTGAGTGTGCGCTTGGAGGGTGCCACTTTTCAGGTTGGAGATTGCCCCTTCCCTCCTTTTGCTTAAGTCCCTAGGATTTGTTTAACAAAAGCCTGTAGTGATGGGTTCCCTCTAAAACCAACACTATTTGGGGGGCAGCCTTACGGCCGAAATTTGGCCACCTGAACGACGAATCCATCGGAGTCCTCAGAAGCTGCTTCCCAGGGCGGCGGTGCTCCACCGACCGCTGCGGAGAAGGCAGCTGACGGACGGCCGCCTGGTGGATCCTCGTCGGAGCATGAGTTTCCACCAAGGGAAACAAAGGGAGACACACACACACACATGCCTCCTTGCAGTTGGAACGAAAGCAGCGCCGGAACCTTCCAAAAACCGTCCAATTCACCATGTTGGCATCCTGGAAGTCGCGAGTCCAAACTGTATTCCAGCATGTTCAAGAGTGCAGCCCACCTCAGACAAGTAGGCCATGAAAAATGAGCCCCTTCGGACTGGGCCGCGGGGGTTGGGAGTGGTTTCCGACCTCGCTTGACCACCAAAGTCGCAATTCCAAGATCCAGAACCCAGATACCTTGACAACGCAGGTTGGGACGCTCAGCCGCAAAGAAACAAAGGGCAGCCCTTTTTGAGCGTGTTGCTGTGCCCTGAGATTCGTTTGGGTAGCCTTCTTTTGTGCAACGCCATGCGTGACCACCCACTCCAAAGAAAGGTCTACTAGGTCCTCCTCCAGTAGAGTGGTGAGAATAAGGGTACGCTTTTGCTGTAGTCTATGTTAGTCGGGGGACCCTCCCCAAAAAAATAACGGTAAAAGGGCACCTAGCTGGGACCTAGTCTAGGGAACCCACCCCCCACCCAGCAGCTCTTAGGCTCCTGGGCGGCTCTGCTAGCCAGTCCTGATCAGACTCCTGGCGAATCGAACGGCCAGGACCTGCCTCTCTTACTCCTGGGTGCTGTACATCCCCCATCAAAAAGTTAAACCTGTTGCTGGTTAAAAGGAAATATGAGGGAATCCAAAAAGTAAAAGTCTAAAGATCCAACCCAATAGCAGTAGAGTACTGGGGCACGTTGGACGCAGATTCGCTTCCTTCATGGGTTGGTTTCAAGCGGGGCACAAGGAACCTCAAAAATTGAGTGGGTATTGGCCAGCAATCGTCCAAGGACTTGTTGCTTCCCACTAGAATGATTGTCCCAAAAAGCCTTAAAAGTCTGAGAACCGAAGCGAGACACTGAAAAGGCCATGAGGTTGGGAACTCCCGTCCGAAACCCAAAGTGTCCCCATAGATCCCCCCCTTGCTGAGAGGTTCAGCTCGTTGCCTTGTCTTCCTTCAGCTGTTGAACGGCGTGCGCGACAGATTCGCTGATGGGTTTGGGGCGGGTGGGCTGGGAAGGCTGCCAGGTTCTTGGGGGCCTATTTGGAGACGAGGCTGGCCTAAAGGCAGAAGTGCTTTGATTGGGTCAAAGCTCGCCGAACAACTCGCATCGAAGCGATAGATGCGGACCGTGTGAAACCACTGGTGACTCCTGCACACAATATGTTGCACAGCCCTAATGGACAAAGGGATTCCCAAAAGGACAGCTCTGGTCAAACGGTGAGGGTTGCATTTGCCAAGTAAAAGGACTTGACCGTTGTGGGACTAAAAGATGCGCAAAGCTGGCTGAGACCCTTAAAACCAGAGAAGAAAAAAAGCGAACGCCTCGGCCGGGTCTCTCTCTCCACCCCCCTCGATTTGGTCAGTCTTTACCCACCCCACATTGGCCAGGTTGCTCCAAACCGGAACAGATGCCCAGGACCTTGGCCCAACGGTCCCTGACCCATACGGCACCAAGTTGGACCCCTCCAGCCCCTCGAAAGGCAATCAAGGAGCCCGGGAGCCATCCCGCCTCCTCGCTTCCGTCGAAGGGCAGGAGGAAGCGCCCGGCCATGGCATAAAAAGCCGGGGGGAAAGCCGCAGCGCTTTACCCCCCAAAGGCAAACAAAAAGGTGATCACCTTTTAGAAGCTTGACACCATGGCAAAAAAAAAAAGGTTGGCTTGGCGCAAGTGGGACAGGGTTGTATAACATTGATCTGGTAAAAAGTGCCACTACCTCCAACGAAGACCCTAGCCTCAACTGGAAGAGTAGGTGTGCGGGTGCTGCAAAACACGTGACACGTGGCTGATCTTTGGGCATGCCTTCAACAAGTCGACCAGGGGCTGACTCGGCTCCATAGACCCCACGCGTGTGTCGCGCCCCTTTTCCAGAGCCCTGGCCGGGCGAAGTTCGCGGAACTGAGAAAAGCTCCAGAGCGAGCTTCCATCACTCCATCCCCCCTACCATAGCAGGGAGGAGGGTGTGGGTGGGGGGGCCAATCCATCTATCTAGCTTTCCCCATCAAAAGGCACAGGGAACCATAAATGGAGTTCCAGGGGCTGGGTGTGCTGTTGGGTGGCTGGTCTGGCAAAATCTCAACTTGCTCAATGGACCCCAGTTGGAACTTTGACCCCTCTGAATCCCTCAAACCCGCCCTAACAGCAGGGTGCCCCCCCCCAAAACAGGGTGGGGCCAATCCCTTTTAACAATCTTTGGACAACCCCTGTTCAAACAGCCTCCTTTCCGGGGCCCTGGGCCGGCGCAGACCAAGCAGCCAACTTGCCGCTCATGAGCTCCGCCTCGCCACCGGCTCGAGACCCGCGCTCCCCAAGTAGCATGTATACATACACATGTGTATATATATATATATATCAATATATGTATGCATATTTAATCCTTTGATTTATGCTTGCATGGATGGAGAGAGGGGACGCACGGCTGGATCAGTGGATGGATGGATGAAAGTATGTATGTCTGTATGTGTGTATGTGTGGTGTCTGTGTGGATGTGTGTATGTCTGTGCATGTGTACGTATGTGTCTCTGTGCGTGTGTAGGTCTGTATGCGTCTGTGCCATGGGTGCGCCTTTAAAGAACACACATAGAGAGAGAGAGAGAGAGAAATGGGTGTGTCTTAAAAAGGGGACCCCCGAAAAAGAGCGTCTTTGGGCTATGTATATATGCATGTTTCAATCTATTTCTCTCTCTCTATATGCATATATATATATATATATATATAAGATATATGTGCGGTGTCCTTTTGACAGGAGGGTACAAACCTATAAAGAGGGCAAAAACAGCCTGCCCAACAAATGAGTTCACAAGTGGTTTCGTTCAAACATCCTGAAATGGGCCCCAATTATGGTCAAAACAAAGGACCAACTTGCTCATCATTGCTTGGCCAGTACGGATGAGAAACGCCAAGAACATCACGAAGACGTCCCAAGCTCACCTAGAAGAACAGGCGTGGACGAACATCTTCGAGCACGCGCATTATTGTGCGCACAGGTCACGTTGGTCACATGGAAATGGGTTGCGGGCGTGGACACACAAGCATGGTGATAACCTGCTCGCGAAGCGGTTTGACCATCCAAGTTGAAGACCTCCTTCACTTTCCTGCGAAGGGTAAAGAAGGCTTTCTCAATAATGAGGTGCCCATGTATGGTTGGAGTTGTTCAAAGGGAAGCCGGGGGCTTTCATTTGAGCAGCTTTTCCACCATACCCCCCAATTGGTGGTTTGGTTTGGTGCAAAGATGTTGGGTACCTTCCTCATTTGGTGTTAAAAGGTACTGGGGTTCAAGTCCCCAAACCACAAACTAAGGAGTGGCTGTTGCCGCCAAGACGTATGCTGGCCTCCATGTCTGAGGAACTCCGCCCGAACATCAGTGCCCGCACCCTGCATTCTCTAGCAAATAACGTGGAATCCCGAATAACGATGCTCTTTTTGGAAAACAGTTCCATGGATGGGCTCTCTTTGCCTGTGCTCACTTTCTGTCATCGTTGTTAAGTCGTGCTGAGCAACTGAGAGTAGTTGAGGTTCTTGTGAACCTCGCGCAACCGTTCTTAACTTCAAGCGGAACGCGCAACAGCTGGCAACCTAAGGGTTAGCTCCTGCCTAGTCTTTGCACTTAAGCCTGATTGCCATGTCTCCTCAAAGCGCTTCATCCATCTCGCTCCCCTCCACGGCTAGATCATGCTTACTCCAAACTGCCTGAGCACCCACATCGTTGCAACATGGCGAAGGAAGGGCGCATTAAGTCTGGCAATTTGGGTTCCCCTTGCTCGGCCATCAACGCCCGTAGGGTGGCAAATACCAAATCCCGGCCACGCCTGGCCCTCCGCGGCGCTCTTCGTCTTCCGCCTTGGGGAGCCCGGACGGCGCAATTAAATACGCATCTTCTGGGCGACTCTATCGCATGGGCAAGTGGGAATTTCCGACCTCAAAGGGGCTACTCAATCAGGCGCGCGGCATTCCTGGCCTTTCTTCTGCAGAAAGGCCGGCGAAGCCTGTCTGCCAACTTGCCAGCCCCCAAGCTGGACTCGCTTTGAGGGCGTCCACAGCGGCAGGTGCTTTGGAGTGGTCCACCGGCGCTTGGGCATGCTCTTGGCAGGCTGCTCTGCAGGCTTGGTTCCAGCTCGCTGTCCAGCCTTCCTCCTAGAAGGCTGGAGCAGAAACATGACAATCCAACCTGCATACTTGGGTTGACAATCCAAGCACCCTCGAAAGTTGTGCGTCCTGCGTCAGGAGTTGGTGCCCGCTTTCCCTTCAGGTGATGGTCTGTCATGGAAAAATAGCCACGAAATAAACCTGCGCCGTTGGTTCGAGGTTTGAAGCTGGTGTTGGAACTTCTCACATCCCTTGGCCTCCATGTGCCTGAGTGTCTTTACATCTTAATGACAAAAGCTTGCCCCCAACTAAGAAGCGTTTTCAAGTCGAAGTGGACACTTCTACAAGCGGTCCACATCGAATCAGAGCCGCCGAGCGTGATGGGCCAGAACAGTCCCGACTTTCTAGTTGACCCTTGCTTAAAGTTTCAGAGCAAATGGAAAACAACACGTACCCGATTCCTCCAACCATTCGCTTTACCTGATAAAACTGAACTCCGGCTATCCTGAGGGAAACTTCGGAGGGAACCAGCTACTGGATGGTTCGATTAGTCTTTCGCCTCTACACCCACACACAATAAACAATTGACTTGCACGTCGCCTCTACGGCTCTACGAGCCCCCAAGAGTTCCCATGGACTAAGCTGGTCTGGAGATCAGCCCCTCCCGCGCTTTGAGGCTCTGGCACCACAGCCTCCCGCAAGGTCTCCTCTGAGGGCTTTCCCTCTGTCAGCCTGCGGTTCAAAGGTCCATTGCTCTCTGGCTCCAAATTCTGAATGTGTTTGGTCCCTGGCCCCTTTACCCCCCCCCCCAGAGGAAAGAAGAGGAATGTTTTTTTCCAATGACCACACGTGATACCAACAGGGGTCAGTCCCGTGACTGCTTCGTCACTTTGAATCAGGTTACATTGGCATGATGGGTGAATCCCACGAAAGCTTGGCCCCCAGGATAACGTAGAACCTCAGCAAAAACAAGCATGCATTTTGGAGGAGTCTCCTGTTTTGAGCTCTCCTCGGAGCCATAATGGTGCAACCTTTGGGCTCATAACCTGCGATGCCTCTCCTTTTCTTCTGCAGTAGAAAGCTTGCCAGCAACTATATTTTTTAAAAAAAGAGTGTAAAGAATCCCAAAGGATACCTTCGTCATGGATAAGCTTGCTTTGCCCCGCAAGTAAGCTCGTAAATAGAAAGGGCAGTCGCTCCTTTTTATGGTTGGGGCTGTCCTCTTCCAAGCCTTCATCTTAGGGTTCATCGTTGGTCCCCCGTACCCGCCAGAGCATTTCTTAAAACCTTCTACGAATGCCTGTCAAAACGTTGCAGAAAACTTTCCGGGCTTCCTTTCATCTACACATGTGCTGAGATCTGCAACCGTCGTATTGGCTCAAGGGCGTCTTCCACAACGCTGACGTCCCCCATGCGCACCATGCCGAGCACCTTGGAGTTTGCGAGGAGATGCGGCTGAATCGCGGCGCAATGGATTTTCAGCACGAGGAGGTTCTCACCGTTGTTGTGCCGCCGCAGACTTGCCGCTACCCCCGGACTCTGGCAGACATGCCCCCTTCCTCGCTAAAAGGGGCAAGACCCTGAGAGAGACCATCGACCGTTTCCCAACACAACTGGCGAGCGGATTCACTGGCCAAGGAGCAGGCTCTGCACTATCTTAGGGGTTAGTGCATTTCCTTTTCGCGGGGGGGGGGGGTGTCCCCTGTGCGGGGATGTGGGTTGTCCCTTTAGGCGACCCATCGCCTGAAGCACATCTTGCGGTCGGACTTGCAGGCGAAGGCCACCTTTTGGAGGCGTTGTACCTGGAGGGTGCAGGCGAAAAGAAAGGTCTCAACCTGCCCAAAGGGTCTGGGAATGAAAGGTTGACATTTGGAACCTGACAAACAATCAGGCCAAACGGGGAAAACCACAACTGAGAACAGGGGAAACACATGGACCGGCCTGCATCACTTCCCATTACAACATGATTTAGACACAAGGAATATCTCACATGACTTGGCAGCTGCTTGCTTTCAACTCAACAAAGCTTCAACTTTCGTCGAACGGGTGTGTTTTGCTTGGACCCTTCCCCCACTAATGGACATTTGCATCCACCGCCACTCCCGATGGCATAGGAATTTGTTGGAAAACGTAGCTTGGTGAGTGTGCCCCATGTCACCCCCTTCACTACAGTAGATGAATGAACAATTGCGTTGCTTTCTGTCCAACCGGTCTAACCTTCCAACAAGGTTTCGAAGATTAATTCCTCCCTGCAGATGGAACCCCAACTCGCCATTGCGACTGGCTGCCCTTCCACCCAAGTTTTTGTGGTAGCTGTCAGCTGGCTGGTTTTGACTTGTCCGACTTATTATGAGGTTGCGCAATACCCCAATCATGCTATTCAGAGAGTGTGGGACCGAACATATAAGCCTGGCATTAGAGGAGGAGTGGTTTCCGAAAAGCAGGGAAGGATCCCTATGGGCCACCTGCATATTAACCTGCTACTTGGACCTGGGGGCGGCCGTTGAGGTAATTTCGCTTCTGGACCTTGTTTGATGCAAAAAAATGGTTCCCCGCACCGCTGGTTTTCCAAGACTCCCGGATCAGCAGTTTCACACAAGAAGGCGTCTGGACCCTGAAACTACCTTCACAATTCGGCCTATGGTGGAATTGCAACCATTTCTGGGCGTGAATCTGAAAAAAGAAGACTGTTTCCACATGGCTGAATTCATGTCTGCCAAGCATTGAGGTGGCCGAGAAACCATTCACCATTCAAAACGCGGCACCGGCGGTGCAGCGCACGAAGCTGGTCCCGTGAAAGGCAAAGGCCGGAGTCACCGAGCCACACCTGGCACGACGGACGGATTTTTTGTTTTCCAGGAGACTGTTGGGGGGGGGGGGCGCTTCTCGTAGGGTCGGTAGCTGATCTTGAAGGTCAAACCCCGGCAAAAGAGAGAGAAAGGCAATGCTGGGCCGTGATGGCCCATGATGGCCCATGGTGGTCACTTGAAAGTCAGCCAAAGGGCAAAAGCCACCGGAGATCTGTGGCAACTTGGGCCCTGGCACATGGAAACCAAAAGAAAGCAACCAAAACCAACTAACAACCATGCCCACACCTGATGCCCAACCCCCCCCCCTCGCGCCATTGAAGAAAAAGCGGAACAGCCGCCTCTCTGGCTGCGCAATCTGCTCCTCCAATATGACCAGGGCACCAGTCACCTGAGACGCACGATAGGAAACGCTTTATCTTCAAATTGATTCCTCAGCATATGAATCATCGGCGCAGCCCCTGATCGCGTTTCAGGGTTGGCGCGCTGAAACGGGCATGTGAGAAACCATGGCCAGAAAACGCAGAGGGGGCTGCAGTGCTGGAACACAAGACGTCAACACACACCACCAAAAACCTTTGCTTCCTAGCTTTCAGCGAAAATACCTCGCATCTGGGACCCTCCCAGGTGGAAACTGCAAACATCTCGGCTCGAACCCAAGAACATACATCTGCGCAATGCAAACTGCCATTCACCAATCTGAATAGGAATCAGCAGGAAAATCCCTCTGTCCTTTGGGTGGAAAGTTTGCTCTCCCGCCAGTTGCCCAATGACCCGAACCGCAGAAAAACAAATAGATATCCTTTCTGAGGGGTTTATTCCATGGCGGGCATGCCAACACGAAGCGGTTTTCAGGGAACCGCTGAACAACTTTTCCGGACTTTTCCGACATGTCGCGCGCGATCTCCACACTGCTCTATAACTTGCACGAGGGGCAGTGATTCAGTGATGCCTGAGGTGCGCATTGGCACTCCAAAGGTGGCCAAGAACAGAGCGCCAACCACATTGCCTGGTTGGGGCGCCGCAAGGCAACCGGAGATATGTAAAGCAAGCGCATCGGCGCCACATGGGTGGCCCAGAACAGAGCACCAATTGCATTGTGCAGCTGCGGCGCCGCAAGGTGAACCACGAGCGCTTAGCGCTTTCCTGAGGTGTCGAAGAACAGAGTACCAGTTGGGACGCCGCAAGGTGAACCAGGAGAAAAGAGCAACACGAGAGCACCACAGGCAGTGTGTTCCAGCCAAACGCACCAGATGCCATGACTGCCGGTAGCCCAGTGAGTCCATAACACCAGACTGTACAGCCCCATAGCGCATGATCTCGGCCATGCTCCTCGAACTACTGGCTCAAGCAAAAACTGACGGCCCGTCGCCCCTATCCAAATTCACGGCCCTTCCAGAAGAACAGGAAGAGGAAGGCCGGCACTGAGGTAACCACGCTGCAGTCGCGTAAGCGCCACGGAGGAACCAGCGCCGTGCTCCAAGAAAACTTGCACCTGCACTTCGTATCACCTACAAGTTCTAGGAACACACAGAGCCCACACGTGTTCAAAGTGAGCAGTTCCGAATTCTCCACAAACCAGACCACCCTTCTCCCCGGCATGTGAGGGAAGGGCGCAAAGGAACTGGCACGTGCGCGGCTGAGACCAGCACAGTCAAGTGTAGCCTCCTCTTGATGTAGGCATAGAAGAGCACGCAGAGACTGCGAAGAGGCCACGGCAATGCAAACCAGACCGATGCCCGCATTCGTACATCGCTTCAAAACTACAGAAATGTATTGCAGGATGGTCGCTGCACTCAAGGCACCTCGCATGCCCACTGCTCTGCGCATGAATGGCCAGGACCATGAACCACCACACGACAATCCAGCAGACATGTGGGCCTGCATCTCCATCTCGAAGTAAGACCTACACCACGGTGCACCCACCCTGTAGATCATCGCAAACCTGTGTCCATGGCGCCCCGGCGGTCGGCTTGCACGGCCCACCCTCTGGTAGCTTGCTTGGGCCAGGCTGAACAACTGGGAGAAGGGCTAAAAAATACCAGCGTGTTTCTTCTAGAATTGCAGAGTAACGCGCCTCTAGAAGCTTCCCACATCTACAAGGTCTTGGGTTGGATGCGCTTGGAACCCCTTTCCATTAGGCCCCAGAAATTCGAACCCCTAACGACACCAAAAGCGATCCGCTCTCGGCCCCAGACAGCTGCCATGGCGGTCACCTGAAATGCTTCCCCGGGCCGCAAATGGGCACAAATGCCCTTTTGCAAAATTAGATGGCCCTGGTCAAGCTGAGGGGTCCTGATTCATAGGAACCACCTCCGGATGTCTGATGGACACGGCCCTCTTTTGCCGGCGCCTCGTACGCCTCAGGGCCCGTGTAGTGGACATAAGCCCACCTGGCGCTCGCCGCGTTTTGCTGCGGCGGGTTGCCTCTTGCCCTCCCGTGGGTGTGTGTACAAAAACAAAAAAACGAAATGGACACCCTAAGAAACACACCAGACATGAACCTTTTTGGGCTGCTGCAAGGCCACTTTCCTTTACACAATCCATGTTCGGCGGTAGGGGAAGATGAAACCCACCCCGAGGATCCCTCTTGGCTTCCACCAGAATAGCATGGGCTGCTGATGTCTAACTTCCTCCCTGAATCTTGCATGCAAAAATGTCCGCTTTATAAAGCCTCTGGGTCACGTTTGAAAAACCCTTCTCGACAAAATGTGCGCCCTGGCGGCCCCCGGCCCGGCGGCAGTGCTTTTTTCGCTAACCACTTGCACTCATGGTTTGTCTACCGGATCCTAACACTACGGAGAGGGCAGCTGGAGGTGATCTTTTGTTGTGCCGGACGTGCTAAAGAGTTGGGCCTCCCTCTGTTGAAAGAGCCAGCCTTAAGGCGCCTTTAGTGGCACACCAACGGCTTTCCACGGCGTGCCGCCATCCAGAAAACCGGCGTCACGAGGACACCTGGCCCCTAACATGGTACTTTGGCCTGGCATTGCGGCAATCGCCCCCCCAATCCCCACCAGGGCGCTTGAGGCTCTCGAATTAAGGTGAAACCATTCAGCATCTGTCCAGGCCGAGACGCTCAGAGACCGATCGATGCAACCCTCTTGCCAAAGGACCTGATGAAACCCCCCAGCAAAGAACATGCACCACGGGCTCGAGCTCGTTTGCCCCCGACCAAAATGGTGAGCTTGTAATTTTTACCGTGCAACTCAACTAATCAAAGGGTACCAACCTCTTCCCCACGTTTCAGGAATGCCGCTTTCTAAGTCTTCCTTGATTCTTTTGTGGGGAGATGTAGCGGGAAGTCCCAACCTGAGTGAGAGGAAAGCCCGACAACAAATGTGGGCCACCAAGAAGTGATGTCAATGTTACCCAAAAGCCAGGGGTGATCCCCCTCAACGTGTGGTTTCTTCGGGTTTCCTGAAGCCATGAGGTCCCCAACGTTCCCTGAGAAGACGTCCCCTCCGGCAATTGGATGCTCTCACAGTGTCTGGGCGGAGGCGCGGCGGCCTTGGGAAAGCGCCGGCGCCCGCTGGAGCCGTCGCAGGGCAAAAGAGTCGTTCTACCTTATTCGGGGAGGGAGGTGGGGGTCCGCCAATTCCATTCATCTAGCATTCCACATAGAAGGGGAAATGGAACCATATGTGGAATTGCAGGGGTCACGTCACCCCTTCCCCAGTTGCATTTTTTAGGGGGTGGGGATGTTTAAACCGTCGCCAGTCACGTCCTGCAACTCCTTTTCAGAAGGAACCCCAAAGATTTCATCCGAGAGCCCGAGCTTGTGGAACCCTAACTAATCCTGAGTCCAAAGTGGGGATGCGCGACTGCAAGGGAAGCCACCATATCACCTGGCAAAAGTATTAAGGATTGATTTTGAATAGCCCAGAAAAGGAGAGGAGAGAGCCATGCTGAGAGGGACAACCGGATTCAACTCAAAACGAACGTCGAACCCGCAAAATGGGTAGTCTTGCCTTTGATGTGCCTTCAACCCCCCCCCCCCGCAAACAAAAGCAAAACACATTCACACCCAAAATGACATCCATAAACAGCCTCCACGCGCTTGCACCGGCTCTGCCGGGATGAACATGTTGCATTCCATGTGGCAAAGTTGCCCTGGCAGAAAAATAATTGGAGCCGTTGTGGGTCAACTCCATTTTTCTCGGGGAGTTGGTCAAAAGCATTGCCCTATTTTGGACTTTGGTGCCGCCTGCGCCGGAATTGAAGGAGGATACGAAAAAATGGATCCCTGATGTCAACAACCCCCAAGGGATCCCAACAAAAGAAGGGAAGGGTGACCGGACAACTGGGGCGCTGTACGGGAAGCGGCGGCATCATTTTTGGCCGAGCGCTGCTTGGCCGAATGGGTTCGAGGGAGTTGGTTGGAGACTTTCCCCAAGGTTTCGGCATTTGTGGGTCTTCTGGCTTCTAGGGTCGAGGGCTTGGGGTGTTTGGGACTTAGGCTTCACTTCAGGCCTCTGGGTTTTGATGGATCTTGGGACTCGGGCTCCTGTCAGAATCCACGATTGGAGGGGCTCAAAAGGTGGGACGTGACCAAAACCCAGCTTCTCACAACCCCTATCCCCTCGGTCAAATTAGGGCACCGGGCTCAGCCGCCGCAACCTGTCACATCCGCTTGGATGCCGAATGAGTAAGGCTACAACCAAGGTTCTTGCGACAACGGGGGGGTGCACTTGCAACCTTTGTCATAACCTACTTGCTGAGTAATCTGAACATCCAAGTTGGCAAGCCTAATGATGTTTTCGGCCGGGCCCAACGATGCTCCTCTTCAACCGGCCTGTTGGTGTCTCTTGCGCTTGCCATGACCAAACGCCCATGCTTGCATCATACTGGGTCAATGAAAGTGACATACTCAAAATTAGACCCTACATGGTGGTTCCAAGGTAAATCACCGCACTCCTCCACCCCCCCCCAAAAAAAATGGACCCCGCAAAGTGCTCATGCTAAGGGACCCATTCGCAACGTGCCTGCCCAAACAAACCAATTTTGCCTGCAGCCCTGTCGGCGACCTCCAAACATGTAGCCCCTCACCCCCCTCACCCCCTCACCCCCCTCACCCCCTCACCCCCCCCCCCTTCACCCCCCTCACCCCCCTCACCCCCTCACCCTTGCGGCGCCAGAAAGCCCAGCCCTCAGAGCCCCCGGGCAGGCGAAATGCAGCGAGTTGAGGTTCTCCGCCCGGGGCGCTGGGCGCGCGCGCTGGCCGGCGCCCACCTGAAGAAATTTGGCCGTGGTCGTCAAAATCCAAATCGCACCCCCAGTGAACAGCGGGGGTTGGGGTGGGGTGGGTGGTGCGCCTACCCCAAAAAAGTACCATCGGTTTTGATCCACAGCCATTTGTCCACCCGGTTGTCGTCTGATGAAGTCGGTTTTGCACATACCGTCCGATGTGGGAAACCGACAAACCAGTCCATCTTGGCAAAACATGGATGCGGAGCTATGGGCGAGCTGAGATGCCAACACGCAGCGCCGGAGAAAAACAAATGCCATGAAAGGCTGGCGCCCGTCCTACTGAGGGCCCTCCGAACGATGTGCGGACAAAGTCATGGCCCCTTGCGGGTGGCCTCTAAGTTTGCGGTGGTTCTGAACATCAAAAGTTATGGAAAGGCCGAGCGGTCTGAGGCGGCCCACTTAAGAGGCGTGGGCTCCGTTCCCACCGTTGCCATTTGTTGGTAACAACCAAAACCAGGCATTGTTCCAAACAGCAAGCTCTTCACGTCCATCAAAATGCTGACAGGAAGTGTCCAGGGCAAATCCTGCCACAAACAATCTGAGCCTCCTACCCTTCATCCCCGCAAGCCCTATGTTTCCGCCCTTTGGTGGCTGGCTACAGCCACTAAGCCCTGCTGGGTGGCTTGGCCCAAGCCCAAGGCGCATTGCCCAGACCCAGAAGCTCCCGAAACCTCGCCAGAACCATCCGAGGCACCGTGATGCCATGAGCGTCCGTGCTCATGTCGAACATCCCCGCTTGGAGGTTCTCATAGATCTGCTTGGCCTCATTTGTAGTCATGGCCAAAGCTCCTTCTGCCCTTGCCAGGGTTGTGGGAAATGTCTATTAAAGGGTCCATGGCGATCCCTACCTAAGCCCAAGTAAGCAGGTTGACCATGGTACCTGCTCGGTGTTGGGCAAGGAACACGGGGTCCCAATTGAAGAACACATATATGTATATACATCTATATCTCTCTCTCTCTCTCTTTGCATCCCATCGTTGCGTCCCATGGCTTTCTGACCCTTTGCTCAGCACCAATGCTGCGAAGCGGCCGTGTCTATAAAGGCGGGCTCCACATTCTGGCCTGATCCAGCAAATGCTTCTGTTCACCCTGTGGACTGATCCGCTGGATCCCCCTCCCCCGTCTAGTCAAGTGGCAGTTTGAGTGGTTGGGGGGTTTTCCCTTAAAAAGGATCTCTTTTGGGGTCGGTCTCACTTTATGTTGGGAAAAACATGGTGGAATTTATCGAGCAACTGAGTAGACAACGCAAAATAGAAAAAGGGTGACCGCATGGTCCCGAAGTATTTACTGTGCAGATTATACGGACCTACGTCATGGTGAGCTCATTTTATCCCCCCCCCCCCATGAGGTATCGCCATAACATTGGCATGGTGTTGGATCCAATCGGCATTGCATGGGCCGCGGCCAATCGCATTGTGTTCTTCGCGGAACAGTTCGCATAGTTATCTGGGGCAGGACTGCATTTCTGGAATCCCAGTTGCGAGACTTTGTCCTACATGGTCGTTGCCTCAAGATCCATTTAAGAATGCCTCTGATGGAAACATGTTGAGCGAAGCGAAAGTCCAAACATTGAATCCTTTCTGGGGTCGATTTATGTTTGGGGTGGGGAACCCGCCACACAACAAGGGCGCTGCGAAGGATGGCATGCTCGATCCATGGAAGTGGCTGATCACGTCGAACTGGGTGAATGCTGTTGGCGGCTACTTGGACATTTTCAGTAAAGCCCTGAGACAAGAAGGGCCTCTCAAGCGACATCCGAACACCCCAAGCCCGAACTGCCTGTCTTGGCCGAGGTCTCCATGAAGAACAAGCCATTCCTCGGGTACCGACGCAACCACCGGGGTCGATGTCAACTGGGCAAAGTAAGCAAATCTGGCTGCATGATCTGGGGTTGTGCTCAAAATGGGGAACCCCAATATGGGTACGTAGTTTCCTTTTGGATTCCCTTAAGACCACCCAAAAGGGGTCCCCTCGAAACAGACAGACACATCTGCACCCAGCAGCCAACCAAGGCTTCCCCAACCAAAACCAACATGTTTGATCTTGGTGAACCATTTCGTGAACCAAAATCCCAGCAACTCCCCTGAGCGCCGCGTCTGGGCACGGGAACACGCGGCGGAGCGGAAGGCTCAAGGCTACCTCCCCAGCTGATCGCCCTAGCGGACAATGCCGCGAAGCCCAGAACCAGAGTGGAAATGATGGACCTTCTGAAGCCCTGCTAGGCTTCATACACCCGAGACAAGCGCACTGGCTACTCCCTACAACCCCCCAGGTTTGGAGTCTGAGGTCCCGAAGTGGGCCGCCTCTTTTCACCCAATCAAGCTTTGGCACCCGGAGCTTGGAAGCCAACGCACCTCCGGCTCCGAGCCACACGCCCAACCCCTGGGTGTCAAATTTAGGACCATTGCTCCACAACCTACGCCCCGCACCGGTCAAATTTAAACAAACATGGATTCACCGGATTGCCCAACCTGAGGTGCTTTGAACCTCCGAGGAATCGCCCCGACTGCCCGAACCAATGCGCACGGGCGTCTGTCTGGCGAACCAGGCCCCCTCTTCGAAGCTCACCTCCCGGCGGTCTAGGTCGCACTTGTTGCCGATGAGCATGATCACCATGTTCCTCAGCATCGATCCCTTCTTCAAAGTAAAGCTTCTGGGGAATCGGAATATGTCATAAGCACCATTCCATGGCTCAACGCAAAAAACTTCTGGGGGGAGGTGCTGGGGACCGCCAAGATCCCTGCTCCTCACTTGGGCTTTGCCTTTGCCTTCGGCCTCACAACCCGCAATCTGTGACACCAAGGTTTTGGCCACGACTTCACTTTGCAGAAACGAACAAACCCCCTGGCATCGCCACATCTTGGCTGGAATGAGGACCCCCAGCAAAAACAAAAGCTACTTTTGCTGCCTGGCTAGTGGAAAGCAAAGGGTATCCCCAAAAAACAACGGACAAAACAAAACAAACAGGGGAGCTAAGTCTGAGAAAGAAATGGCCATGAGTCAAAATCCCGTACCCCCAAGTGAACATCCCAATCCCCACTAAAACAGGCCAAAATTAGTGGTGCACCTACCCCTAAATGGGATCCCATTGGTTTTGACCCACAGCCAAGTGGGCCTCTTCAGCCCACGGGCTCGCGCACGCCAAATGGGCGCCGAGGAGCGGCTGGGCGTTCTGCCTGGCGTCCATGAGCCACTGCGCCAGGCGGTCGAAGGAGGCCCTGCGCGTGATGTCATAGACCAGCAGCGCACCTGGTCCCCCAAAAAAGATGCCGGGGGTCCGAATGGCTTGTTTGCTGTCATCCCCCCCCCCACCAAAAAAAAAAAAAAAACATGCCGAAAACATGGGCCAGACCAGTATCTTGTTCCTGGAGCCCAGGAAGCCTTGATGCGATGCCACTTCGGATTACGCTTGCCGCTTTCCCACAACCGTTGGACATGTAAGAGGAACAGCAGGATTCAAGGTTCGGAGAACGATGCAAGCCAAGATTCAACTAAATCCTGTCTAGTTCCCTGTAAGCTGGGCAAATCGGCAACTCCCGAACGCCCTGCAACATTGTGGCTCGCAGCTTTCCCAACAACTCAGCGGTGCGAACCCTTTGAATTTCGTAATAACCGTGAATTCAGCTTGCAGAACTCACACGTACTTGACATGGAGCCCCAAACAACATCTCTGAGGCATCCCCTCTTGGGAGAAGCCCTTTTTGCCGCTCCATATCTTCCATGTTGATTTGGGGGGAATACCTGAGGGACCTGCCCCTTGTCGCGCCTGTCGCACCGCGGTAGTATGCCCTCCTGAGTTGGCAAGAGCCAAAGGTCGTTTGCCTCTTTGACTGGTGGTGTCCGGAAACCCTAGGTTCCCTTCAGGGGGGAACGGCTCGGAAACCCTGGACAAGGTCGCGGGTCACACCAAAGAAAGGCCATGTCACTCAGGGCCAAGAATCAGGGCAATGCAATTTTATCTAGTCTTCCCCACAAAGGGGGAAGTGGCATCCGAACATGGAATTCCAGACATTGCCCCTCCCCATATGGAATTGGTAAGGGGGTGGGGGTCCAAGAAACCTGTTTCCAATATGGCCACAAAGGGGAAAAAGGAAAACGGGGCAATCACGGAGGTCTGGGTTGCTGGTGCTTGTTTTTCTTGGTGTCCTTTTGCGTAATTCCCCCCTAAGCTGCCTAGAAAGCAGGCGGCTGCAACATTGGTCCCTCCTTCCTGACGCATCACCCTTCCTTGAATTGCCGAGTTGCTGTTGTCAAAAGCGCCTGTTGCATGAGCCAGCTATGATAGCTATGTTTGAATGCCGGAGCGTCAAGAAGCCTATTCAAAATTCCTGACTGCGGCCAGGTTGAATACCGGTGCGACCAAGAGTGGTCTTAAAAGGGCAGTTCTAAATCACATTTGAATCAGTAGTTTGTCAAAGCCACCCGACTGGCTATGCCCGCAACCTCCCCCCCTCCCCGGAGCTAAAAAAAGAGCCGGGCAGCGTGATGGATCTGAAGGCCTCTTGACCTGCAGTGTCCCATATTTGGAGCTTGATGCTCTGGCCCTCGATATCCACCTAGGCCGATGGAGAAATATGAGAGCTGGGCCGACATTCTACCTGGAGGGGGGGGGGGGGGGGATGGGAATGAGCTGGAAGCGAAACGCCCAATGTCTCATCCCACAGCTCGTAGCAAAAGGTACCTACCTGCCATGCTCTTGAACGTCGCGCTGTGTCGACCCCGAACTCATGAAACTGGTGGATTCATAGGGGGTATGTTCCCAAAAGAGTTTTTGGATACCCTCTTAAATGATTTAGGGACAGTCTGTCTATTTTCCAGGGGTTTCTTTATCCGGGGTTCCCATTGACCCTGTCTGAGGGCGTCACGTATCGGTGCCCAAACTCCACCTCAAGTGCACAGAGCCGACACTCTGACTGTGAGGTGCTTTAGTCGTAGTTGGAGCTAAGCCAATCCTTCGCATATGTTCTAGCGTTCCGTTTGATTTCCCTTCGCTCGGCCGGACCTTCCTTTCCAACCGTGCTCCTTGCATGCCGAAGCCAATTGCAATCTAAGCTGCTCCAATTGTCATGTCCTCAGCTCAGGTTTCGCCAGAATCGACATGCCCCTTTCCTGCTGGTGTTCAGTAGGGAATGAGGGAGGAGGGTGCTAAAGGAAACCACGTGTGGGTGGTTTATACGGGTCATTCCATTTTCTCATTCCAAGCTTTCTTCCAACCACTCCAAAGGAAGGTACTTATGGAAACCCCCGATCTAGAAGCAGAACCTCATGGATGATGTAATTAATTGTCGTCGATTTGCTGATATTGTTAATTGGCTAGTATGTGGGGTAATCTCACCACGAATGTTTAAAATTGTATTTTGTGATAATTCTTATAATGCACAAGTTGGTTAGCTCGTGAAAGGCTTTCGTTACATGATTCTAGTCTAGTGTAGTTTGTTGACAGAATCGAATCGTGTTGATAAGATGAAGCCCTGGATACTGAACCAGGGGTTATTGACTCAATTAAACAACTGGGTTCATCCTTCCGACCAACAACAGGGTTCCCAATATCTCACCTTTTAACCTAAGGTCCTACTCGCACACCTCTTGGCAGCTCTTGGCAGAACCTGTTGAGCCACTGCGCCCCAATGACATGTGTCTCTCAGCAACGTCGAATGACGCACCTGCACATAGGCCCCGACGAATAAGTTGGACGCCGATCTACAAACCCCTGCTTGATTAACCTTCGCTGTTGGGGGAAGACATCCCCGTCTTGATGCAGCTGGCTGATTAAATCCGGACTCAACATTCCCCCCAAGAGTGAGGCAAGGCAAGATTTGTCGGGGAACTGAAAGCTGCTCGAACCCCTGCCGGTGCGCAACCACAAGGCCATTGGCGAACCCCCCAAGCTGCAAAAAGGAAGGCGCTCACCAAGAGCATCATTTCTTTTAGCGCCAAAAACACCACCCTCTTTACAACACCTTCAGGACACGACCATACCCCCCGACACTCGACCCGATCTTAGCCCTCTCGCTTCCTGCAGGCTTTCCGGCGAGCCCATCCAAGGCGTGGCTGTCAAATCAGTTTGCCTCCAAGTAGGGGAGCCTCTCAACGGCTAGGTTCCAATGTGTCACCTTGTAAACATCAACAGGTGCAGCAGTTTCAACAAAGGAGTCACGTCCAAAAAATCGCGTGTGTCAAATCAGCATTTGGACCAAAACCCCGCAAAAAAAAAAAAAAACGGCCCAGGCGCATGCTCCGCTCTGAAGCGCTTGTCTGTGAACTGCAGCAGCAGGCAGGATTTGCCAACTCCAGCGTCCCCGACCTGAGCACTCGGCCAAATCATTCAACGAACTTCCCGCCGCCTGACAGCCAACATTTTGTAACCAGCTGCAGGCCCACAATGGCAGGGGATGACTCCTTTCATGGGAACCTTTAAAATGGTTGTCTAAATTGTCTGTTCCCCAACTAAAGGGGTGAGCCGTTCACGAAGACTGGCACCCTCCGGTGCCGCCAGCCCCCACGTGGGGAGCAGGGTGCTCATATTGAACAGAAGCGGGCATTGGCAAGAGCAGGGGGTAACCTCCCTCGCTTCCCAAGGACATTGTCGCAAGTTAATCTCCCAACCTCTCGCCCAAAGTTCGGCTTGCGGAATAGCGGCAATGATGTACCTCGGAGCGGCGGGCACGTCACAGAGCGAGAATCCACGACCAAACAGTGACCCATGCTTGCGACAGACTGTCCTTTCTCCTTGTGTAAGTGTTGCTCTTCTGTCCCTCTTTACTTTCCCTGTCTGCATGGATGCGTGTGTGTGTGTGAATGACAGTTTGTTAAACTACATCTGTCCAATGTCTGCTTGCATGTGCGCTTGTGCATGCCCATGTGCATGTGCGTGTGAGATAGCATGTGCGCGTACAGGTGCGAGCGTCTGTGCGCGTGCGCGTACGTGTGCCTGTGTGCGTGCGCGTCTGTGTGTGGGTGCCTGTGTGTGTGTGTGCCTGTGTGTGTGTGTGTGTGTGTCTCATTCTGGCCATGCGAAGAAGCAGGCACCTTTTCTGCGGTCGGCCGTTGATTTTCAAGGAGAGCTTCCCCCTGCAAAGCACCCGCTCAAAAATGGAGAAAATGGACATACGTCGTGGGAGAGGGTTGTTCTCCTGTCGAGCCCAGGCGCTTGAAGAGGTAGTTATAGTCGCTCATGCGCGCGGCGCGTCTTCCGACCCCACGCCTCTGAGCCAAAGCTTTCCGCGGCAGGAGCATGCTTGACGCGGTGGCATTTGCCTGGCAACCTGAAAAGACAGGGCATGTGAATGTGTCAAAATAAAGAAACCCACAATTAAGGTTTCCCCTTTGGTTTCCCTATCAAACATCCTGAAGGAGCACCAAGCCTCAAAACGACCAAGCCCTCTCGATGAAACAGTTCCTGCGAACAACCATTGCATACAACATAAGTGAATGTTGCAATGATTTGATTCATCCCCTGTGGGCAAACTTGGCCGATTTGGCCCCGGACATTCCACCTTGCCGACGGGAAAAGGGAGGCTGACATCGGGCTGGAGCAACGGGTTAGAGCCATAGCTAAATACCTGAAGAACCAACCAAAGGCCCACCCTCAAAGGAGGAATTCTGAGCCCAGAATTTCTTGGAAGGCCCTAGAACCTGCCCAACCAAAACCCAGCACTAACCATTCTTGTGCTGAAATTGGGGGGGGGAAGGTCCAACCTGGAGGGGCCAACATCTAAACAGATCGGCCCCAAAAAAGAGCGCCTGCCGTCCTGCGCCTCCGCCACCGCAAAGACCTCCGCGTAGTACAGCGCCCGGGTCTCCAGTGGAGGCCTCGAAGAGCGCACGATGCGCCTCTCCACCGTTTGGTTGGCATGTTGTGTGGGAAACCGACCACCAATTTGGGTGCTCAAACCGGGGTCCCCGGAAATACGCGGTTTCTTTTTGGCTTGCCTTTCAAGACTAGTCCGCCAGTTTGAGAGACTCGCAAGTGGGAAAAATGGTGTCATCACAAATCGAAGGGTGTATTCACCACGCACATTACACCATGCGTTCCGCACATGCGCAAAGATGTAGGCATCGCAATATCTCACGGCTATGGTGTGCTTCCCGAAGCCAAGGATGGGGTCGAATGGTGAAAGGCCTTTTTCGCCCCCTCGCACAGCCCTTGGATGCCCATGAAATGCTGAGGGGGGGAAAGTTCTATGTATCCCTAAGTCAGTACTACCGACTGATATTGGGCATCTCAGGTTTTGACAGAGTTGGGGCGTGCCCCCTCAGCCCGCCAAAACCATCCGCACCCTTGGGAGGTGTCTGCCTTTTGGGAACGTCCACCCCTGGTTATAGTTAAGAAAATGGGCACGTCTTCTTTCCGTGTTGTGCTTTTGCTTTTGTTGGGGGGGGGTCCCCCAAAATGGTCGGCTTCCCTTGGGTTTCCTTTAACAACCACCAAGAAGCTGGGGCCCGGGACCCTCAAGCAAAGCAGACCAAAATGGATGTCCCAACATGTGCCCCATGCCCCAGTGGGGGCCCGGGCCCCTCACCAGGCTTGGGCACAGCACCTTGGGCGACCTGCTGCTTCATCATGCCTGGCCCGGAAGAAACGCTTGGCTGGACGTCAGGTGCTGCACATAGAGTGGGCAATGTTCATCAACTGAAGCGGATGAAGTATTCATAGTGGGGGGGCAAAGGGGGCAAGCATAAGATGGCCCGGCCGGAGACACAAACGTGCGTGCAACCCAAAGTCAACCCAAATCCATGCCGCCATCCGTGGTGGGACACCATCTGGCACAAGGATCTTGCGGATTTATGTTCAACTGCCCAGCTATTTTGGAGTGGTTCCCTTTTGATCCCCTTTCAAAGGCACCAAAAAGGGTACCCAACACTTTGACAGCATGGCAGACCCTCTTTTTAGGTGGTCTCAGGAAACAAACAAGAACCCAGTCGCCAACAACAAAATGGAAAGCTCCCCAGTTCTGACTGCCCAGCTCAGCAAAGGAACCCTGTACGCACCTCTTTGGCCCCAAGCGAGCAACGAACATGCCAAGAGCCGCCGGGCTCAAACAGCCTTCGGCAGCCGGGTGAAAATGGGCCCTCCGGCCATGGAAAGCTGGCGCGGGAGCCGTTCAGGAATGAAAGGGGTGAGGCACGGCGTTGAGAAATCAAAGGTCGTAAGTTCTTAAAACCACGCAGGTAGTATCCGAGGGAGAGGGGGAGAGAGAGAGAGAGAGAGAGGGAGGGAGCGGGAGCGGGAGCGGGAGCGGGAGCGGGAGCGGGAGCGGGAGCGGGAGCGGGAGCGGGAGCGGGAGCGGGAGCGGGAGCGGGAGCGGGAGCGGGAGCGGGAGCGGGAGCGAGAGCGAGAGCGAGAGCGAGAGCGAGAGCGAGAGCGAGAGCGAGGGAGGAGGCAGGGGGGAGGAGGGGGAGGAGGGAGGAGGAGCAGAAGGATCCTTTTGCGGGAAAGACCAGGGAAATGTGTGCGCTGTCCAACTTGAATCTGAGCGAGCCCAAGTGCTCGCACGAAACTTTTATGGCCCAGCCCAAGCATCTCAGTCGCACAGGAACTTTTTGAACAAGGGCATTCCAGGCTGATGGGGAGTTGACGAGAAGCCTAACATGATGATCCCCTCAGCCCGCAACTTCAAGATCATTTGCCTGTGGGACAGGACCTTTTCATCATGTCATCCGGGTGTCTTTTTTGAGGTACCTTTTTTTTGGTTGAGAGGGACACCAACAGAAAACGACCAGTCGGAGGATTCCCAAGTTAAAGACGAACCATCTGAATTTCAGGGCCTCCCACACTGCGAGGGCAAATCCACATCCAAAGCAACGCAAATCCTGCGGGCGCTGGGCTCGCTCCGGCCACTTTCCATCACCCGAAGCAGAGTCATTATCCTGACTGAGCCAACACCCCCTGAGAATACAAGTTCAACCTCGAAAATGCTAGAGTTAACCCTCAAATCCAAGCTAACCCCAGAAAAAGTCAACTCAAGTTAACCCCCTCCGGCTTGCATAGTGTTCCCCAGTATTCCCCCAAAGCTTTAAAAAGATGGGTGTTGGCTCAAGGCAACCTCCGCATCTCAGCGCCCTTGCGACCTTGATGCACCGAGGAAGCTCCCTAAAACTGTCGCAAGGACGTGTGCCATCCTGAAAAGAACTGAGCAACCTGACTAGGCCAAGAGACCCAGAACTCCAAGCTCAGCTTTCCTTTGCCCTCAGTTTACTATTCGACCATACCAATCCCCTCAAGTTCACAAGTGCTTAGCCCCAGGTCCCTTTTTTCCCCATCCGGCCACGGACACCAGAGCCCCGCGGCAGTTGCAACCCGAATTCCTCGGCTCACCGCTCCGAGCCGCTGGAGTTCCGCGAGGTCCGGGAGTTCGCCGAGCGCGCGGAGCGCACGCCGGACGCGGAGACCACCGAGCGCTGGTGCACTGCCAGGCTTTGCCTCGGGGGGGCGGGGGTGGGGGGGGGTAGGGGTGGGGGGAAAACAAAACCAACAGAACGCAAAACACAGAACACGAAGAAACACGACGAAAAACAACGGCATAATCAAAATCAAAACCAGGAACCACAACCATGCCGAACGCGCGGTGGTTTTTTTTCCGATGCGGGCCCTTCGCCTGCGGCCAGTTTCGGATCCGGGGACCCCGGGCTCCCTTCAGAGGAGGTACCATATTCAATCACCCCAGCTCATTCATAGGGGGTGTCCCTGGGTGAAAAGTGGGGAATCCTCACTTTTCTGAGGGGAACACCCCCCTATTCATAAACTGGGGTCAGCATTTGTGGGGTCAGCGTTTGTGCCATTTCAATTTTCGGGAGAGGCCTCAAAGACGGCCTCAAAGACCTTCACGAAAAGCCCAACCTGCCATGCAACCATAGGCCATGTGCCAGAGAAATACCAAAAACATATGCGATGGAGCATGCTGACGGAAGGCGCCCGCAAGCGCAACTCACCTCTTCCTGCATCAACCCGCAAACAAGCCTGTCCGAAAATGAAGGCGACTGTTCAAATCAGGCATCCAGGTCAAAATATATGAAAGAAATGTCGGGCCCCCTCCCCCAGCATGTTTCATGGTTGAAAGGGTTCTGGTTGTCCAAGCCAGCAGTTTGCCATGCCTTTGGAAGAAGAGACTCGCGGACCTTCAGCTGAGAAAGGTTTTGACAGCTTTTTGTGGGTCCCCAACCCAAACAAAAAGGGATTCTACCAGCAGAATCCACTAGACTGGGGGTAAAGTAGACAAAAGCCATGGCCATAAATCGGACTTCTTATCCTCGGCCGAGTGACGCCTCAGCCGTCCACACAGCAATACGCTCCACTGCGTCCGGGGCCAAGTCGCCCTGACGACGATCGCTGAGTCGTCGACTTGAACCTAAGGGATTTGGCATTTGTCCGATACCTTCCCCATGCTAGGCTTGTGTGAGTGCGCCCCACGCAAACTCGCCGCAGCGACGCGGCGTCGACAAGATTCTGCGTTCGAAAAGGAATACCTTCCCCAGCATGAAGCCCATGAAGAACCCTTTTAGAGGGAAAGGATCTTCCAGTTCGTGTCGGGCCCCATGTTAGTGGAAAAGGTACTTGGATGGTCAACTGGGCAAGTAGGTTATGATGGCTCCATGCCAATATCAACCATGGATACAAGTAAAACTTGTAGCCTACTTGCTTCTTAAGTGGGTTGAACATGCAAGCAGGACGTCCCTTCCGCGCTCTTGTCTTTCTAAGGAGCGGCCTCAAAAAAAAAGAAGCACACACATAGATGTATAGTGTATAAACATGTATATATATATATATACATATAGACATATCTGCATATGTGTGTAGATGTAAATATGCACATGCATAACGCACATGCATGCGCACACACACGGACAAATACGCAATAACCCCGAGCCCACTTCCAACTCTGGCTTTAAGAAACGCCATATCGAGTTTTACCTTGGCTGTGTGACTGCCCCGCGCCGCCACACAAAGCCCAAGTTCCGCTGCAAAACGCCGATGCGAGCTGCCAATGTGGTGGTCTACTTGGATGGTCACGCCGCTCAGGTCTTAACCAGGTTGCATGTAAACCTTCTGTAAACCACGCCCCGTTCTCCCGGTCACATCCTTGGTTGTAGCAGCCGAGTTATAGCCCACTTCTGTGGGGTTGCCCCTGCTTGGTCCCCGGATCGCCCGAAAGCCAGACCGCCTGCTGCATGGCGCGGCGCTGTTCGCAGAAGGCCTTCGCAAGGCGGGGGAAGGGCAGCCAGGCGGCCCGAAGCTCACCGGCGAAGGAAGCTCTGAGCATTGGCCAGCCACTCCCAATTTCTAGTGATTCTAGTGCTCCCGCCCCACCCCGTCCGAACAAAACATAACAACCCAACTTACCCAACCAAAGAACCGACCTAAGAACCAACCAACCAACCAACCAACCAATCAAAGGAGTCTTAATGAAACAAACTGGTTCCCATCCTCCCCGACTTTTGAAACAAGCTTCCTCCAGGCTCTCGGAGGTGAGGCCCAACTTCTGCAGCGCCAGCGCCGCACGGAGGCGGAGCCCGGCCTCGGGTTGTGGCCGTTGTGCCCTTGGTCGGCTGCTGGTAGCCAGCCACCTCTTGGCGTGCTTTGAACATCGAAAATCCCAATGCCATTCCGTGGTTGATGTAACGGACCCCTCTGCAACAAAGTCGAGAGCTTCTTTTTGTGGGTCCAATGGAACGCCCGAGCTGTTTCCCAATAAGTTGAAGTCCAAAGATCCAACCAAATAGCATAGAGAAAGCAGGGGATCCCCTCAAAAAAATAAGCTCAGGTGATACCCCCAACCGCATGCGGTGCTCTTTTTAGTGCTCGCGCCCTCGCAGAACCTCGTGGAACCTTCGTGGAACCCTGGTGGAACCCTGGTGGAACCCTGGTGGAACCCTCGTGGAACCTTACCTCAGGGCCGTCCCGGACCACCCCGGAGCCTATCTGGGCTGAGACCCCAAAGCTTTCAGCTGTTGGGGAAAAGCACTCAAAAGGAAGCCCTCTTGGCTAATACCTTCTCAGTCACTTTTAGCGCCCTGGGCAACCATAACAGGGGCTTAACCCCGTGACACTCAAGAAAGCCTCCGCAACATGCCTGCAATGCCTTTGACCGCCCGGGCTCTAGGAATGGGAAAAGCCAGAGCACGGATCAAGGGCTTCAGAGGGGACAGCTCCCCCACATAGCCCTCGTTTGCCATTTTTTACGGCTTAAGTTTGTAAAATAGACTCCAGGAATCCTTTAAGAATACATCCAACACCAACTGCCTTAAAGGGGGAGCCCTAAATCTGATAAAGGTGCTGTTTTTGACTGGCCCTCTGCAGCTTCCTCCACTGTTTTTCCCCGTCGCTCTTTGTTTGAAAGTTTAGCCATTGTCCGGAAAGCAGGATGCCTAGAAAGAATAGGGAAGCACACACTGAGCAGTACCCTATGGGCCCAAAAGCAAAGTTGGAGTCAACACAAAGCAGAGGCTGGACTTTTTGATTGCAGTACTTGTTTTGCGGGAAAGCCCAACAGGCCAACAATCCTGGAGGCTCTCAACTGAAGGGCCTTGACAGACTGTGCTCTTGAACCAGTTCGCTCGTTAAAATGCCTGTGCAGATTCCACACGATCTGCAACACGCAAGCCCCAGGCATAAACACCCTCACAGTCTCCTGATGTCCGGCCCAAAACTCAACTGAAAAGAATCTAGGGTGGCATTGCACCTAAAAAGTCAGTGCAAAAAAACCTGCAAGGGACATCCTGCGGCCTTCATGTGCTTTCGCTCTGTCCGGTTTTTGTGGCCGAGCGCGCGGCCACCAAACTCGCCAAGACCCCTGCCGGCTCCAGGCTCGAGGCTCAAGCACCCGGGGCCGCAGAAGGTCGCCCCATAAAAAACCGATCGGTCGGAGGGTCATTCGAGCAATACATCAGGGCGGCCCCTGCAACCTTGCAACATGTTGGTGGGCATTGGTGGGCAAAAAGGGTCCAAGGCTGACTTTGACACCCAGTGAGAACTGGCGGACTAGTCGGGCCAGCGCTAGTCACTCTGCAGCAGCTGCATCGATTGCAAAAAATCCGGGGCCGATTCTAGGTGACAGGCGGTTGGGGCGAGACACGGCAGCCGCCATCATCCCAATGCACGCAATCTGCCGCTCGTGGGGGACAGGGCTAGGTTGACGATTGAGCTTGACCCTGTTGCCCAGCGACGCTTCGAGAAAAAGGGAAACTTTCTTTGGGGGCCAGTCGACAAAGGTACCACTGAGCTGGGAAATGGTGAGCAGCAGGATTCCGTCCTTTTGAACATCACTCCACCCAAAGGAGACACGCCAAATAAAACAAATGCACTAGCTGCCTCCAACCCCCCCCTCCGGCCGATACCAGTGAGCAGCACCAGGATGGAGGGCAGCCAGCTCAGCCTCAAGGCCCCAGCCCCAGCCCCTGACTGGGGCCATCTTCGTGGCTAGGGCTCCCCCTGCGCCCAAAAAAAGTCGAAGTGGGAAAAGGTCGGAGATCCAAATAGCAGTCAAGCAACTGCATGTTCAACCCATTCTGCATGTTGGGGTGCGGCAAAGGAGGTTTAGTTTATTGATCAATCAATCGGCATGTTACCCTCGCAAATTGATGGGTAGAAACTCCAGCTAGCTGAAGCTAGCTTTCGTGATAGCCTTTGCTATTAATGGGTGAACCAGGGGCTTGCGAACATATACACATAGTTACATACTTATTGCAGCCTGCTTAGTGGGTGGTTGAACCCATGCATGCAGGGGCGACTGCCTTTGCCATTTGGCCACCCAACCAGAAAGGGGCATTCCTAAGCCCCATATCAGCGCTCAAAGCGCCAGCTCGCCCATGGGAAGGAAAAGGGCCCGGATACAGATTTGGCAGATTTGCGGGTACTGACCGCAAAGGTCCCTGAAGCCCCGTCGAAACAGCAAACTGCCGCGACCGCATCGAGCACGTTGTCTTGTCGGGCTGAAAGAGTCTGCGCGGCCCTTGAATGGTTAGTTCCGCAGCAACCCAGCACCCAGCCCCTCCCCCTCAAAGGTGTGCCAATTCAAAGCAAATCAAGACGGTGTGACCGAGCATAGTCAAGTGCCGGAGGGCATCGTTGGAAAGCTTTGTGGCTCAGGTTGTAAACCGCCACGAATGCTCCCGTGACAGGCCTCCTAGCTGGCCTTCATGACCTGTTGTGACCCAACTGTGACGGCGGTGTGGTCAAAAATTCACCGACCCGTCGAGGTCGTTGCGCAGTGCTTCAGTGTTGGTGCTTCCCTGGTGCTTCCCTTGTGCTTCCCTGGTGCTTCCCTTGTGCTTCCCTGGTGCTTCCCTGGTGCTTCCCTGGTGCTTCCCTTTGCTTTCTGTTGTCCAGCGCGGCCTTCTTGCGAGTCCGGACAAGTTGGTCAGGCCCCGCGGCCCCCCCGAAACTCCCGCTGTCTGCTTTCCAGGGGCTTGTTGTCATTGAGGAAGCCCAAGGCCATGGTGACCCCAGTGCACACCCCGCAGACCAACCTCAGCACATCGAACCTGCAAATGTTTCAAATGAAACTGTCAAGTGAAGGAAACCCCGAGAATGCCCCATCTGATTTCGCTGGGGTTCCCTGGAAGAAAATTTGGGGGGGGATAGGCATCCGAAAACTGTGCGAGACTACACGGGGGTCTTCAATTTCAAAGTCTTCTCACACATCCGCTCTTTGGGCTGCGCCACTGAAAACCGTTCCCATGCGGGACAGTCCCCAACTTTGACCAAAGGTCTCCAGGTGGCACTGAAGGTTCGCAAAGCCTGTACCATGGAGGTTGTGAAAGGGACGAAGCTCGAGCACTTCTAACTCAACCCCAGCCAAGCCAAAGCAAAGGCCGGAGGGCCGGCAGATCACGAACGCCGGGGAAAGGGGGCGGGATGACAAAACAAGACATCTTTCAGAACCTTCCCAAGGTTCAAGAAGCCATTCACCAAATGGCTGTGGCTCAAAAACATCCCGGCGGACCAACATCCGCGTTCGCATTTTGACGCTTTTCTGTAAAAAACTTGCGTTTCACCTCAGCCAAACGCACATTGAGTCCCCAAAAAAACCTTCCAAAACGAGGGCTCAGTTTTAGAGGCGTTTTACGTTTCGCTGAGGCGAAACGCAAATTGCATCGCCCATTCCACGCCTTCTCCTTTTTCACATCTTTGCGATCGCTACAACAGTTTGCTGCTCCACATCTCGCTGGCGCAAGACATAGCGCCACTGCCAAGACTCTACATACAAGAGGAGACGCGGGCTGCGCGAAGATGCTTTGCAGCTTGACCAGGTAGAGTCTACCGCGCCAGTGTGGCAAACGACCTTTTCGCGTCCGCGAAAAAAACACGTCTTTGGTCAGGCATGCTATAACGAAGCAGTCGGGCGGGCGCGCTGGTCAGGCATGCGTGCAGTGCTTTAACGCAGCAGTCGGGCGGGCGTGCTTACCATTGTCAGGCATGCGCGCAGTGTTGTAACGTGTTGTAACGAAGCAGTCAGGCGGGTGCGCTTACCATGGTCAGGTGCGCGCGCAGTGTTATAACGCAGCAGTCGGGCGGGTGCGCTCTACCATGGTCAGGCGCGCACGCAGGGTTAGAGCGCAGCAGTCGGGCGGGTGCGCTCTGCCATGGCCAGGCGTGCGCGCAGTGTTATACCAAAGCGGCGTGTGCGCAGCGTTGTAACGAAGCACTTACCATGGTCAGGCGTGCTATAACGAAGCAGTCGAGCGGGTGCGGTTATCATGGTCAGGCGCGCGCGCAGCACCAGGGCGAAGCAGTGGTGCGGGCGCTATGTAGCGTTGCAGGGAAAAAGTGAACGCCGTTGAGCGCGGTTTCTGGTCCGCTGGCAAAAACATGTACCAAAATGGCAACTTGGCAAATGGAAGCGAAGACTAAAACCTGCGTAGCCCTAGTTCATTAATTTTGAGCCACACCCAAACCACTGGGCATGTTTCTGGCCATCCCCAGGGCCCATTCAGACCAAGAACGCCAGCGCCATCAGCAGCGACAGTTGCCAGATGCAGCGGCGAAGCAGCATGCCTATGCCCTCGTCCTTCAGCTGTTCCAGCCTCGGAATCACACCCCAACTCTCTTAAACTCAACTGGCCAGAAGGTCTAGGTCCTCCAGTAGAAAGGTTGGGTACCAACTTTTTCCTGTAGTCTAGTCTAGTAGGGGAACCCTCCCCCTAAAAAAGGGGCAAAAGGGCACTACTGGGGGACTTGGAAGTGTTTTGGCGCTTCTACTCTTGCAAACCTGCCAGTGCACCCCGTCCAGGAAACTTGAAAAGCCCAGCCCTCTGTCCAAGGAAAAACCCTTCGAGGGGTGTGTAACCCCCCGGAACCGCCCTGCAAAGAGCAAGAACCCTGGCGCCGTCTTTGCTTCTTTGGCCAACCACTGGAGTGTCTCTGATCCCACGGCCGGGTGATTCTCTTCACGTCTGCGGTGCTTTGGAGGGAAAGCCAACCAGAGAACTGCCTGCCATGTTGGCCTCACAAAGGGCCACAGCGGAATGCCAGAACTCCTTTCAAAACTCGGCAACGCAAAGAGCAGTTTCCATTAAAAAATAATATATCACCCAGTTGCGGAAACTGAAACCGCGGCAGGTGGTTTGCTTTTTCTTCTTTTTGCGGAGGGGGGGGAGGGGTTGAGACCATTTTGAGAGGGCCCTGGCTCACCCAAGGGGCCCGGACCGAGTCGGGCTCCTCTTGAACAAAGGGCGGGTTTCAATAGGTGTCCTTAGAGGATGCAACCAAAAACCACACGGGTCATTCAAATCCGCTAGTAAACGCATCCTTTCCAGGACCCTGCTTGACCCAGCCGCCAAAAAGTCCCAAGCTGTATCCGTGGACAATCCTTTCCCTTCATTGCAACCTGACCTGTCCCTCAATTGACAGAACAGAAGGCAGCTATACCGACCGCTGGTTCCTTTTGTCTCTCTTCCTGACCGGCTTGGCCAAAACTGAGCAGATTGGCCAAAAGAGCCAACGATTATTTCTGTTTGCCTCTAAAATCCTCCTGCAAAAAAAAGTGTGTCTGCCAGGAATCCGCCACAGAACCCATAGGGGCTTTTCTCTGCGCGGCCCCCGGGCTCCAGGGCCCCCGACGCCTCGGGCCCCGGGAAATGCTGCAGCAAGCTGCCGGCGCGCCGGAACCCCCCGTCGCCCACAGAGCTCGGCCGCCTCGCCGCCCGCTGGTGCTGAAGGGGCTGTGGGTCAAAACCCTGTACCGCTGGTGAACATCAAAATAGGTGGGCACATGGGTGTTCATCCGCCCCAAAATCCAAAATGTACATGGGTGTTCATCCGCCCCAAAATGGGATCGGCATAGGTTCTGACCCATGGCCAAGGATCAAGATCACGATACAATGTTTGCAAGGCCAACGCAAATGCCATCAGGGTCTCAGGCTGCACGCTGGACATGATAGTCAAGAGCCGTGAAATGCAAGTTTATGATCGTGGAGTGGGTTCCACTGATTTAATAGCGAAAGGTAGATTCAAACCAAGAGGCGGGGTGTGTGTCCCCAAATGGGAAACCCCTGAATTTAAGTCTATCGTAGGGTAGGCAAACAGTGGAACCCTGGGCTTTGCCTGAAGCATTCAGCATACCATCGCTAACACGCAACGGCGCGCCATCGGGACCCACCTGTATGTGGCATCCAGCGGGTCCCGGTACGGCTCGCCCAGCCTCGCAGTGCAGCGCCAGTTCCAAGGGCCGGCCGCAACCCCCCAGTTCTTTCGTGGCTTCCGGAAACAAGACCCAAAGCCCCAAGCAAGAGTGACACTTCGACCAAGGACCAAGCCTTAGATTTGGATTTGCGGGGATACAAAAGTGACATAATCAATAAGACACAAGTGTCATAATCAATACCTCGTATACTATAAACAAAAAAATGGTCATGTAAAGAAGTGAAAGGGCGGCCGCACCCATGTATGGCTGAGATTGCCCCTTAATTACTGCCTCCAATTACCCGTGACTCAGGTATGGCTTTTGAGGGGCATCGCAGCCGCTGAATCCCCATTCCAACGTGCCATTCTTTGACTTACCCTTCTACCCACCGACGTGCTGTAAACTCTAGACCAAACCCTGCAGGCAGGTGGCTGCGAAACGTTGACCCCAGGATTCATCAACCTCCCAGTTGTTGGGTCCCCTGGAAAAAAAGATTCCCAACTAAGAAGGGACCCCCTGATGAAGAAATCGGGGGAGGTATTTATCAGGGGTCAGCATTACCGTAATATGGGCTTGTCTGTTGTGGGTGGTACCCCTTCTTTGGTGGTCGTTTCAAGGGAAACCAAACCGAAAGCCAGTCATTTGGGGGGGGGGGGGAGGGTGGCGTCCCCTAAACACAAAGGACTCGCCCATCTGCAGCCCCACCTCTCAGCTCCCCGGCCTCCTCAGCGCCAGGCCCGCCTTGATCTCGGCATCCGCCCGCGCCAGGTCCTACGGCCCGGTCCAACCCGGAGCCAAGGATCCCCAAAGCCAAGGACTTCACCACGTGCTCACCTTCTGTTCTTCCTTCAAAGGGTATCTTGCCCCCAGTTCCTGGCCTGGCCCTCCCCCCCTTTTGTCCTTTGAATGGGGAAACCAAGGTGAGCACACCATGGAAGTTGGCTTAGCATGGAATCCCGCTGTGGGAAAAAAATGCCCGAGAATTGGGGAGAGGGACCGTCCAACCGCAGCCTTTCCAAATCCCAAACCAGAACCTGCCACCCTCCGTCCTTGAAGGGAAAGTAGAAGCCCTTCAACGCGAAGCTCGACAGCCTAAGCCCGACTTTCTGCAAGCGCAAGCAGCAAGTTTGGAAAACGAGAGGCGGCATGCTGCAATGGAGAACCAACGCGAACGACGGGGAAAGTGCCATCCTTTCTGGGCCAGACAGATCACACCGTGCAAAAAGTGACCCGTTTGCTAGTGGAAAGGTAAAAATGACGGAAGCAAACAAAGGCGACTAAAAGTAAAAGAACATCTGCCAAGTCTGGCAATGGTTTTACCCTCATGTGCCGCGGCTGACCCAAGGCCTTTTGCCAGGCTCCCAGGAAACCTCGTTGCAAGCTCACCCCAAGCTCGAAGACCCTTGCCAACATCTGGCTAATGCCCTGCTCGCCTCAAGTTGATGACCCACGGTGAACATGCTGGCAGATTGCCATCAGGACTTGGAAGAAAGCCATGAGGGCTTTCATTATTCAAAGGGTGTTCAAGAAGCAAAGGTCAAGATGTTATTCGCAGACCTCCATTGCCAGCGGCTTTCTTCCTGTCCGTGGGCCTCCCAAAAATCACCCCCCCATTGCCCAGACACGCTAGCAAGGTCGGCACGACTGAGAACATCAGCCTCGGTCTGACGAAGCGCTCAAAACGCTTGCGCGATGGACCAAAACGGCTGGTGGCTGGAACCCCTCAGGGGCCGCTCAATTGCTTCATCTTGTGAAACAAGGCTGGGCCAACCGCTGAAAACGTGATGGTATCAGCCATCATTCACTCCCCAAATGAACATGGCACGCAACCATCGTTTTTAAAATCCCCCCTCTTGGGTTCCTGCAACAGCGAATGCAGCAGCCTGCTTGTTTGAAACCATTTGCCACATCCTGCGCTGTTTCTAGCCTGGTTCAACTAGGTCGTCCCAATGACTCATGCCATGAAGTGACAAACAAACCCTCTTGCGGAAAATCACGCTTGTGATGCTAAAGTGCGCCACGCACATGTCTGCATTAATCTGGGAATGGGCAAGCCTAATCACAGAAGGCGACCGATTGTCCACAACCATCTGCAATTCCTACAAACAATAGAAAACCTGGAACGACCATTGGACCCGGACCCACGAGACAAGGACCGACATCATGGGTTTTCACGCTCGCCATAGGCAGAACCATGGCACTGGCACCCTTTTCACCCCAGCGCTCGTGGAAGGGTTCCCCAGGCAACCCGCTGGATGGAAATCCTGCACCATCCACGGTAACTATCACCAACCACCCGAGAAAAAGAGAAGAAAAAAAGGGGCTCATTCAAACACCTGACAACACCAGCAACATCCAGAAGCCGGGGGGTCACATCTCCTGCCCGAAGCCAAGGCGCCGCACGCCCCACTGCACCGTGGAGCTCTGTGGCTGAAGCTGCCCGTCCACCGGGTCCTGCGTGCTGAGAGGCTGGACGCTTGGTTGGGCTCATGTCCTTTTAGGCGCCATCTCCGGTTCCAGCTGCTTAGCGGTACCTTTCAAACCGTATACTTCTATTTGCTTAAGCCCCCTGGAAAACATTGAAAGATTTCCAGTAGTGATAGATTCCTTTTAAAACAAGCAAGAGAAAATAAAAACATGTTCTTAAGCAAATGGATGTATATAATTCCCCCGCCCGTTTGGGCAGTCAGGCCGAAAAGAACGGCGCGGAAGGCCTCGCGAGCCCTCAAACCGTCCTATCTCACCCAAAGACTTAGATCCCCAAACCGTGGGGGCCCCCCCCTGGGCCTTGAAGCCCATCACTGCCAGCAGAGTCAAAGGAAATGCGGAGGCCGGCACGCTCACCACCTGATCAAACCAAGCACAGGCTTTGGACCTACCCCATACTGATATCCCCCCCCCCAAAATGGTGGTGGGAACCCCCTTCCCTTCAAACATCGCATTCCTGAGTTTCCCTGAAACTCGGTATGCCGAAAATAATGCAAGAAAGCGAAAAGAGCGGATATTCGCGAGTTTTTATGGTTGGGGCCCCTAACCTTCATCTACCCGGGTTTCAACCCACCTGAACTCGGCAGTCAAAACCCAAACATTTTCAACCGAATCATTCCAGCTGCCCCTAAAAATAGACCGGCGCAACCGGTGAGACCCTAAGGCCCTAGTTGACTCCAGACAGCTTTCATGCGATATTTGAGAAGCCGCCCGGGCTCAGCGAAGGGCGCCGGGAAGCACCCGGAGCTTTCAGGGGCGGATCGATCACTCTTCCGCCTTACCCTTGTGAAAAACCAGAGATGGCCTAAGTTCGGTTGCAGAATCAAAGTTGTTAGGAACAACCCCAGATTCCTCAAGGTATCCACCGGCTCTGGATTTCTTGGGAGGCAGTCAGAGTTTTCTGTCCAACTGCCAAAAGCTTTGGGGCCTCTGCCCAAACAAGCAAGGCTTCTGGGGCATGTTGCTGGGGAATGCAGATGAACTTCCGGGGCATGACGCAGTCCCCTTTCCGAGTTGCAGCCCTTAGCCATCCAGGGAGGAAAGGAACGGTCTACTCTGGCCCTGCTTGGGCTTTGGGGGGTCTGAGCTGGTGTGGGGTCCCGACAAGGTTTGTTTGGCCCTCTCCGAACCAAAATACATTATTAATCCCACCACCCTACTTTCATTTCACAACTCGCAACTCTTTGCACAAAAGACCGCCCTGCCTTCGGGATGAAGCTGGCGAACATGGTGAAGGTGGCCTGGGTTGCGTCCCCAGATTCGGAAAACTTGAAGGAAACCAAAAGGCTGTTCAAACAACGGCCCGGGTGAAAAATAGTAATTCACCACAGTGCGTTGGAAGAAGGCAGTTGAACCATCAGAAAGAACGGCCTACGAAAGGAACCTTCATCGAAAGGTCGCGACCCTCTTGGTGGTATCCCTACACGTTTTCTCCGCGGCTCACGTCCAAAGGGTGCTCCAAGGAACCTCGTTCCTGACTCCCGTCCGCAGCTCGTCGTAGTCAATGACCAGACCCAAGATGTTGTCTGTCAGAAAGCTGGCGCCTCAAGGGCTGGGGAATGCCCCACCAAGGCTTACAGAATGGCATGCTCAAGTGGCCATTTCCAGGTTTGCTCCCTCTTCATGCCGTCCATGGGGGGGTGAGGCCCACTGCCCCAGGTGCCTATCCCCGGAGGCAACCCTGTGGTAGTTGAGGTCGTTGTTGGTCCCTGGATCTATTCCGGAGAGAGTCCAATATGCCAGTAATGGATGATTAGAGGATGGATTGTCCCTAATGGATTGTCTTGTGGATAATCCTGTAAGCGGCCTGCAATGGTCGGATGGTCGTGATTCTGCAAAAGGGGCCCTTGAGCCAAATGTTGCGGGAGATCAATGGTCTGAAAAACGGAACAAAACAGACACAAATTTCTTTTGATCTCCAGCACAAAGTATGAAATACTATTGGCTTCATGGCCTTTGACCGTAGCCTTGATGTGTGCCGCAGCCATGTGATTAAAAGTGCCGGATTCATCCTTTTCTGCTTGGATGAAATGTCTTGGCCTTCGAAATGGGAAACACTATGTACTGCTTCTTTTTGGATACCTAAATGTATCAAAGGGTGATGTACAACTCTATGTACACGCGGAACGATTGTGAAACTATTGATCTCTCACTCATGGTATAGTCTTGTAGACGACGAGGATCAATCATCTGGATTGTTCGTGGTGCTGAACGTATCTTCATGGTCAGTCGGATCGACGATACCATCGGCGGCTGCTGTCGGATTGACTGCCATAGTCCCCATAATCATTCCAGGTCGAAGTGCTATAGTCCTTCCACTGCTTCTGATGTCCCCACTGCTTGTTGTAGTCCTTGTGCTCCTGCGGGGTCCAGGATGATTGCTTCTTCTTGATGTAATCCTGGTATCTCTCAGAGCTGCGTTTACTGGTTGCAGATTTGCTGCGGATGTAAACCATGAGAGGACTGTGGGAGTCGGAGTCCTGCTTGCCATTCATGAACATTTCATTGCTCACGTGCTTGTAGCGCTCTGCGGATGAGACCTGGTAATCGAATATGGCCTTGGCTGGATGGTTCCGCATGAATTCCAGTTGTTCATCATCCATACCGTTCATCTCGTCCTTCCGGAAATCCTGCTGGATGTTCGTTTTGCCCCATCCAAATACGATAGTCATCATCACATCTGGGAATGTTCGATCAAATCCTGATCCGCATTTCATGTACAGGCTGTACAGGTGATGACGGACAATGGATTTCAGGGTGCACGAAGTCTCCATTGCATACTCCATTCTGTCCACGAGTGGCAACTTCTTCGTTTCATTCCACAGTCTCTGATATGTCCTCATGAGGATGTTCACGAGACCGTTGGTCGGATTGTAGACGTGCTGGAGTTTGCTGTAGGTGTTCGCTGATTTGTTGGCGTCTCCGGTGATCGCATCGCATCGGTACAAGGTCACGAGCGGCATGATTTCATTCTGAAGATCTTCCTTTGCTGCTCCATGGCTAAGTGAAGGATGGATGTGGAAGACTCCAATGGTTGCGAATGGTAGATCTGCCCTCGTTATGTGGCGGTCGTCATACTCGTGGAATGACTTGGCGGATGAGTTTCGTGGCATGATCCCGAAAGCATCCGACAAGTCATTCCACGAGTATGACGACCGCCACATAACGAGGGCAGATCTACCATTCGCAACCATTGGAGTCTTCCACATCCATCCTTCACTTAGCCAGCTCGTGACCTTGTACCGTTGCGATGCGATCACCGGAGACGCCAACAAATCAGCGAACACCTACACCCAACTCCAGCACGTCTACAATCCGACCAACGGTCTCGTGAACATCCTCATGAGGACATATCAGAGACTGTGGTAGCGGAGCTGGAACCCTGTGGTAGTTGAGGTCGTTGTTTGTCCCTGGATCTATTCCGGAGAGAGTCCAATATGCCAGTAATGGATGATTGGAGGATGGATTGTCCCTGGTGGATTGTCTTGTGGATAATCCTGTAAGCGGCCTGCAATGGCTCTTTTGTCTTCACGCTCGGATGGTCGTGATTCTGCAAAAGGGGCCCTTGAGCCAAATGTTGCGGGAGATCAATGGACACAGGGGGGGGGGGGGAAAGGCACTGGGAGAGGCAAAAGGGAGCGGCGCCCATCCAACACCGGAGATGGATTTGCGTGAGGTGCTCGACCCATTCCACAAGTGCCGCAGAAGCACGAGGGTTCTGAGTTCCCTTCTCATCCCGTGGAAATTCCGGCACTTCCCTGCTGTACCTCACTTGAAGTTTCACGCGGCGGCCCAAGTGGAAGGCCGCAGCCACTCCAAAAACTGGTGGAACCCTTTGTGGGTTTCCATGTTTCGCGGGCCCCAAACCCGCCAAACCCACCAAACCCAAAAACATGTTGGATTCCAAGCCTCGAGTTGCGCCGACGCCGATTCGGCCGCCCTCCCACAAGATCCCTGGGCCTATGGGGGCGCCATTCAGGATGGCGAAGCAAATGGTGAGCACGATGGCCAAGGTGCTGGATCGGCCCAGAATGAACCTGAGAGATACCGTACCCTTGGGTTTGTCTCAAGATGCGGAGGGATGACTTTGGGTGGGCTCAGGGGTGATTTTGGGTCACCTTTCTGCTGGTTTCGCATCATTCAAAAAAAGAAATGGGGCCCCCAACGAGAGAGCCTTCGTGGTGAGTTCGTTTTACCCCCGGGCAAGGGTGTCCATATGAAATAACAAGGGGCGAACTGACTCGGGCCAAAACACTTGAGCGGTGGGAGAAAAACCGTCCGTGCCAGTATAGTCCAAACATTTTGAGAACTCGCGAATTCTCCAAATTACTTTTGAGGGCGGGGTCCACTGCAAACCACCCCATTTAGCGGGTCATTTTGCTGATGTCACTTGAAAAGGACCCAGCAGAACCTGCGTTCCGTCCAGTTGACCACCCCTACTTTCCACTGAATGGAAAGCGCAAGGACTGAAGCGTCAAGGCGCAGGATAGTTGTGATGGCGTTCAGGAAGTTGAAGGCCAGCCATGTCCTTGAACAGATCTGCACCACTCGCTACAATTAGCCCGAAAATTGGAAATCTGGCATCAGGAAATCATCGTATGCCTTCTTTCTGCATTCTACCATCGGGGTCAACTTCTTGCAAGTTGACCGGTTGTGCTTTCCTCTGGCATTCGGGAATCATGATCGCACGCAGTCGGCCGAGCTGGATCAACATGATCCGCGCCAAATCAAAAGGAGCTGCTCCCCCCATGGGTACGCTACTCTCTCCCCCCGTACGCTGCTCCCCTCATGGTATGCAGGTACCTTCGCTTCGGGATTGTTTTTCGACCTCCCCCCGACCAAAGCGGAAGGGTCCTGTAGTCCCCGAAGCCCATGGCGGCCTTCTGCCAGAGGGGCATGGAGCCAATGGCCGCCAGCAGCATGCACACCAGGCCGATGCCCAGCCTCAGCGTCGATTTTGGGGAGCTTCCATGGGCCAAAACGAGGGCACCCAGTTTTGGGGGTTGATGTCGCGTTGGCGTTGCGGGGGCAGGGGGTGGTGGTGGCTTCCCTTCACAAAAACCGACCCCAGCGGAAGGGCAATTCTGGACGACCCGCCGGGCCCCAGGCAGCATGCGGGAGCTGCACCGCACGCTGGAGATGGGGATGGGGGGGTCGCTATCCTGACACACCTCCTCCGGACTGATGACATACCTCAGGCCGGGCGTGAAGCTCCCCCTTTTCGGTGTGAGCTGAGGGTTGTCTCCATATGCAGGGGGAAAATGCTATTCCGGTGGCAAAGAGAAAACAACTGCTACGTCATACCTATGTTGAGGGTTGCTCAAAAGAAAGGGTCCCAATTTGGGACCACAAGGGTGCCTTCAATTTCCCTTAAGGTCACAGGGGTCAAATACCTCAGGGCAAACATTGTTCAAAGTAGTCTAAAAACCAAGGCTGGCGGCAAAGGTTCTCGTCTGGGCTCAACTGAATGCGGAACTCGGCCAACAAAAAAAGCAGAAACAACTGCCGGCGGATAAGTGGGAAGATTTAACCTCTGGTTGTGATGGTTCCGATGCCCTTCACGACATTCATTGTTTGCCCCATCCTCATTGCTGCGCGCGGGACTCGTCATATGTTAAACCTTGGAAAATCCAAGGACCTGTTTGAATTTCCCTCTGCAAGGCCCGGTTGCCGAAATGTGTTCTTCTCGCAAGATGGCCCAACCAAGGGCTCCCCAAAAGTAAAGACCCCTCTAATAATCAACCAGCTCCTTCCAACGGGTTCCCATTGACATTGGGTAATCAAAAAGAAAGCACATGGGGTTCGGCTTTTGTCCAACCCCTGCGCTTTCTCCGCCCTGGAACCGTTCTCCAACAGCGCCGCGGCGCTGCACGTAGAATGGCAGAAGCGAGGACAGCATCGCCACGATGGTCTGATCCAAGACCCAGGGGATCACCATGGCCTCAATCCCCAAGTACCCGCCCGAACCTCAGACCCTCCAGCAAGAAGCCGCCAGGACTTCTTCAGCGACCCCGTAGATGAAGGTTTCTGGGAAGAGGTTGACACAAATGCAGGAAGCATCAACAAGCAAGGCACCTGAAACCTTTTTGTCTCCCAGGGGCACTTTCGAAGAGGTGCTTTCACTGCTTTGGCAGGGGAGGAAGCTGAAGCCTGCTTTTAGGGCTCCTTATCACCTCAGGAGTCTGCAACCCCCCCCCCCACAAAAAAGAAAGAAACGAAGCCTCATTCTTGGGTCAGACTCAGGCGGCTCCCCACTAAAAGTTAGAACATGATTCTGGCTGGAAAGGAAAATGGAGGCAAACCCCAAAGGCAAAGAGTCGGGGAGGGGTCATCTGGCCTCCAAATAATGTAGTTGGAACTTCTTGCTTGGGGGGAGGGGTCCGTGGGGGTTGTTGGGCAGCTCCCAGTGCTGATTTTTTTGGCATCCCCAGCCTCACCCGGACCTGGAGCCTAGGGTTGCCTATCGACTCCGCTTGGGTGGCGGTTGGGAGCTGCTTCAGGCTGGTTTAATTCGGGGAGTTCGGCTGGCTTGAGGGTGGGTCTTGGGTTGGTTTGGGGTTCATTTCGGCTGTCGGCTGGGGTTTCGGCTGACTTTAGGGTTCGCTTGGAGCTGATGTGACACGTGTTATGGTTTAGCAGCGGCTTTGGGTTTGCTTTAGGGTGTGGTTACGTGAGTTTCGGGCCAGTTTTCGTAGTGTGGGGCGCCTCCAAAACCACTAAACAAGCACGAAACTCACATAACCACACCCTAAAGCAAACCTGGCCGGCCAACCAACCGACCGACCGACTGACCAGCCAGCCAGAGAACCAAACCCAAGAAAAAACCAGCCCTGGGAGAAACAAACTCCTCATCTGTTTTTTTGGGGTCCCGCCCTTTCAAACAAACCACCAACGGCACCTCCCCAAACCGCGCCGCCGCCCCAAGTGTATCCTGGGACCCGAGCTCTGAAGGGCCGGTTCTGCAGCATGGCCTCGCCAAAAGGGAGCCACCCAAAAAACCCGGCACAAGAGCACGTCGGGGTCGCACAAAAAAGGGGGCAACATGGCCCCATCTGCTAAATGGCCTCAGGGCGCAAAGTTGTTCTTTCAGCATTTCAGGGCTGCGCAGCTGGTTCTCTTCCTATAGGCACATTGCTACTGGACAGGTAAGCCGTTGGATCGGCATAACATGCCCGAGCTGAACCAAAGATGCCCGAGGTGCCAAGAAGCCCGGCAGGATCTCGTCGAGCTTCCTTGGGCGCTGCCAGTCAGGGTTGTCGCTGGTGGGGGAGGGGGGGTTGAAAACGGATGCTTGCGCTTTCTTTCTGGTGAACAAGCCGCCAAGCCCCAGATGCATCCAGCACGCAGATGAAAGGTAGACACCCGACAAGTGAAAAATTGTTTGCCACATTGGTGTCCTCTTCTTAGACCTCTTTACCTTTTGCTTAAAACTTTACCATCTGCTTAAAACACAAACCGGCTGGGGCTCAAAAACGGAAATCCCCTCCCGTGACGCAACGATGTCCTCCGCTTTGCCCGAGGCGCGAGGGTTTGCTATCCTCCTCCAGTAGGGCGCCTGGTGCTCCCTCGGATCTCCTCTCGCGGATCACCAGCACGCAGCTGATGCCTAGCGGCCCGAGCGCGTGGCTCACAGTGGCGCTTTGGTTGTAAAACTGGGCTTCCTGAGTGAGATGTCTCGAACCCAATGGGTGGCAGTGGGCAGAAGGCGGGTTCTCTCCGTGTTTCGCTGCTTCAATTGAAGCCGAGCTCCAACCACCCTTTGATTCATGCCGAAACGGCTATTCAGGCGCAGGTCCACTTCCTGAGTGGATGTCCCTAAGTGGACAGAAAGCGTTACCGCCATCATCTCTTAGGGCCTCTTGTGCACTCCCATACGTGTTTGGCAGGCAGTCATGCAACAAGTGCTTTGAAGTCTGGAAGTCTCCGGTTCAAAATCTGGACCGAGAACCTATGCGGGGATAGTCTTGGTTGCAGACCTTGCTTCCACTCGTCTTTTTCACAGGTCTCGGCAAAAACCATTTGCAGTTCCTCGCCAGCCGTGGTGGGTCCCATGTGAGGTGGCAGGGTCCTAGTTGAAAGGGAAAACCCACCGACGAAAGCCCATCAGCCCGCCTGCAAAAACCGCCACGGAGCCGAAGATCAGCCCAGTCGCCTCGGGAAAAACGTCCGTTCTCTCAATCAGCCAATCTGAGAATCTGGGCCTTCCACCAAGCATCAATCAGCATCGCATGATGCAAGGGGTTTGAGTTTTGTCTACCCTTTTCCTACTTTGATGCCAACTTAATTCGGTTTTTACGGTCACCTTCACCCTCGCGGCATAGGCATCAAAGCGGAGATCTGACATCGGCCCACCCAACAAGAAAGGGACCTGTGAGCAAGAATCATTCACTTGCACAAGGATCCGGGAATAGAAAAGTGAACCTTTCGGATGCTTGACGAAACCGGAAAACCAAAAGGTCAAGAGGTCGTCTTTGGACAAGTGAGATCAGATAGCATACCCAGCCAATAGCTGCAATTTGCAGTCTGGAGATCTCCCATGGGTGGGCCACAATGAGGAGCCCTCCCAGTCGGGTGTCCTTTGGTTCCTCAGCGCAGACCGAAGAGTCTGTCAAGTTGGTTGGCGCACCCGTCATGTTGGACGGCTTCCGTCCCTTTGGGCGCATGGCCATCAAGGGCGACTTGTGCGTTCATGCCGCGGAAGCTCGTCATTTCTACTAACTTCCAACTTTTCCTGGACACTCCCACCTTCCGGGGCAAGGGAGAGCCCCCAAAATCTTATCGCCATCGAGGTACCAGGATGGCATGACGGCTTTGCAGGCCGTCGCACTCTCGCTCCAAGGCCACGCAGTACGCCTGCCAGGCGCGCGTTTGCAATTGCTGGGGCGAGAGTAGGCAAAACCCCTCCTATCGTGCGGCGCCCTGCAAATCAGGGAGCCACGCCAAGCAAACAGCACAGTCAATCAATGTTGACCTGAATTCAAACAGAAACTGGGAGCATTCTCGAGTGCAACTTACATGGGAACCAACAAGCAAGGCTTGGTGCACATTTCCCGCCGTTGGCATGGCTACTGGCCAATAACCCAGGCGGTTTGCGAACCAAAACCCATCACAGTGGTCAATGGATCTAACTGGACCCACTATTTGACTACAAGTATCAATTACTCCTCGGCTTGAACCTAACTTGGGCCAGTCAACAAATGGAAGCCTGCCTCTGAACATTGCAGGAGCGGGTGGGCTCGAAACCTATAAATTGAAGAATCATGGCTCCCAGTGCTCTTGTTGGGCTTCCAGTGCTGCCCTCCCGAGTAATCCAAAATGCTGAATAGGGCGTCTGAAGAAATCCTTGTTACAATTGCCCATCCTACGGCTTCCCTTGGGGTAAATAAAACAAACATTACTGCTTCTTTGAATTTTGAAGCAAACCAAACATCATGGGAAAAATATCAAAAAACACCGGCTTTTCTTGGAATAAATTCGGAAAACCACCGGGCTTCTTCACCCCCACCCCTCCCCACCCCCTACCCCCCCTTAGCTGGATGGAGCTCCACAGCGTCCCCGGCCTCCACCTCCGCCGGGGCGCCTTTGGCGGAGCACTCCGCCGGCAGCTCGCAGGCGCCCATGAAGTTCCCCAGAAGCACCGGGAGCGCCGCTGCGGCGATCATGCCCAGGGCCTCCACTTCTCTCTGCCCGAAAAAAAGAAGGAAAGGGGTCTGATGGGCACAAAAAATGTCGGGCTTTTTGTGGTTCTTGGCTGCAACATATACTCCCTGTGTCCATGGCACGCGGGGGGGATTTGTTGAGGGAGGGAGTCCTAAAAATAGGTTTTCTTCTTTTTTTGGTGAGGGGAGGGCGGGGACGGGGGGGAGGGGTCACACTCAGAAAACGACCAAAACAAAGCATGCCTTCAAGTAAACCAATGGCATCTCCGACAGCAACCCAGGACCCTTCCGCAACCCTGGAGCCGCTCCGAACCACTCCGGAGCCTAGCTACGCCGAGACCTTCCAGCTGCTGGCGAAACTGCCGGCTTTTGTGCCCCCCAAAAAATGTGTTTGAAGCGCCCAAAAGAGGCGCCGCTTGAAAATATGGCTTCTGGGCGTTGTTGGGGTTGGATCCCTGAAGCACTTCCGTTCTGGGATGCCCCAAATCAACGTTGTTAGAAAAATATGCCCCTAGAGTTGTTTCCCCTTTTTTTTCTGGGGGGCCATGTCAATCTGCGAATGGGGAATGCGTATTTCTCTTCCCTATGGCTAGTCCTTAATGGGGATATGAAACAATTGCCCTCTTCCTCGTGACACCGTTTTGGCTTTGGGGCACTGCCTTTCGACTGCGCGGCACCTAGCAAAGACCTTCTCGAAAACAGCTGGGCACAAACCAACGCATCGATTTGGAGCCTTCACACCCTACATGTATCTGCTCGCGCTATGGAAGTCAACTCGAACCTGCAATACGGATTTCCCAGCAAAGGACATTCATCATGGTGAGATTGTCTTACCTGCAGGTGAGCTCATCTCCATAAGAATAGCAGATCTACTTCCAACCTAAGCTTTGTCCTGCTGCTTCAAGTACCCCAATGCCACTAAACCACCCAACCCTCCAACCCCTCCCACCCAACCAGACCCAAACTACATCGGTTTGAGACGACTGGAAATTCTCCCTAAACTGAAAACTGTGAGGCCCCCTCTCCACCTTCACATTGTCCGCCAAAACAACGCAAAATTGTAAACTGCTAACTCGTAACTCTAGAATAATTCGCAAACCCCGAAATGAGGCATCCGCGAGTAAAGGACCCACATCCTTGGCTTTTGCTCACTTTTACCCGAGCTGAAGACCCATAAAAAGAGGTCCCCCTTCACGGATGTGGACCGGCACCCCTCATAGACTCACTTCCTGGATGGGCCAAAACAAGTCCAAACTTGTTATCTGCAACTTAAATACTCCAGACCCAAGTGCCTGAGGCCCCACCCGGGAGTGAGCCGGGTGTCTTATTTTGCCAAAGATCGCGCAGAAGACCTCCCAAACCAGAACCCCCAAACCCAAACGCTCCCAAGAAAGGTAATTAAAGAGCGTCGGGGAAAAGTCGGACACCCTTCCACCCGTTTTCGCCGACCCCCCCCAAAAAAAAAAAACGAAAATACGAGAAACAAAGAGAACCGGCGCCAGGTCGCGCAACTCCACGTCGCGCCTGGAAGATCTTGGCGACCATGAAGACCAGGCGCCGCTGGTCGGTGTCGGAGGTGATCTCTTGGCCCAGCGCGTTGTGGGGGATCGAGGTGATCCTACGGACGCAACAGGACACCTCCCGCTCCTCTAAACAAACGGACGTGTGCGCGTAGGGGATGCCCATGGCTTTTTTTGTGGTGAAAGGGGAAGAAGGTGCCTTGGATTAGTTGCGACAAAAAGTGTGGTTGTTTCCTCTTGTTTTAAGGGCCCCGAATCGCTTGCTGGGCTTTGTCTCATTCAAAGTAGGCTAGAACCAAACTGAAACCTCTGGAATCCATCTACATCTGTTCAACCACGCCTACAAAGGACGCCAGTGACTTCACTACTTGGACCGCAATTGACTTGCTGGCTCTCAGGAGAGTTCCTGAGGTTTGCGGAATGAACAGCTCGGGATTCCCGAAACTCCCTGCTGAGAACCATCCAGGTTATGAGGTGTGGAAATATCCCCGATGAGATTCCAGAGTCGGAAGTCATGAGCCACCCCTTCCCCCCAACCACTTTCAAACCTGAGGGAAGTGACCTGTCGAACACCCGCGCTTATTTCTTGGGCCTCCAAGGCATCTGACGGCCCTATGGTTTGAACTTTGCACATGTCAAAATCTGGGCTTGGCCCAACTCTCAGGGCGGCACGTGTCTGTCAGGAAGAAGAGGATGTAAAAGAGACCAAACCAAGCGCCCGTGCTGTCCGATGACAGGGACGTGGGCGGCGAGCACAAGGCCTCGGTTTGAATGAACCGGGCTCTCGTTCTCTCAACCCAGACCTCTTTTTGGGGCCCAAGAAAAAAGTAAGACTCTGACTGGGCCCATTTTGGTATCAAATTATCCAAATCGTGGGGATAAAAGGGAGACCACCAGGAGACCCCTAACACGCAACCGCTGTCAGGGACCACGATGCTCCACAAAACTGGCTCCGTCTTTCTGGCTGCAGTGAAAAACCCACCAGAATACGGCCTTCTCGACCAATCACAAACGGGTGTCAAAAAGTGTGTCTGTTTTTTTTGGCCTCCCTTAAACCAAGACAAGGATACCCTCAAAAAGAACACACACAGCTCAGACTTGCGATTTCTGGCCAAGACCGGCTTTCAACTAACTGTCCATGTCCACGAGCAAAAAGGGCACACGCTTCGGCAGTTGAGTTCAAAAGCAGGGTCCCCCCAGCAACAAAACGGGGCAACAAAAGGAATCCATTCGTTTTGAGTTGATTTCCCCGTGTATTTTATAAAAAGAGGACGGTAAAGGGACGCGCTCCTCGTCTCCGCCGGGTTGCCACCAGGCAGAGGGCGTACAACACGCAGCCCAGGAGAATGAAAGGCCGGCGCCGCCCGAAGCGGCTGGAGAAGCCATCCGAGATCTGCGACAGTTCCGTGTCTCCCCACAAAGGGGCCGTTCACAAACATGTGGCCATGGGTCAAAATCCAAATCGTACCCCCAGTGAACATCGCAATCCAACCACTGAAATAGATTCTAAAATGTGGTGCACCTACCCCAATATAGGTTCATTGGTTTTGACCCAAGGCCATGTCAAGGCCTGGTTGATTTGGTTAGTCGCTTGGATGGTTGGCTTGTTGGCTTGTTGGTGGCTTGGCTTGCTGGTTGGTTTGTTGGGTGGTTTGTTGGTGTTTCTCCATTCGAACCCCTGCGGTGATTTTCTCGGAAGTCCCCTGAATCGACCCGGGTTGCTCGCTGTTGGAAAAGAACAACTTGCTTTTGGCTGAGGAGCCGTGCGAGACTTCCATTTGCTCTGGATACTCGCCATCCCCAGTTTCAACCAGTGGTCAGGACGGTTGGAAAAAGAAGTGGAACCCTGTGGGGAATTCACCCCGAAAAAGTACGAAGCCACAGTGACTCCACTAAACACCCATCCCACGGCATTTTGCGGAGGGTCACCCTCTGCATTGACGCGGAAGCCACAAAACCAGCATGTAGAGAAATCTCCCTTGAAGTCCCAGACCCCTTTTTTGGGCTCCATGTCAATCTGTCTTTCCTACATCCTCCAGCACAGAGGTCAGAAGAAACTTACCCTTTTTTCTCCTCTTGTCTATTTTAGTAGGGGAACCCTCCCATCCAAAAAAGAAAGGGTAAAAGTTGGCACCTAGCTGGGGGACCTAGTTTTGCATGGATTTGGGGCAACGTAAGGCCATTGCCCCAAACGAACCGCTGGCCCAGCGGCTCCCCCGCCGGCCACGCGCGTCGCCGCGCCGCGCCGGCTGCGCCTGCGCCATCAGCGGGTCGCTGAGCACGTCGAAGCACCGGGCCGTGGAGGTGAAGAAGGCCACAGCCCCCAGAGCCGCCCCCGCCTCGCGACATCGCGGCGGAAAGGCCCGGCGAATTTGGGGGTTGGGGTGGGTGGGGGTTACTCTTGACCCCCCTGCAAAAAGTGAATAACTTTTTGGGGGTTTAGTGGAAAACACCCTGATTTCCCAAAAAGTTAAAGTCTAAAGATCCAACCCAATAGCAGCCAAGGGTTTAGCAAGTTGAGCTTGTTCTCTGGACTTGCTGCGTTTAAAAAAAAAAAAAAGCCCAGTCCCCACCACCTTCCTCTCCCCTCTCCTCCTTCCCCCCCCTCGTGGTCGAAACAAGTTGCCTGCTGGTAAAAGGTCAGCAGATGCACGCTGATGAGCAGCTGCACCGGAGTCTTCGCGAAGTCCAGGGCCCCATAGCAGAGGCGCTGTAAGGGACCCACCTGGAACTCCTCGAAGCGGTTCGGCCGTCGGCGCGAGGCAAGCACGGCGCGGCTCGCGGTGCTGTTCCGGCGCCGAAGGGAAGCACAAATTAAGAGAATGGGGTGAGGTGCTTCAACAATAAGCTAGTGTCGACCCTTGTGGTTTGATGGATCGTTAGAGGCTCGGAGCAGGCCTGCAGAAGGCAGCCTGCCGACCTGCGGACGATAGCTTTTCAAAATGAGGGCGCCAAGATCTGTGTGCCACAGGCAGTCCTTGCCATCCTTCTCCTTTTCATTCCTCGGGCAACAGGCATAGAAAATGCGCCACCCCAGTCTCAAGCCACAAGAGGCCTACTCCAGACAACGCAGAGGAAGAATGATCTATACGATGGAATCAGGGAGGATGGATGGCATGTTGGCCTTCTAAAGGCAAGGGAGTCACTTAGCTTTGGCTGTGAGTGTCGCCATTAACCACCGGACAAAGCTTCTCCCCTCTGAATCCTCGGATCCTCTCTTCAATGGCACGCCCGGTCCAAATCAACCAGATCCGGCCCCGACCCCAGACCCGCAGTGACCTTTCTTTTGCCAGTTCGGTTTCAGTGGAAACTCAAGCTGTTCTGCGGCGGCTTTCTGAGAAAACAAAGGAAGCAACCCGTTCAACCCGCTGGAGGTCTGGATGGCCGAACCTTCACTTTGTGCCAGAGGCACGGGAAGAGAGCCTCGCTGCGGTCCTTCAGCAACCGCAGCAACTCCTCCCCGGCCTGGCGGGCTGAGTAGTCACCCGACCCTGGAGAGAGACCAGAGAAGAAAACCAAAACAAGCGCACAAGCAACCAAACGTAAAGAAACAAAGAAACTAAGAAACAGCAAGCAAGCAAGCAAGCAAGCAAGCAAGCAAGCAAGCAAGCAAGCAAGCAAGCAAGCAAGCAAGCAAGCAAGCAAGCAAGCAAGCAAGCAAGCAAGCAAGCAAGCAAGCACGCACACAAACAAACAAACAAACAAACAAACGAAAACACAAACGCAAGCCCAAAACATGGGCGTGGCTCGTCAACCTTAAATGTTGCCTTGCGGGCTCGGAACCTTGAAGGTCAGATTCAATATGGCTCCAGTTGGAAATTCTGCAGGCTGTCCGTTCTTGACCGGCCATGGTTGATCGGCCTTTTCTTCTGCACATGTCGAATGGTCAAAACTCCCTTCAACTGATACTGTGTCCGGACTTGGCCCCTGGCGGCCAGGAGTTTGCGGCCCTTTAAGGAGGCACCGAGCTCTAGGCTTCAACATCTTCCAGCCCCCAAGTTGTCATCCGCCCAAGCCCCGCCCGGCGCCTCAGAATGGGCGCCGCTGAGCGCAGAGCCATGATGGTCCATCGGCACCAGGCAGAGCTATCGCAAAAGACCAGGTGGATTGATAAATGTTCCTTCCCCCCCCGCGCCCCGAAGTGAAGAATCCACTGGTTGAAGCGGGTTTCTCCTGGCTGGACTGGCTCAAAGGGAAGAAGTGAATTCCACCATTCAAAAGGGGGCTGCCTGTGGGAAACCTTCCTCGGCTTTTTAAATTCTTGCCCCGAACCGAAAATACTATGTCACCATGTTTTGCGCCTGGTCCATATATAGAATAATCTCAGACAAGATCCGAGGGTTGTTCTTCTTTGGTTGGGCCAATTTCTGAGTGCTTCGCCACACGGCCACTAGGCCACCTGGGCCAAAAGCAAGGCTAATGCTGGGTCCGCAGGTTGCAGCAGCAACTCTTTGTTCTTTTTGGAACCCTGGAACTCGTGATTGTTTTGCTTTTGGCGCTGGTTGTGGCGAAACCAAAACGCTAGGAATGTCAAAGTTGGATCTCTTGTCTGCTTTGTTGCGCGCTTGAGCTTGAGACGGCACCACTTCCGGCTTTCGCAAGCCACCCGCACTCCCCCGGCCTACGCGCGCGGGCGCTAGGGCGCGTAGGCCGGGACACCCCACCTTTTTAACCTTTGGAGCAGCCGACCCAGGCCTCCAAACCGACTTCAAGGGGACACTCCAAAAGAGAGAAGAGAAAAAGGGCACTGGAGGTCTGGGCCTGGGTCGCCAAGCCCTGCAGATAGAAAAGAATAACCAAACTTGCCACTGACCTGTGGCTCCAGTGCTTTCTGCTGTGGCTTGGCGATGTTTGTCTGATGACTTGAGTCACAAACAAGGCAGTGGTTGGTCAACGCATGTCGGAGAAGTAGGGCTATAACGAGTACCACGGTATGTCAACCAACCCCTGCTCCAACCTGGGATGGCTTGAACAGCCAGTTGAACTTCGGGCAGTCTATTTGGGGGGCCTTGACAACTTTCAGCTGAACCTCCAAGGAAACCGAATTACAGGAGCCTTGCGGCCCCTTGGAGCTGGCACGCGCCCATGTTTTCTGCTCCGCAAAAGTAAGCGATCCGTGGGCTTCCCCCATGTTTAACCGCGCGTCTTCGGCAGGGGAGGGGGGAACTGGGAAAACCGGCCATCCTATAGTGCCCTGCGGCACCCTACTGGTTGCCCGCCGGACAGGGGCCACCGCAGTAATTTGCATGGAAGGGAGGGGCCCGCCTTTCTTGCTGGCCAGAAAACAGGGCCGAAAAGAACGAGCAAGGAGCAAAACAACGCTTTTTTACATGAAACAACAAGAGTGCTCTCGGAGGGCGGCGGGCCCTTCCCTTCACTGCGACACATTCCAAAAGCCATGGGCCTTGAAAAACAAAAGAGGCTCGCCCCTAGTCGCCTTTGACCAAAATCGGCAAGAAACTAAACACACAGCGCACCAGCGATGCAACCACTAAGACTACACCAGGCATTTCTTAATGACAAACCCTCACTGATCTAAAATTCACTGACCTCATGCCAGACAAATATGTGGTGATTCCACGCCTGGTTTCAGCACAACAAAATTTGCCTCAGGCGAGAAGTTCTCCGACTCTGGAACGAGTCTTTATCTTTGGGGGATCCGAGCGCGGGCCATTGTGCAAATATCTGGGCAAACTGCTAGATAGTTCACAGCCCGCGCAAGAGAAATCCTTTGGGAAAGGACCTGCATAACATCTGGCGCAAACACGGCAACAGGACAGCTAACCACCCCAACACGAAAGCCACCAGCGCCGACATCGGACTTGGCCATCGTCACTGGCGAAAGTCTGCGGCGAAAGTGCCTCAAAGGCTCCTGTCCGGAGGTGTGGCCAATGTCGACTGCGCCGCAAATGAAATCGAAACGGCCACATGGAATGAGCCCAAAGAACCAGACGCGAGAGGGAAAAACAAGAAAAAGAAGGAATACCAGAGAAAAAGAAGGAGTAAGAGAGCGAGAGGGAGGGAGAGGGCAAAAGAAATAGAAAGGGACAAAGAAAGAAAGAGAGAGAGAGAGAGAGAAAAAAAAGAAAAGAAAGAAAGAAACCAGAGAAACAGACGCACGCGCTCATGACGGCGGTGTCCTGGGAGTTCTTTTCAACAACGCCTGGGCCTGCGTTGTCGGCCTTTTAAAAAGCAGTTGGAACACCGCCTGGCGCTTGCACATCTCTGATTTTGCTCAATTACCGGTGTTTTTGTCTGGTAAAATGACATCCCTCAGAACCAGCCGGAAAAGGGTGTGTTTCTTTTAGATGGTTGAAATGGGCTTTATGGAAACCAAGAGAAGGCCAAGCATCTCGAGGTGATCTTCAAACCGCGAAGTCCCCGCCCCTCCTGGCCGCGAGCTTGGCGAAGTTGCCCCCCAGCGCTACCAGCTCTTGGTAGGTGCCCTGCTCAATGACCTCGGCACTTGGATGGCCCACCCGCCCACCCTCCGCTTTTTTGCTGGGCATGGCTGGTTGAGGGCGTCATGCCTCCTTTATGGCCCATACATGGGAAACAGACCAATCGTGCTTGGACGGTCACGTCCTCAAGCGTTGGTCCCATCCCACCGGACAAAGCTGGATGAATACCCCCCCTCCCATAAGCTCCCAAAACGGAGAGCCTGCCCGTCCAGCAGCACGAAGATTTGGTCCGAGTCCCGGATGGTGGACAGACCTCACCGGAACTCTTTGCCGCAAAAGAAGGGAGGCGACCCCGCCACCAAGCCGTGCGTTTAGAACAATATGGGGCAAGGAATCACGAGCTCGCTGGTTTCGGGGTAAATCGAGCGCACCCCCCATGAAGAGTTCCATACTTCGGGATTCCTCGTTCCTGGTTGAGAATCATGGCCCGGGAAAATTAGTGGATTCCACTCGAAATGATCAGGACTAGGGGTGAAACCATGCGACTCCAAATGTTACACATACTTTCCGTAACAGAAAGGGCCAAAAGCCACAGGGCAAGCAATCGAATGGCCCAATCGCTGCAAGGCAGTTCATTGCCCGACAAGCACCTCTATTTGTGCATGGTGGTATTCTTGGCTGGGTTCAACGCTAATCCAACATGTTGTTCACCTAACACACTGAGTTCAGAGACAAAAGCAAGTCAGCAGAGACCCAAAGATCAATCGGCCCAGGGGGTAGCAGATGTGCTCAAGATCCCTCGCTGTCAGTGTCGCCAAAAGCAAAGGATCCCAACTTGCCGGGCGAGTTGACCCTCCGGGTAAAGGAAGTGCGGGAGCTCTGAGCCCCCGCTGACGGGAAACTGAATCCACCGAAAGGTGACCAAAACCCACTTCAGGGCCCAAAAGGTGATGCGGAATGGATATAATCTATAGATACTTGCATACATTGGCAGATTGAGGCATTTATGCTTTTAGAGAAAAATACAAACCACCCAAATCTTGCATGACAATATAGAGGAACCCCCTAGCGAGTAATTACTGCATTTCTCCCCAAGCAGCGGTGAGCCACGGTGACGGTGGTCACGCCCTTGCTGGCTCGCTGCAGTGCCTCCTGCGTCAGAGACAGCCCCTGGATACCTTCGAGGAGAACCAGAAACATGGAGTAGGCCGAGCTTCGCTTACATGTTCGCCTTCACCTGAAACAAACAAAGGGAATTTGTGCCTACGTTCCTTTTCCCTCTGTCATATGATTGCTGTCCTGCATGGGCGATCCGCAATGCAGCCAAAGCATGGAAACGCGACCCTGCCGCAGCTATTCCAGGGCTACCCCAAACCCGGGATGGCCGAATGGGAGAAAGGGATTCACCATCCCAGATTGAGGAGGGGAGGAGAAGGTCGGTAGGCCAGGGTACGAACACCCTCAAGTCAAAAGCTAGGGCCCGCACCCCTCCCTCCCCCCACCCCCCAAATCTCCTGCACCAAGGCCTCTGAGGTGGAGTCCAAGTCTGAGGTGGCCTAAGCGGAAGCCAGTAGGTGATCATAAATCCAACCCGTGGCCCTTTGCCCCGAGAAACGCCCAGAACCCCCAAGCAACAAGCTCTCAGCACCTTGGAATAGGCTTGCAGTAAGGGTTCTCAGAAATCTGGCGAGTCCGATGTTGAGTTTGCAGAGATTTGGAGCTCCTGTCCACATCAACGACGTTGCCCTTGGTGCCCCATCTGTCATCCCATCACCCCTAAACGAGTTGCTCACGAAAAAGCCGCGAGCCCATCTCCGAGCGCGCCCCTTTCGGGCTGAAAGGGATCCCCCGCAACCCAAGTGCATGGATTTCGGACCTCAATGCGTTTGTTAGGGGCATGGCCTGGTGTTGGCCTCGTTTTTTCAGGGCCTCCTCCCTGCATGACATGCTGAGTCGCCCCAACCACCAAAAGTCACTCAGCAAACATGTCCCTGAAGCCTGTGGTTGGTGGAAGCCACCTCGAGTCGGGTTGCCCCCACCTCCCTGCCAGCCACCTGTCCGATTTTCCGATTTACCGCGTTTATGACGTACTTCAGTTCGTTGAACATCCAAGTAGGCGCCCCCTCCAACCCCAACCAACCACCGCCCCAAGCCCCCCACTCGCGTGGATGAACTTTGCACCTCCAAAAGGGTCCAGAAACTCGGGGAGTGAGTAGATGAATCTAAATCGAGCCAAGGGAACGGGTTACCTTCAAAGTGATAATCAAGTAGCCATGGGAATCGAGTAGCCACGTTGAGTTTCCACCATGGGCTGGTGGTAGAGCTCTCACTTCCCGAGTTCCGCACGGAAAGTGGCAACCAACACTGTGAGACCTTCTGGAGAACGGCTTAGGGGAAACCAACATGACTCGCACAACCAAAACAAAAAAAGGCCATGGGTCAGCCGCACAAAGGGTGGGATCAACTGTTGGTTTCGTCGAAAAACCCTCCACAAAGGGTAATTGCCATCCAAAAAGCAAAAAGTGCACCCAACCATGTAGGGCTTTCCAAACCCAGTTTCCGGACGTCTCAGTCCTCAGGGCTTTCCTTAGTCCTCCGCCCCTGCAGGAAGGACCAGCCCTCGGGCCCCGCGCCTCGTCCAGCAGAAGGATCTGCGGCTTCCGCAGCAGCGCCCGCGCGATGGCCACCCGCTGGCGCTGACCCCCGCTCAGCCGCTCCCCGCGCAAGCCCAGCTTCTGGGACCACCGCTCCTCCTCACCCTGGCCAAGGCAAAAAAAAAAGCACGCGGCGCCCGTGGGTTGCGTTGGGTGTTGCTTGTTGCTTGTTGGTTGTTACTTGTTGGCTGTTGCTTGGCATCCAGCAACCGCTCCAAAGAAGCCCGTAAAGAATCAGTTCCCTTGCTCGGTTACCAACTCGAGGCTTGAGGTGTGACAGGGGCGACACCCTCGCAGAAACACGCGCGGAAACCCCGAAGGCCATCATTTTGAGAGCCTCTGTTTGGGGAGCAAGGACTTTGGCCGATCCATATGAATCAGGGGGCCCTAAAGAATACTCCTGGCAGGTGAGTAATGGGGTCCTTAACAATTTGAGGCCTTCCCTCTAAGCTGGGACACCCCCCCCCCGATCGGGTGCGTTTATCCTAAGTCCTCATTTCCAGGAGTTACCCTTTGCCCAATGACCGTGCTGGCAAAAGGGGATCCTTTTCGGATTGACCATGTTTAGTGGGCCCCGAACCCGCCAAAGAAGAGGGAAACAGCGTGAAGTTCATTGAGCATCTTGAGAACAAAGCAGCGGTGGCCTGCCGGCCAAATTTGGAAATGAGTTCCACCCCCAAGTGGGCCGCATGGCCAAAACGCCCGACATGTGCGTCGCAGGCAAAGTGGCAACCTCCGTAGAACATCTTATGAGTTGCGGAGCAAACTTATACCTCCTGCAAAACTTGACATGCTTTGGGCTCAAGGGAAATGATGGGAAACCAAAAAGGCAAAAAACAAACAGGTAAGTTAAGTCTGGCAAGGAGCAAAACCAGCTGCTTTTTCTCGGAACTCTCATTGAGAAGCCTTCCAAAAACTGACAGTCACATGTCTCGCCATTGCGGTTGCAATGCTTTGCTGGCTCAATGTGGGTTGAGGGTCGGTTTAGGGAAAAAGTGTCGGGTGGGTTCAGAGTTGGTATAGGGTTTGCTTTGGGGTTGTTTAGGGTTCACTTCTTGGTGGTGGAGGCTACGGCTCAAGAGAAGCCACGGAGACACCCCGGCCGCTTCTCCCCAGCCTCCACAAAGGTCATGTTTGCCAGCCGCGCCGCCTGCCAAGTGGGCCCAACGGCGTTAAAGCGCAAAAGCCATCATGCTTACAGAAGTCGGGGGAACACCCCCCCACTCCCACCCCTTGCATTCTTGCCACACTCCATCACGCCATCCATCACTCACTCCTAAATGTGGCCACTCTCAAACCGACAAACTGACGCGGAAGCTGCGAGCCCGCCCGCGCATGCAAGTGTCCGAAGCACGGGATTGAGTTCAGTTCGCTTCGGTTTGGTCAAGTGCTCGCAGCGATCCTTCAAGCCGGCAAACAAAGAGGGGGCTGATCTTGAAGCAACGCTCTGGGGTGTCCCATGTAGGGCGCACAGCTTGAAAAACGAAAAACGGCTCGTGAATGGATCTTTCGAAAACGGTCCCTGAACCAAATCACCAGACGGCGAACACCTCTCGCCCCTTCTTCCCCGCCTCCCGAACCTGCTCGCGCGTGGCGTCTGGGCAGCCGTACTTGACGTTGTCCTTGTCACTCCAAAACGCAATCAGCCCGGACTGAACAGTGCTGAACACACAAAAGTACAAATGCACTCCCCAGACTGACCAGAACCCGACAAACGATCCGTGTTAATAAGTTAAAACTGAGGTGAAACCCTTCAGTGCAAAATCGTTGTTGGATGCATTGCCTACCAAAACATGCGTCCATCACCCATGAACCACAACCCGCACCGCAAAAAAAAAGCCGCTCCATGCCCCCAAAATCAACCAATGGCTACTTAGCCCCCCAGCGTTTCACGGGCCGTTTCGGTCCTCCAGGGAGATGTCGAACAACAAGGGCTGCTGGGCCACTAGGCCCAGCTGCCGCCGGTACCACGCCACGTTGAAGTCGCGGATCTCCGTGCCCCCAAGCGTGATGGAACCCCCCTGAGGGTCGTAGAATCCTCAGAACGCAAAATCCCACCCGGTGCCCTGTGCTCAAACGGGGTGGAGCCCGGCGAAAACGAACACAGAAGGAAACCTGCAAATAGACTTTGGAAAACACCAAAATGGACACGACGGGCTCGAGACTGCAACTACAAGGTCAAAGTTGGTATCACTTCTTGCGTGGCGTGTGGCTGTGGCAAGTGCTCAGTTGGCGGGCGTGTCACGTTGTGCAGCGAGGGCTTTTCTGAAAATGGTGGACCCCCTTTTGGTTGGTATTTGAACGGAATCTTAAGGAAACCACCTAATTTTGGGGACCCTGCTTTGCGAAACATCTGGTGTGTGTGCCTGTGCGTGTTCCTCTTAGGCTCTAAGTATAGGCGCTGGGCGCTTGGAACCTTAGGCGCTGGGGCCTTCTTTTATTTGTACCCACCCCTCCTGTTGTAGTATGATATCGCTCAAATCTTGTGAAGATCCAGGGAACACCATGAAACACCACCTGGAACCGTCGACCCAAAGCCTCCAGCGCCTGCACACACCCCGCCCCAGGCCTGCGAAAGCCATCATCCCTATATGCCTTAAAGGATACCCCCAAAGCGGGTTCCTGAAAGGATGCATCCAAAAATTACCTGCTTTACAGGGGGATCAGCCCACACCTGGGCTGCACGAATACTATCTTCATAGCCTGCATCACGGATCCCACAAAGAATGTGACCCGTATGTTTGGGAGACGGGGCGGGCCGGGGCGCTGAGGAGGAGCTGGATCACCGTGCTCTTGCCGCTCCCCGAGAAGCCACAGAAGGCCACCTTCTGGCCGCGCCAGATGGTCAGCGACAGGTGCTTCAGCACCATCGTCTCCTGAGCTGAGCAAAAAATTCGGTTGCGCGTGATCAAGTGCACACCACCCTGGCAAGGCTGCCTTGCTGCTTCCCAACCGCCTCTAGAACGCCGCCCCTGACAAAACGTAGCCCCCCCCCAATTTGCTTTTGTCTCGTGACACGATGCCGCTAGGGTGCTCAACAGTGAATGAGACATCCCTTCAACAGCTGTGATGAGAGAGGTTTTTGGGTGGCAACTTCTACCCAAAGAGCGAAATCAGCCGCTACAGGGCTGCAAGAAAGTTGCATACAGGCCGGAAGGTCGGCGCAGAACGGTCCCAAAAAGCCTCGTGCCAAGTCAGAGGCTGGCAGCTTACACTCCCGAGGGGGGAAAGCCAGACCAGAGGGCAAGACCAACCCGACCAGGAGAACAAACCCATGCCAGTAGCGTTCTCGTCATGACGTTGGCTACGTCATAAGCCCCAAGAAGCCAGCGATACGCCAGTGACACGCAACCTCCAGCGTCAAATTTCCGAAATACGCGAGCCGGCACAAAGCATATCTGGAACGCCTATTCAATGGTCTGCAGCAATCAAATCGTTGCAGACTGCGCATAAAGACAGAGAGGCGGCAGCCTCCAAAGCCAAGTTAAAACTGACGGCAGACCATGCCAGAAAGGGCAACGTGGAGAGCGCAGTGGTTGCACCTAGCAAGCATGGTCTGGCACCAGAATCTGGCCCAAAGCCATCATGCGCCCCTGAACTCGCTAAGCGCCACAAGACTCGGATGGACAAGGCCCGACCGTTGCGGAGGCCTGTACAAGCCACGTGGCCCCAAGGCACCACAAGTGACACACACTCCGAAGACCAAATGCTGAGCAGCCTGGGGAGGAGCAGTGTGAGATTCCTGATGGACAACAAGACGATATGGCGAAGCGCCCCTGCTACGCCTAAGCTACACGGGCGGTTTGAGCCTCAGCAGCTTTGAAAGACTCCCGCTTGTTCATTTGCTCGGTGATTTGTGGAAACCCCGCCAGCTACATGGAACAGTCAATGCGCACTGCACTGGAGTAGAGGGACTTCAAATCAGGACCATCTCATGCATCGAAGCAACTATCGCTCCAACAATCACGGAAGCTGCCAGGAGGGCCTTGGAAGACTCATTTCCTTTTGGGGCCGCCCCTGTCCACTTCCATAACTGTTAGAAAAGAGTTAACACAGCGGATCTGAGGGGACATCCATTCGACCATCGTAGCTACCCCCAACCGGCAAAAAATTGTCAAGTAGGGGTAGGTGCAAGTCCCCCTCTCATTTGAAACCCCCGATTTTTCAAGGCCGCAGAGCTACAAGACTCTCGTGAGGCGATTCGGCCAAGTCTCCGCCCGGCTCGGGTAGTAGAAGTCCACCTTCTTCAAGCCTCGGTCCAACACGGACGCAACACATGCTCCCGACTCCCGGCCCCTAGGCCCCAGCGAGGGCCGCGCGGAGTGGGGGGGGAGGTGGGAGACTGCCACCAACCCGAGGCTCAAAAAAGTGGAGGACCAAGAAGAAGCAAAGGAAGAAAAAGAAGGAGACGAAAAGGAAGGAGGGTCGTGTAGATTGACCCATTCTTCTTTCTCAGTCCAGGCGGCAGATGGTACCATCCCCAAAGCTACAAATCTTGCCCTCCGGCTCCACCGCGTCAATCTTGGAGTGCTGGTCAATGAGTCGAAACACCTGGCTTTTTTTCTTCAAAGGCACACAAGCATCTACAACCGAAGGGCTCCTCGTCAAACGCCACATCCAAAAACCGAATCCGCTTTACAAGGGGAGCCGTTTCTAAATCAGCTGCAAATGCATCATGCAACGGACGCTGGGAAGGCTGAGCATTGGGAATGAGAAATGGAGGGAATGTCCTACGCCATGCTGCCCTACATTATTCAACTGACCGTTGTGTCACACAAACTCCTGATCCTCTCACAACTTTGCTTGGATGTCATATCCGCGGCTGCATGTCCGCCAGCCCTCTCCTATTCTTTCTTCATGACCTCACAACACAATTGAACAGGGCTTGGTGGACAAATGTTGCTATGTTTACAACCCTACCTAGTTGAGCATCCAAGTGGTTAGCTTCCCAGTTCTCCCATCCCGCCTCCATCGCCGCGATGCGGCCAGAGGCGGAGTCCGGCAGGTACATCGCCACTGTGGTGGCCTGCGGAGCGGGCTGGTGGAACCAGAAACCTGGGCAAAGCCATATGGGAGTTGATCAAAAGGTCCTTTACAACAACCACTACAAAGATGATAGTTCCACCAAACGGGAAAAAGACCCATGGTCATTTGGAGGCTCCAAGGGCCTTCCTGCAAGGAAGAATGCTTTTGTTTTGCAAGGGTTTAACACGCAAAGAGTAAACAAGCTCGACAGCTCCCCCTTTAACAAATCCATGTTTCCCTGACGACTTGTTGCATTGTTTTGCAGAGCACTTGCACATGCCTGAGGAATGCGGTAGTCTTTGAAGTCCCTCTCCGATGATGACCATCCAAACCGTCTGGGATAGGGCTTTGGATGGGCGTGCCTCATGGGAAACCTAAAAAAATAGGCCCTTTCTTTTTGCCTGTGGTCTTCCCTTTGAGCCCACACCCCCCCCCCAAAAAAAAAAGAAAAGAAAAGGGGGTACTCCTTCAGCCTGTCTTCCCTTAAAACCCACCCCAAAAAAGGGTACTCCTTCAGCTTGTCTAATAATAGACCCCCCCCCAAAAAAAAAAAAAAAAGAAGGAAAAAACGGCCACCGCCCTCCGAGTTGGTCCCCGGGCCAACTAAAATCTGAAGATCTCAGCTCCGCGCCGTCATGACCCCGAAGACCACGCAGAAGAGCGTGAGCAGCACGGCGTTGGCCTCGAAGCGCCCGCTGTTGATCATGGCCGCGGAGAGCCAGAACCCCACCAGGTAGATCAGCTGGATCAAGCTCCTCAAGGCGCACAGGTCCATGGAAGAGTCCAGGGGTCCAGGGGTCCGGCAAAAACGTGAAATCGCTCTTTTTCGAAGGGAGAATCTGGTGGGTTCCATGCTAGACCAGAGGGTACCAACAGATTTATCATTAGTTGCTGGTACATGAGCTTTAGCATGAATCATGGTATTGTTTGGAAATATGTAGAATCAAACGTTCCCGAGCTGAGTTGCGGCTAATGAAAGACATGTCCGCTCATGTAAAACACATCCTCAAGATTGGGCGTGGCGCCAAAGGGTCTGAAGGAACACCTCCAGGACGAAAAAGAACAGGTTGGAACCCCCGAAATCAGGGGCTCGGGCCCTACCGAATCGAACACTCGGTAGAAAGGTCACAGGCTGAGAGCGGGACCTTCAATCGGATGAGGCCTTCAAAAGGACCCGAGTGGACCTAGGCGTCCCTTTTCTCAAGCCCTGTGGGAAAAACAAAGTAAAGAGTCCAGTGATAGGCTGTTAAAACAAACCAACAAGGCTTAAAAATTAATGCAAATGGAAGCAAGCCTTGCTTTGAAACTCTTGATCAGGTCGGGTGTAGTGGAACCCCAGATTCAGATTCCTATGTTTTGCATTCCCGCCTGGTTTTTTTTGTTGGGTGGGTGGGTCCCAAAGACAACCGGCTCATTTCAGTCAAAGCTTTTGGCCTCCAAAACGGCGATTTCACACAAAAGGCACCTGTTGAATGGAACATGCGTTGCTAGGGAGATGCACTTGCATGTTGACTTGCAAAGGGCAAGGCAGTTGTTTGTGCCGTTTGTGGGTTCCCAGTCAGCGAGTCAGCCGACAGCTTACCGAGCAACCGGATCAGAACGGTACCAAAGGAAACCGATTGAGGGGATTTGAAAAAATGGGGCAGCAAAGCGTGCACCCCTTCCTTGACCACTTCCGCCCATTCCGCCCCCTCTTTTGGGGTTACTCATGTCCTCACCCCGCCAAATTGAATACGCTGAAAAGGTTGCCTTTAAACCAACCAGATACTCCTGAATGGTTGGCCTTGTTGTTTGCCCAAAAACTGGAAACAAAAAACAAACCCTGGCCCCAGCCCCCCCCCTCCCAAAGCTGGACACAAAAACCAACCCCTGGTCCCCCCCCCCCCCAATCCGCCCTCGAAATCTGCCCTCATCTGAGGCGCGTGGTGAAGCCGAAGGCGAAGGCCTTCTTGCAGGCGCTGCTGCGGTTGTGGTCCGCCACCACCTCAGCACCCACTGCGAGACGCCCCCCCGGCCCAGTTTTGATTCTCTCCTCTCGCTTGGCCAAAAGCCCTTGTTTAGACAAGCCCCTTTAGAATCCCTTTAAAGGGATGGTCGCTGAAGCTCATTAGGCACTTTCGGTGGCTAGGCCCGCAAAACAATTGCCCCCAATCGGCAGAATCGAGCGACGCTGCTGCGATCCAAAACTATTTGGCCATCCTTGAGCGATTCTTCTTCGTGAAGGCTCATCTCAATTGGAACCCCCAAATATGGTCCCACCTCAAAAGGCTCCACTAAAGCCAAATCAGAATTGCTGGGGCTCCTGCGTGTCCATGTTGCAAAAGGAGGAACAAATAGACGCTCCATTCGGGCGGAAGGGCATCCCCTTATCAGTGAAGTGGTTGCATTGTGAAGGGTTCTCCAAATTCCTTGTGGGACGGGACCCCTCCGACCCCGCGTTTTGCTCGGGAAAATGTGCGGATGTCTTGCAAAAACGCGCGGGGGAAATTATGAAAACGGTTCGTGAGTGCCTGGCTTTTGTGTTGGTGAGTAGCATCACTGGGACCCATCATCCCCTCAAAGCGGTAGGTTGAAGCGAAACACCCCCGCCTTCTGACTTTGATAACCCCAGACGCGGCGGCCAAAAACCCATGATCCCAGCAGCGACCATGTCAAACACAGGGCACCCATGTGGGGGGGGGGGCTGGCCACACGGAAAACCAGCAAACAGCAAGACAAGACCCCTGGGTTTTCGCAGGCGGATGACGGATGCCTTTGACGCGACATGGCTGTGGGTCAACAACGAGTACCAGGTACCCAAAACGGCTTGCCCTGGAAAATAGAAACATGGACCAAGATCTGCGGTCCATGTCCTGATTTCATGTTGGCCCACACCCACGGAGATGCAGCGAGATTTCGGCGCCTGCAGGGCCGTCGTGAGGATGTCCAGCGTGTGCTCCTCCGCACCGAGGGCCCGCACCGTGCGGATGGAGGTCACCGCCTCGCTTGCACGCGGCCGGCTGGAGGGGTGGGAGAGGGAGGGGGGGGGGCAAGGATGTTGGGGGAATCCCTTTTTGCCCCAAACCAACCGGAACAAAAAGGAGGAGAGAAAGATTCTGGTGCATAAGTTCTATGTTGCAGTCAGCTGTTTGTTTGTTTGTTTGTGTGCTGTTTTTGTTTGTTTGTTCGTGTGCTTGCTTGATTGCTTGCTTGCTTGCCTGGTTGCTTGGTTCCTTGGTTGCCTGCCTGCTTGCTTGATTGCTTGCTTGATTGCTTGCTTGCTTGCTTGCTTGGTTCCTTGGTTCCTTGGTTGCTTGCCTGCTTGCTTGCTTGGTTGCTTGGTTGCTTGGTTGCTTCGTTGCTTGCTTGTTTGGTTGCTTGGTTGCTTGGTTGCTTGGTTGCTTGATTGCTTGGTTGCCTGGTTGCTTGGTTGCTTGGTTGCTTGGCTGCGTGGTTGCGTGGTTGCTTGGCTGTTTGCTTGCCTTTGTAAGTTTGGGCGTGCAAAATAGGTGCTAAGACTCTGAGTGTCTATCGCGTGGGGTGAATTCGCCCGCCTGGATGCCCCAAGGTTTGCACCACGCTTTTTCAGGGACATTACATCAGGTCCGATGCTTATTTTCGGGGGTGCGCATGTTTTGGTGTAAGATATCTTTGAGAGGCTGGAGGGGCTGGAAATGTCGGATGCTCTCAGGGCACTTCTCTCTCCAAAAGTAGGGGCAACAGCCCCTGATCGATACATCCCCCACCACAGAAAACTGCCTCCCACTAAACAGGGCCCCGCCAAATCATCGACATGGGGCTACAAACCAGGTGCCAGCATCAAGCGCCACTCCGGATAGAGGCCAACCACTTCGCTCATCATGGCTCATCTGCTATTTAAATCGATTTCGATTTCGACTGCCATCCCGATGAACTCCAGATTGCTTGGAAAAGCAAGGGGGCTGCTTGTTTGCAACCAAGATGATCCTCACAAAAAGTTGCTCAAGCCCAGAAACTGAGTGAATCCCCCCCAACGCTTTTGTGGGGAAATTTAGTCAGTTGTTCCATGCCTCTCCTGTTCTACAGGCCCCAAGGAATGAATTCCGACCGAACCTTCAGCGAGAATTCCAAGCGCCGTCCCAATCCCCGCCCTGCGGCTTGAGCAGCCCGCGCCTCGGTGGTGGTGTGGGAGGCATTGGCCCAGGCCTTGTCCGAGTTGCTGTCGGGCCGGTGGGCGGCAGTGGTCACCCCCATGGACACACCGAAGAAGATGGGCAGAAGCAACAGGAGAACCAGCGCCAGGATCCTGATTTCCGCTCAAAGGATCCAACCAAAGTGTCCCGCCCCTTCGCGTTGGTTGCTGAACAAAACCGGGGTGGTTGCAAACCCTGCTGCAATTCAGAGGCTAAAAGAAAGCCTGGATCCTGAGCAACAAAATCGTTGGTTGATTGGTAAGGGGGTCCCCGTCGAACAAGGACGTGGGGAAAGATCTCTGAGCACATTCATGGGAGCCCATGTATTTTTCATGAAGCAGAACACCTGGTTGATTGATATGGGGGGTCCGACCTAGCATGTAGAAGTGGTCGGTTTCAACCAGTGACCCGATTGGAAGCAATTGGAACCATGTTTCTTGGGGGGTCTCCCAAGATGGAAGCTGAAGATCTAGAAAAAGATTGGCTTCCAGGAGCCTCCGGTCAGCTTCCACGTTGGCACCGCCAGTAAAGGACCCTTCGACGAGCTCGCTTGGGTGAGCTCGCTATTTGCGCCAAGTGGTTTACAGTTTTTTCGGCATCTTGCAAAGTTGGTATGGGTTTTTCCAGACCGCCCCAAAGTTGTTCCTTAACCACGTGCTGAGCTCAAACCCTCCCACCATAGAGGCCAATTGTTCCTTCGGCGAGGGCCCAAGGCCCGTGCATCCCTGAGTCGGATCCCATGTTTGTTCGATTAACTAGCAAGGGCGCGTCACCAGGAAGGCGTGCAAACCAACATGTGCAAACAAACAAACGAACAAACAAACGAACGAACAAACGAACGAACGAACAAACGAACGAACAAACGAACGAACAAACGAACGAACAAACGAACGAACAAACGAACGAACAAACAAAAACACAAACAAACAACGCACAAACAAAAGAAGAAGAAAAACGGAACGAACGAACAAACAAACGAACAAACGAACAAAAACACAAACAAACAACGCACGAAAAAAACAAACAAACAATCGAACGAACGAACGAACAAACAAATGAACAAACGAACAAACAAACAAAAACACAAACAACGCACGAAAAAAACAAACAACCAAACAATCGAACAACCACTGCGAAACACGCAGAGAGAGAGAGAGAGAGGGAGAGAGAGAGAGAGAGAGAGAGAGAGAGAGAGAGAGAGAGAGAGAGAGAGAGAGAGAGAGAGAGAGAGAGAGAGAGAGAGAGAGAGAGAGAGAGAGAGAGAGAGAGAGAGAGAGAGAGAGAGAGAGAGAGAGAGAGAGAGACACGTTCCCCGCCCCCTCCTTCCCCAAGCGCCCCGTAACCGACCGAAAAAAGCGCATCGAGGCCCGGGCCAGGATCCGAAGAAGCTGAAGAGCACGCTGGCCACACCTGGGCTTTTTCCGTGGCCCTGAACCGGTCCCTCGGTCCCCGGGTGCGGAAGGACATGTACCCGCATGATAGTTGTGGGAAAATGACGAGCCTGAAAACTCCGCAACGGGATCTTCGACCCTTTTCCGGCTTGAAGCTTCAGCTAGGTCCTCCAGTAGAGAGCTTTGAATAAGGGTACCCGATACTTTCTCTGCAGTCTATTTTAGTAGGGGGACCCTGCCCCAAGAAAGGCATAAAAAGGGCACTACTGGGGGACCAAGATTTTCTCTCGGTTCCTCTTGACAAAGTGACCGGCTGAAGAGTCGAAGTGACATCCTCCAAATTGAGAATTGTCCATATGGTGGCCCCAAGCGGGTTGCCCCCGCACGCTTCTTGTCGAAAACCCCAAGGAGTGATGTTTTAACCAGAGAAAGGGAGGAATACGAAGGACCTCTGCTTAAGGACCCCCCTAACCACCTCCAAACCACCAATCCAAACCACCAATTGAGTGGTTCTCACAATTCAGGGGTGTTGCCATCAAAAACGGCGCCGATTCCTATCTTGAGAATCACCCTCCCCCAAAACCACATAGCCTTTGCCTACCCCAAGGGGACAATATTATAGTACTGACTGCTTCAATTGTGCAGGCGCTGAGTGCTTTGTTTTGACGAAGGCACTTTCGGCCCAATCTCCTATGTCTCCCCCAAAAGGAAGTAATGTTAACCCCGGATGAATCAACCCCTGGTTGATTACTCGGGGGGTGTCCCCTTTTAGTGGTTGGATTCAGACCACTCTTGGAGAATAATGGGTTTAGGCTTTATTAATCCTGGGTCAACATTACAGAGTTGCCGGCATAGCCCCGTACTTCCATGCCCACTCCATCCCAACCGCCGCGGCGTGGGCCCCCGGCAGGTCATGGCGGAGCCCAAGGCCATGGCCAGGCCCACCCCGAACATCTGGCTCAGCCGCGTCATGTGCCGCTCCAGGGACACCAAGATGCTCGACTCAGCTGGGATCCGAGCAGCGGAGAGCAACCGGGACCGGGGTGGGCGAAGAGAAAAAGACGGGGGAGAACATGGCCGGCCGGATTTGAGTGACATCATATTGGCAAAAGGTGTTGAGGTGTTTGTTGGACGCCAGATGTGTTGAGGTGCTTGGTGGATACCAGATGTTGAGGTGGCGTTGCCTCGACCCTGTGAGTGACATAACACGGGCCAGAGCACAGAGGACAAAGCGTGCCCTAGACCAGTTTTGGTGAGGAACCAGCCAAAGATAAAGGAAAGGCGTTAGTGTCAAAACAGTCGGCCCTGGCTTTTTGTTACCCCCCCCTTTTTTTCCTGGCACAGCTGGCTGCGGGTGTCATGCCTGCCTAAAACGCAACAGTTGGAGCCCACATTCCACATTGCACATAGGCCAATCGTGCTGGGACGGCCAGCCCAATTAGTAAGTTTGCGCCATGGTGACATTTGTCCACCCACCTGCGTCGCCCATTTGCAACCATGGTGTCTTATACCAACTTGGCCAGTGGGTTGAACATCTAAACGCTTTCTCTGCGCCCCGAAGGCCCGAAGGATCCTTCGCCCAGACCTCCAGCTAGAAACGAACAGACCCCGCCGGAGGCCAAGCGCCTGGACTCAAAACCTGGGGCCTCTGGCCCAGCTTTCCGCTAGATCGAGCCTTGGACCTGCTTGCCGGCACCTCCCTAGGTCAAGGCGCATTCCCGGGGCCAAAGGTCTACAGTCTATGGGATCCGTCTGGGGGTTGGGGGTGAGCCCGAATGAAACCACTGGACTGGCAGAACCCAAAGCGAGCCTGAGACACCAAACCAAGGCCCAGGGCACCATGGGGCGGTCCGTTTGGTGCGTTTCTGCTGACGAATCTGGGAAGCTTACCATGCTGCTTCCGAAACCTGAAACAAGGAACTCCCAAATAAGGAACAGTCATCTTGTGAGATCGTTTGACCCCAATGTGAGCCTGATTTGCCCTGACTTTGTGCCATCGGAACCTCGCGACCACAGGGCCAACTAGAAACACATCAAACCCGGCTGCTCAAATGTTGCCAACTCCGAGTCGCGGTCTGATTCTCAGGCGCGTCGAAGAAGCCTGTGGCATTGTGCTGGTGTCTTGGTTTACGTTCGTCCGCCTTCAGTATGCCCCCCCGTGCCCGGCAACAATCCGGGCCCTTGCTTCACTGGCCGAAAGCTGCTGCCTGAAGAACACCATTGTTCTACCCTTATGGCTTGGTCATCCTTTACCGTGGAGCATAGAACCACAAGACCCCACTCAAGAATTGCAAGAAACCAGGGAAACCTTGCAATGTACCGTGGTGTTTGGTTGATAAACCTCGGATCCACAGTGTTGAACATATCTGCATTGCGCTCACTGCTTCCAGCTGGGCGTTCGACAGTCTACGGAGCAACGAGAGCTTTCCGGTGTGACGGAGCTTCGCTTTTGCCAGCACCGCCAATTAGCAAGCACCGTGCAACTAAATCACAATCAGCCCTTTCTTCAAGCTAATTGAGCAAATTCCATTTCAGTCATGGCTCGGACGGCATGATACCCACCGAGCCACTTGCAAACACAGGGCCAATGCTTCCCGGACACGACTTGTCACAGTGCTGGGGCCCCCGCCCATGTGCATGCGGATGGTGCTGCCAAAGGCCCGCTTGCGCATCACGAGAGTGATACACTCCTGTCGGGAGCCATCGGAAGCTGACGCCCCCCGACATGTCAAACCTGGCGATGTTGGAGTGCGGATCAAGCCTCCCCGAACAAACTATGCACTATCTTTTCCTTTCTTACTCCCTTCTTTTTCCCCATCCAAGTTAATTCCTGATAAGGTAGACAGATGCACCCACATGTTTGACCCTGGCCATATCATATGCAGAGATCCAGTTGCCCTATGGGTGTGGCGTTGTCTTTGCGGCGGCCCGCTGACAAGCAAACTATGGAGGCTCGACTCCTCCCTGGATCGATGTTGTCTCTTTCATTTGATGGCCCCCGAACTAGTGAAATCAAACACAGGAAGCAACGCTTTTCCAGCTTAAAACCATTCAAGCAACCACCGTCTGACCCCTTCGCCGTGCCCCCAAAAACACAAATCGCAAAAACACTTGCCGGCACCACCCCGCCCCAGCCCAACCCAACTCGCCACCCCCTTTCTGCCCCTTCAGCCTGGATGTAAGTGAAGAGGCTGTTCTGCAGCAGCACGCACGCCCCTGAGGCCACGCCGATCACTGCTAGCCCCAGACATGCCAGGTCCAGCTTCTCCAGCATTACCTGCCAAGGGAACTCCAGCCCCCCACCCGCGAGTCCTGGTATGTGACCTGGATCGGAATGTTATGCGAACATCGAACATGTGGGGCCAAAAAAGGCCAACGAAAAGAAGGAATCCCCAAGCAAGCGACCTTCACCTTCGCCCATAAGAGCGCTTGTTTTCCCATGCAGTGCCATCGCCAGTTGATGCCTCGTTCAAAACCTTTGGCCAGACGCGGAATCTGAGCGGTGTTCATGTCTCCGGGGAATGTAAGGAATGTGGAGCTGGGGCTTTATCACTTATACGTCTTGCTGGCATATTCAAGCACGGCTCCAAAACCCACTCCCTGAGGATGGTTCCAAATTAGGCTCCCTGCATGGAGCCCAGAGCCATTTTGAGCCCCGGGGCCAAGGAGGTGCGCTAAGCGCAGCCAGGCGTCATCCACAGACTTCTCGTAGTAGCTCATGATCCCGGCGTTGAAGAAATATGCCTGGCGGCATCTGCGGCTTTCCCTACTGCAAGGCCACATGCTCAACGCACTCAGTCAATAGATCGGAACCTTGGCTTCATGTCCACCAGCCCCTGTAAAATCTATAGGCTTAGTGTGAACCCCGGAGCAATCAACCTTCCGTGTTGGCGGCATGGACAAGGGGTGTGTTCCCATCAACCTGCCAGCAAAACACTCGGCCCTAGGGGTGCCAAGCTGCCATGCGCCATAAAAGGGCTAACGGATGATGTGCCCCAAATTATCCCGGTTCCTTCAATGCATCCAAAAAGCATGTGTCTTATAGGATCAACACACAATATCATGGTACATGTTTCTTTGGGATTACTGGCCCCAGAAACTGCATGCTTTAAGAGGATCGGGGCAAAACCCAAAAAACCTCGCAGCATAACAGTTACCCCTCCAATTAACATGGAACCTGGCAAGGGGGTCCTGAAAGGCAATGCTCCTTTCGAAGGAGCCCCCGAAACGGCAGGTTCCATGTGAATTGGTGGGAGGGTAATATATGCTCACATTGACTCACATTTACCCCGTCACTCGTCCGACCGTCCCGAAGCGCCTGGAATGGCGCGCAGAGCGCCTGAAGAACCACGGCCAGGAGCGCGAAGGGGATCCTCGGCATGCTAAACGAAAGGTGTCTCAAAATAGGACTCGGTCCCCCAAAAAAAGCGTGGGCTTTCTGGGGGCTTCCCCTTGAAATATCAAACGTTATATCCCCCCTTGAACCACCCGACACCCCACCGGAAAAAAAATCAGGCGATATCCCCAACAGCACCACACCCTCCCAGAATCCTCGCGGAGCCCGCCCGGGACCCACCTCACCGCCGGTTTTAGGATGCCGCCTTGTAGCGTATAAAGCAAAGCTAAGAGTGACAGCGCAATCGCGCCCTAATCGCCCGACGGCGCACCCGACGGCGCACGACGGTGCAATAATTGGGGCCTGAGCAGGGTCCGACGGTGCAATCAAGCCCCAACGCCCGATGGTCGCGTGGCGCAAGCGGGCTCCCACCAACCCCAGCCACCTATTTTTTAGCTCAACGCCGGTTTTCCTTAGGATGACAACTCTGTCACAAGGGTTCCACCAGAGTTCCACCAGGTTCTACGAGGTAAGGTTCCATGACAAAGTACCAGCGTTTCATGAGGTTTTTGTGCCAGGGCTGCGGGGTGGTCCGGGGTGGTTTGAGGTAAGGTTCCATGAGGGTTCCACCAGGGTTTCGTGGTTTGCCCTGGAGGGAAGTAATGTGTCGTGCGCCCGCCGTCTGAAAAGCCATCGGAGCAGTAAATTGAGAGCTCAGAAGATCGCTTTGCTCGTGGGCGGAACACTAAGCAAAACCGAAATCAATGGTTTTCAGCACACTTTCGCTGTTTTGATTTGCTCGCTTGCTCAGACAACGCGGCCCGAAATGTTGGTGGGAAATCAGATCACGTTGCTACTGAGTATTACTTGGTGGGCTTTGCGTTGCAAGGGTTCCACGAGGCTGCGAGGGCTATGGGGAAGGTATTAAAAACGCTCCACAAGGTTTCCACCAGGTTCTGCAAAAGCTATGGGGGAGCCCTGAGGAAAGGTTCCATCAAAGTTTCACGCTGAGTTCCACGAGGATGGTTTGACCGGGCCCAGGTCGGGGATCGATTGCACCGTCGGGATGCGATTGCACCGTCGGGCCCAATCGGGGCCCGACTCCATCAACTGTACCAAGCTGGCATCGCCTAGTTTTGCTACCTCAAAACACCCCGGACCACCCAGAACCTGGTGGAACCCTGGTGGAACCCTCGTGGAAACTTACCTCAGGGCCGCCCCGGACCACCCCGGAGCCTATCTGGGCTGAGACCCCAAAGCTTTAAAAATAAGCTCAGGTGATATCCCCAACAGCATGCGGCTCTCTTTTAGTGCTCGCACCACCCCGCAGCCCTCGCAGAACCACGCGGAACCCTCGTGGAACCCTGGTGGAACCCTCGTGGAACCTCACCTCAGGGCCGCCCCGGACCACCCCGGAGCCTATCTCGGCTGAGACCCCAAAGCTTTCAGCTGCTGGAGAAGAAAAACAAAGGCCCCCCACCCCCAACCCGCCGGGGACGCGCGCCAATTCCTTCGCCCCTCCGAGGCGCACCACCCACTCCGCGCGCGCCGCGAAGAAGAGCCGCGAGAGCACCGGGGTGGCCAGCTCCGCCGGGGCGGCCTGGCGGCTTGGCGGCTTGGGACCCCAATTTTTTTTGGCTGGGGTACCACCCTGGAGAATTATTGGACGCCATAAACGCCATAAACGTTGAACGACTCACAAGAAAAGCAGGGCCTTCAGTCACTAACCTCGGTTGCTTTCTGCTCCCCCCTGCTAAAAGTGAATAACGTTCAGTGGTTTTAATGGGAACCCCACGAGTTGGCAAAAAATTGAAGTCCTAACATCCAAGCAAAATGCACCTCTGAAAAAATGTGTCGTTTCCCTTGCGCGCCCCTTTGAATCCAAAAGGGTGTCTCCTCAAAAAAACAAAATCACACATATGGTGTTCAGTTGGGCGTCCCTTTAAACCCAAACAGGGTACCTCCTCAGAAAGAAACATCAAAATATATCCTGCTTGCAAAGTAAATTAAAGTACAATGAGTAGGTGTTATCTTTATAGGGGCAACGGAGAGGGCACGGAGAGGGCACGGAGAGGGCACGGAGAGGGCACGGAGAGGGCACGGAGAGGGCACGGAGAGGGCACGGAGAGGGCACGGAGAGGGCACGGAGAGGGCACGGAGAGGGCATGGAGTGAACAGCGACCTACACCGGAAACCAGCGCAACCCCCACATTATCCCCCTCCCCCGCCCCCCCCCCCGGCCATCACAGCATCCCTGGCTTTTTACGGTACGGTGCACATGGCAAAGCTGCAGAGCAAGAGAAAGCATGGAAGGTGTTGAAATGAAGACGGTTCACTTGAATATGTCCCAAAAAGTCGCAGCCCTTTTGTGGGATGAGCGATTGATCAAGGAGTATTCCTAGGGGGTTCATCCATCCCAACTGGTGCAGGAGTTTGTCAATCCACTGTATTGTGCATTTCCATGCCAGCCATGCATGGGTCCAGCATGAACGAGTGTCTACATAAATACTCTTGCAATGGGAACCCAGGGCGGGGTTAGTGAACCCCGGCTGATCAATAGGGGGTGTCCTGTTTCATCACTATGCGCTCCGTGCATCTGCCAAACTTGGTTTCCCCCCCGTCCTCATTGGCTATGGTGGGCAACTGCAGCCACGAAGCCTGGGACGCAAATGTCCCCGGCGCCGCCTGGTCATGGTGGCCCGCCCCTATGATGGGCCTTGGGTGGGCATCAGAAAGAAGGTTTAACCTGATTTGTTGGCTTCGACAAGGTCCCTTCCATGCGATTGAAAGGCGACCAACGCTTTCTGTGGAAAGGATCTGCACAATGATTGGCTGTCATAGTCTCCCTGTTGACCGCGCCCCAATACAGCGGCAAAGAGCCAACGGCACCCAAGTACCCAGAAATTGCCAAGAAGCCTTTCCATACATGTCCTCCTGGCCATAAAGCCACTTAAGATAAGACCAGAATCCAACAAAAAAGGGGTTTAGAAGCTCCTTCTTGCGCCTTCTGCACGGACATCTGGATAGCAGCAGACGCACCCGAGTGAACAGAATGTTGCCGCGGGAAGGAGATTTGTCGCTTGGACTCCACCGCTTGCCTCGGGAAAACGGGGGTGCTCCGACCATCCCTTGTCAGGAGACACCCGAAGATCAGGCCAAACCCTGCAAAACAGCCGGTGGAAAGTGGGCTTTTCCCCCCCCCCCCCACCGTCCTCCAAGAAACCCTGACACAGCCTGCTTTTTTTTATATTATTCTTATCATTTTGTTCAACGCACAGCCGGTGGGAGGTGGCTTTCTCCTCCCAGGAACCCTGACGCGGCCTGTTTTTTTTTGCGGCCGCATGGTGCCAAGCCACTGCAGGGAGGCCATGTTGAAGTACTGGCCCTTCCGCGCCATGAGCTCGGCGTGGGTGCCCTGCTCCAGGCAGTGCCCGCTGTCCAGCACGTAGATCCTCGTTCCCCGGGGGGTGCTGCTCAGGCGCCGAAGGAGGCTGATCAGCCCACAGGCACAGGGGTCAAAACAGGGGTCGCTGGTTGTAGACAAGCAAAGAGCTCTCTTTACCCACCCCCTTTCCCACCATCACGGAAGCTGAGGGGTTTGGAAGACTACAGTCCGCTTGACGATGCTTCCTGTCCACTTCCATGAAACATCATCTACAGTTCACCCGGTCGGCCTCGACTTTCCCAAGACAAGAGAACATTGCTTGCGTTGGCAAACAAAAAAAGAATAGAAATCACGAGGCCCCCTCGTCTTGATACAATTGTCATCTCGGGGAAACTTCCCCGAACATCACCTTTCTGAAAGGATGCCCATCTTAAGGCCACACGTCATGTTTGAATCGATCGAAGCTCGGCCCACATGGCAGACAGGTACAGAGACCTGAAGCGGGCTTGGACCACGCGACAACCAGGGTACGCCAACTCCATACTTAGCCTTCCTTCAAAAACACCAAAAAATCGGAGACGACCCCAGAAAAGGACCATGGATATGTGAGGATCCAAAAGCGCAACTCCACGTTGGTCTTTTTTTCCCACTACAAATTCATCCAGACGGAGACAAGTTGCCAAAGTCCAGAAAAAAGTTCCCGCTAGTGTCCAGAAACAAAACCGAAACATGTTGCCGCCGAAGTCCAGAACACATGTTCAAGAATGCCCAAAAGTCCGGAAAACAGAAGAAGGAGGGAGAAACAAAGGCGACCAACGTCCGGAGAAAACTGGTTGGAAACGGGCGAGGTGTCTGAAAGTCCCGACTCGGCGCATGTCCGAGTTCACCACCGTGGTCAGGCGGTGGGCGATGGAGACGCTCGTCAGGCTCCGGCCCATGGTGAGGTCCAGCGAGTCCAGGGTGGCCTACCAGCGGCGCCAGTGGACTTTGGGCCTGCTGAAGTGGAATTCCGCACATGTGTCGCCAAGATCTAGCCCCAAACCCTGTTGACTCCGGCTGTGCCGGACTCACCGCCAAACCTAGCCAAGGAACTTGCTGCTGTCAACCTCTTTCTTCTAGCCGCAGGAGATCCAGGTTTGGCAATGTCCCATTCGAAGTCAAAAAGGCAGTGCCCTCTCTTGTGACTCGCTGTCAGACCTGTGGATTTCTTGGCACGGATTCTTGCCCACACCTGGGGGGCCCAGCAGGCCAAGAATCGCCGGCTGAGCAGCTTGCGTGTTTTGTCAAAGGTTTGGACTGGCACCCTGTTCTTTGGGCTGGGGCTGGTTGTTCTTTGAAGGGACCCCTAGCTCAGGAGCTCAAACATTGGAACCCGAGCCGAATCTCGCAACCGCGCACCTGGAATCTTATCTAGCCGCTTCATGGAACCCCGGAACCTCCCGGAATGGAACCGTCCCTGCAGAACATGTCCGGGCTGCTAAGGACCACTCCGGGACTCCGGAGCCCTGGCCGGGAACATGGGATGGAGGAGTCACGTCCCGAACACGATCCAGGCGTCGCCCACGTATGGATCAAAAATCACCGGGGAGGTTGTACCTGGCTGCAATTTGAGCAAATCCCATCCCACACTCCACCGCTCGGTTTCCCCGCCTGGACCATCCGCTCAGACTCGTTGTCCAGGGCGGAGGTGGCCTCATCCAGCAGCAGCACCTGGCAGGGGGCCACTGCTTTGACGTCGGATCTCCTAAGCACTCGGCTGCCGTTCCCGCTGCAAAAGGTTTAACTTTAAACGTTTTGGGGGTTTAGTGGAAAACCACTTGATTTCCCAAAAAGTTCAAGTCTAAAGATCCAACCCAATAGCAGTCAAGAGCAGGTGCTTAAGGAACCCTCTTTCAGCGACAAAGATATGTCAAAGTAGGACTTGGACCCAACATCATGGGCTTCCTTTTGGCATCCTCGAAAAATTACACAGGCCTGAGGTGACAGTCCACCACTGCCCAGCCAACTACGAATCAGGCATGTTCCCTGTGGTCTTCTCTAATGAATCTCCGAAGGTCCGAAGCAAGAAATATAAATAAAGTGGACACACAACAAGCAAACACCGAAGCCGTCAGCTCATCGCAGCCAAAGTAGACATTGTCTTTGAGTGGAGTGCCCGAATATGTCCTCAAAGGGCATCAAAGAACAAACTCATCTGTTTCTTGGGTTTTCACTTTCATGCTGTTGGGGCGGTCCCCTTCTTGCTAAGACATACTCTCCTTCTCACATGGAAGCTCCCACCCCTTTGGAAGACTGTCCATTTCTTGGCCAACTTCCATAGTCTCAAAGGCATAATGTTAACCCCGTATTGATAAACCCCTGGTTGATCTTGATCGGGGTGTGTCCCACTTTTAGTTGTTGGATTCAGACCACTTTCGGAGGGAACCCCCCTAATGGGACGGGCTTATTAATCCTGGGTCCACATTTTCCCTCCAAAATTGATGAATCCCCACTAAAAGGGGACACCCATCAAGATCAACCAGGGGTCTATACGGTATATTCATCTGGGGTCAACATTCGTCTCAAAGGCACACGCGGCTTAGCGAGGCGCCCAGCCTTCGGCTTCTTGGCCAGCGCCCGTGCGATGGCCACCCGTTGGCGCTGGCCCCCCGACAAGGTGCCGCCTTCGGAGGGAGCGGCTCAGCTGCGTTTGGGCGCTCCCCGAAAATATCTGCTGGGCACTCACCCAAAAGCCAGAACGAAAGAAAGAAAGAAGGAAACAAAGAAAGAAACAAAGAAAGAACGAAAGAAAGAAAGAACAAATCTCATGGGATTGGTTGATCCTTCAAATACGGCTTGTCCTCTGGGCGTCTTTGTTTGAAGCAACGTCGCTCTTAATGGAAACTTCTCACAGCCAAATGTCTGCGCCCTCGCTGCTCCCTCGTAGGACGTGGGGCAAATGATAAGCCGCCCACGGATTTCAAACAATTCGTTGCCCTAACTCCCGTAGAAACTTACAAAACCCCGCACAAACGAAGATGCCAAACAAAAACACCGATTGTAAAGTCCGTACGCGGCTTTGGGTGCCATCCCAGAACTCCTTACCGGGGGCCACACCCGGCCTGCCGCGCCGATGTTGGTTTCCAGGCCCTCCGGCAGAGCCGACAGCGTATCCAAGATCTGGGCCATGCGCGCCGCCTCGATGGCGTCCTCGTCGCTGATCTCGGCCCCGGCCTGCGGGCTGCGACCCAAGTCCCCCGGAGCTGCCCCAGATTCAGAGCTCCAACGGAGGTGTGCCCGATGCTTTCCTGAGTGAGCGGTTCTGCAAAGCTTGCAAGTAAAGAACGGTGCGACGGCCGGAAAATTGGCCCTCTAGCTTTGGTAAGCATGCCTGTTTGGGCCGCCCAGCAAACAAATGGGACCAAGGGTTGGCTGCTGCTCTTTTGTACAGTTTGTATGGAACTATGATCTGCCTCTGTTTTCCCATGTCCTGGCAGCACAGAGGTGACTGGAACCTAATTTCGCAATGTGTCCTCCCTAGACATGCGCACGCACAATGTTTACAAAAAGTCTCGCACGAGAAGATCACGGAGGTTCCGGGCAAACCTGGGGAGGGTATACAAGAGCCTGTTCCGGGCACTTAGGTGGGGTTATTGCAAAGGATGGCACCAGAGGGAGGTTTGCGAGTTGGAAGGAGGGCATCTACCCTGCGACCAACTTGCAACGCCCAACTTGTTTTCACTACGCAGTTCACGTTCAGTTCAGTGGACGGGCCAATATGAAGAAGCTCCGGGGCGCCAAACATGTGCCGGCCACGTAAGCAGATTGCAACAAATTGGACAACCAAGATTGGGAGACATATAACGCTGACAAAAAAAAAAAAAAAACACACCAAACCCAGAAACTCAACCCCAGCAACCACCAAGCAAGCCTTTTCACAGCTTGAACCCCGGCAGCCAGCAACAGCACCCCCAAGCAACCCCAGCAACCCGAGCTCCTTGATGTTCTCCATGGCGCTGGTGGCAAAGAGCACCGGGTGCTGGCCCACGTATCCCAGCTTCCTGGGCAAGTCTTGTACTGAAATCCGGGCTCCTTTTGCATGCTTTTTTGGGGCAAGTTGCAAGCAAGAAACGAAAAAACTGATCCCAAATGAGTGGTTCATTCAAGAACAGGTACAACTATCCCAAATGACAGGTTCATGACCAGGTCTGCAACAAGGAACCCCCCAAGTGGGGGGACCTTGGACTTTCGCTTCTCGTTTTGCCTCCCAATCCGTCGGAGCTTCTGGCGCCAGCTCCGCACCGGCCAGGAGCGCAAAGGCCGGCCGTTCACCATGATCTCCCCCTGGATCGGGTCGTAGAAGCCTGAGGCGTCCAAAACGAATTAGTTGTCCGATCCCCCGGCGTCCTGCTTTCCAGGCACAAAAACCGACCAGCCCCCAGCCCACGGACTCACCCGCTGCGTTTATATGCGCAGTTCTTCAACTGCGCCACATGCGGGGCGAGTGGCTCCGGAAGCCAGCCCCATTCTTTCATTTTATCTGGGTTGTTCGGAATGGAGTCCCGGATCCCCACCAGCAACCCGTGGTGGGCCACAGCTACAACAAGGAACCACAACCCTCCAGCCAGAAAAACGAAACTTGACTTTCAACCTCTAGTCACCCCTTGAAAGGGAAACAAAAGGAGGCTGTTTTTACCCAATTAATCGGCTTGTTTCCACATGTTGAAGCCAGGGTAAAATCGCCCGAGCCGATGACTTCCGGGCCACGCTCCAGCATCTGGATGGTGGTGCTCTTGCCGCACCCGCTCTCCCCGACGAAGGCCACCTTCTGGCCCTGGGTGATGAAGAAGCTGAGCTGGTTCAAGATCGCCTTCTCCGGCCTCTCTCAAAGAGAAAGCCCCAAACTGATGGCCGTTCCGAACCCCAGCCCAACCTGGAAACCCTGGAAGGGAAGGGAAGGAAGATAAGAAGAAGATCCCAGTCCCCGGTGGTCCCACCCAACCCAAGGGAAGGTAAGGAATCCCAACACCAGGAGAAGCGCAAAGCCCAAAGGCCCATGAAATGCAGGGCCTGCCTAGCCCCACGGCCGTATGCCAGGCCAAAACCAGAAGGGAGAAGGGGAAACCGACCAAACCACCGACTGCAAGAAAGCGAACAACTGTTCTTCAGTTGCTTGACCCCTGCTTGATCCAGGCTCATCAAATGGCTGTCAAAGGTAAGCAGCTTTTTAACGAGTCTGTTGGGAAGGGGCTTGGATAGGTCCACGTCTCCCTCCACGTGTATCAACCTTTCTGTGCATCAGCTTGTATTCTGGAGTCAAGAATCAAGTCACGGAGGCCACAAACATCAAGGATTTTCCTCTGAAGCTGTCAGGGCCCTAGCACTGGCGGATGAGGCAGCGGCCAGAAACAAGGCCGCTTGATGGAGCAGGGCTGCCTCCGTTTGCCCGAAAAAAATCCAAACGGCCAAAGAACCGAACCCAACGAACCAAGCAATCCACGAGGTTGTGCATCCTGCGGTACCATTGCCCTGGCGCCCTGGCCGTGGGCCGCGCCTGCTGGGGTAATTGAAGCAAACGCCGCGGAACTCGATGGATTGGATCTCCGCCAGCCCAGGGATCTCCTCCTCAGGTGCCACATCATGGCGCCCCACAGCCATCCAATAAACCATGGCCCAGAAGATTGCAGTTGAAAGCTGAAAAAAGAAAGCCCCTGGGAGGTGGGAGGCTCAAAGCCTCCCTCCTTCCAGTTTACACCAAGTTTCTGACGTGCCAGCCAGCCGTTGGCGAGAAAAAAATACATGTGACTCCCCTCAGCTTAGATTGCAGTCCAAAAGAATGCTCAAGGCTACCCGAACGGTATTCAGAAAGGTTAGAACCATAGGCAGAACACCATGGGGAAACCTAGCAGGAGCATAGGAAACTCTTGGAAAGACGGCATCGAACCGGGTTCTTCTTTTGACACGACACTGCTTTGTCAGGGGATCCTCTAAATTGGCTTCTGGAGCGTGATTTCTCGGCCCAACTGCACCCTTCATCACGGGCACCCGCCATGGCCTCAGCAAAAAAATCGGCCCGCACTGGTTCGGTGATGGTGAACCTTGCCAAACACGAACTTAGAGCAAAGATGAAACGAGTTCCCTCAGGAGATCCAGCTTGGGGGAGAGTCTTCGCTCGAGGGCCACAGCTTTTCTTCGTTCCGTTCTCCTGGTGGAAGTCCCCAGGCTCGATGCTCCGGTCCTGGCACTAGGCAGGAATTTGCCTAGAAAAAATATCCCGAAAACCGACCCACAAACTGTTGCTCACCTGCTGAATTGACGATCCGGCCGAGAAAAGTTCCACAAACTGTTTGGACCTTGGCTCGAATGAAGAAATATGCCAGAAGTCTAAAGCTCGCCGACTCGCCAGGTCGGCTGAAAGTAGAAGGCACAGTGTTCGGTTTTGTCGCCTTTGCTTACGAGGAAATCTTGCCATCTACTTTCACCCTGGTGGCCTTGTCCTGGGCCCCCACCCTTACCCGCGGGAGTCTATGTGGTGGCTCGACCCATTTCGCCAGTTGCAATCAGAGCTGGGATTTTTGGGTGGCCTGATTGAGAAAGAGCAAATCTTGATTGCAGGTGAAGTATGCCCATTTTGGGTTTGCAAGTAGGACATTAGCGCCCGGGATTGCACTGTTTTGTGTGCGCGGGGTGCGCTGTGCGATTTGGCCTTTGCTGGTGTGCGTCGTGACCTGCGGAGGTTTCCTCCTGCTCACTACATAGGGGTTGTCACCCCACCAGTCCTTGGCTCCGTGTCAGGTTGGCACCTATCAGTTGCACAACAGTGCGACCCCAGTTTGGAGGGCACATGGGTGTTGTTGTATCCCCTGCACTTTGCACACCAGCTCCAAGCGAGGATTCTCCCCACGCGCGTGCCCGCAAGGGCTAGGTCTTGGGCGAGGTTTGAGTTGCGGCTTGGCTAAGGGTATGCTTTGAGCGTGTGGGTTTAGGGGTGGGGCTTCAGCCTCGCCTTGTAGCGGATCATCTTTGACTACGTGCGTTCCTCTATATAGTGCGAGTGTTTAGGGGGGCGGTTTGGCACAAACGGGTTGGCTGCGGCATTTGGCAAGAAGATATTTGGTTAGCTTCGGCTTTTTCCACCCTTCCTGAAGTGCTCAATTTTGGAGTCCGTTGGCTTCCTTCTAAGTTCTGTGGGTTTCGGCCATTTTCCTCTCCCCCACCTAGCCCCCACCCCGCCCCCACCAGCCCCCACCAGCCCCCACCCCACCCCCCCTTCCCCCCCAGCCCCCACCCCACCCCCCCCTTCTCACCCACCCCCCCTTCTCACCCACCCCCCCCCTCACCCACCCACCCCCCGCTCACCTTGTAGCGGATGATCTGCTTCAGCGCCTTGGCGGCGATCACCGCCTTGGCCAGCGCCGGCGCGAAGCCCGCGAAGGAGCTGACCCCCGTCATCCCCGTGATCAAGGCGATCAGCACGATGATCACCTGACGCCAGCGACGCCAGCGACCGGAGAAAAAATAAAAGGACATCCCCTGGATCGCCAGTTGCTGCTTTTTTACATGCACTTTACCCCAAAAAACCCAGCAACAGTGACTGAAAAAAGCGGCAACTTGGCTATCTAGGCCTCTGGTATTTGGTGGGTCGTTGGCCGATGTCCTGTAGGAGTTGGTGGTTTGGAGCCCGGTGGGTTGGACTTGTTCCTTGGCTACCGCAACCCCAGTTGGTCTCAAAAGGAACGGGGGGTCAAATCCCAAATCACACCTTTCAAGCAGCCAGCGACAACACGTATAAAAAACACCGGACATCCTCTGGTTTTGGTTGGTATTTGGCAAATGTCCTGTTGATCACCAGGCTCCACAACCCCCCGAAAGCAAAGGTCCGACGTTAACGGCCCCATGCCCCAAAGGCAACTGTCGTAGGTGTGCTTTTGAGAAAATAGATGGCCCTGGCAAATGGAACAACGCCAATCTAAACCAGCGCCCATCTATTTCTACCCAAGCCGTGGAAGCTTGGCGGTTTGGCGTTGTGGTTTGCTGCGGGGGTTCCGATTTACCCGGGCTCAAATCTCCAAACGTCGCCGTTTCCGGCGCTCGTTTGGCAAATGGCGCCAAGCCGCGTCCCCGCCCTCCAAGGCTTCCCGGTTCTCGGCGGGCGCCAGCAGTATGTGGCCGCCAAACCACAAAGTCAAGGCGTAGAGGCAGGCGTAAGCGAAATTCCTGGGTGGACGCAAGCCCGAACCCCACCCGCCATTTTAGGGCGCTAATGTCTCATTTCCCGGCCTGCTTGGATGGTCAACCCAAGTAAGGCAAGCAGGTTACATTGATGGATGTAAATGAGACATCCGAAACTGGTGGACTTACAAGCAAAATTCCTGGGGACAGCTTCCGCATTCGAAGTCCTGAAATTGCCGCATTTGCCGCATTTGTTCTTGCGCGGGAGCTGTGACCCAGCGCCAACCCTGTTTTGTTGCCTCTGCTTCCAGAGCCATGTCCGTCTGTCAGGCTGAATAAACTTCAGAAAACCCACTCCAAAACCAGCACACACAAACCTGCCTAACCTCTCCAACCCACCCAACTCCCCCCCACCTCCCCCCCTCCCCCCCCCCCTCCACCCCTTGCACCCCTTGCGCCCCTTGCGCCCGAGGCGCTGGGCGGCCCAGAAGATCCCGATCCGCACCCCGCTCCGCACGCCGCCCCGCTGGGCCGTGAGCAGCTCCCGCTCGAAGCGCCGCTGCTGCGACAGCTCCGCGCCGAAGGCCGCCACGGTGCGCACCGCCATCAACGACTCCTACGGCCGGAGGGCCGGATGGCCGGAGGGCCGGAGGGCCGGAGGGCCGGATGGCCGGATGGCTGGGGTTGACCTGAGATATGGCTATGCGGATGGACGAACAGTCCGGTCGCACCACGAAATGAAACCGTGGGTGAAACCATAATCCTCAAAAGAGGGGGGGGGCAAAATAGCCCAACCAATCAAAGGGTGATTCTTCTTTCAGCCCTGTTTTCGACCTTTAAATTGGGGAGGAAGCATCAATGTCCCGACCTGCCGATGGGGTTTGGAGACATCCACTTTTGGAGGAACTTCAACGGTAGAAAGCAGCCCGAAGGGGAATTCCCGGATACCCGTGGACGAAGGACCAAGACCATTCTGAAGCATCGGGTTTGAAGGCTTTGCCACCAAAAGTCTGGAAGGCATATGAAACCACATCCCTACAACCCGAGATTCCGTTGGTTGCGCATTTTCCCGGTTCAACCGCAACCCAAGGCTAGCCCTCGCTTGAAGTCCGGCACCGCAACGGCCCCCACTCCTCTGCCACACCGCCTGCCCTCGCGAAGTCTTCCGCCTGCCCGGGCTCCACGAGCGAACTATGCCTATCCTTATGCACAGCGTGCTGCGTACCTATGCGCCTTTAAGATTGCAGAAAGATACTTGAGAGATCTGCGTACAGTTATTGAAAGTTTGTTTTGGTGTTTTTGTTCTATCTATCTCCCAGTAAATGGGCGAGGGAGAAAAAACACATGCGCGAGTCAGATTTTGGATCATGAAACGCCGCCAGGTGCACAAAGGGTGCAACAATCCCGAACACATGCATGAAAATTAACAAGTGGCAAAAACTACTCTTGCACACTCTATTTCCAGAGGGGAAATGTCTATTTGTAAGAGCTCCCTTGGGATTCAAGATTTGAATCAGGGGACAACTTCTCAACATCCGCCTTCAACCATTAGAGCAAAAAACACGACTTCATCAGCTATCCCCAAAGGGTTGGGTATTCCATTTTGTGTGGTCCGTGTCTATACTAGGTCTCACCGGGACATGGGAAGGCCCCAAGCGAGGCCGGGGATGCTGGGGATGCGACCGGCCAGCCAACCAACCAACCAGCCAGCCAGCCAGCCAGCAAGCCAGCCAACCAGCCACGGGGATCCCCATTCCCGGTCCTCGCAAATGCCGCGCAACGAAAGGCCTGGTTTGGCAAACCACAGTGGTGCCTAGAATCCTAGAAAAAGGCCCACCTCCCCCCCCCCCGGCATACCAAAAAAAAGATGATCCCGGCCTGTTGGGTCATCTGGCGCTCGATCTGCTTGGAGAGCCCGTGGCCCGCGCAAATCAACACCGGCATGGCGGAGATCACGATGAGCGTGAGCTGCCAGCCGTGCACGAAGGCCAAGGCCAGCCCGCTCACGAACTGCCCCACGCTGGAGATCAGGAAGCCTCAACACCGAAGACAGTCTCTCAGTCTGAAGCCACAAGTCTTACATGGTCAACCTGAGTGCCAAATGCCAGTTGCCAGTTGGCGATGGAAAAGGTGATGTTGCAAAGTGGCAACAGGTCCTGAGGTGCCCTGCAGTTCGCAAGCCCCAATGCCAGACTTCGCTCTCGCGGGACATGGACGTCGCTAACTGAGTGAAACCACACTGACACCCTTCCAGCAGTGTTCAGACAAGCCTTGCACCAAAACAAAGCCGAGGACAGTAGGGAAGGGAGCCTCATCCTCACCCAGCAAGGAGGGATAAGAGTTAGGTAAGGCCATGCGCAACTTTTTTCGGACTCAAAAGTCTAGGGTCCACCCTAGGTTTTTTGCATTTTTTGAATAAGCGCCCCAAAACAGCCATTTTAAAACATGTTTTGAAACAGTCTAAACACATTTTGATAAATATTTTTTTAGTACAGCATACCAAAACGAAAATTGAATTATTTTTTGAAAAATTCAATACACCTAAACATTTTCATGTTCAAAAACACACATTTTCCAAAATATTTTAGAAAATATATTTTTCAAAAGAGATAAATAGAAATAGCATTTTAAGAAGAATTATTCAATAAGAAACAACATTTTCAATAATTCAATGAGGAGACTTAATAATTAATCATTTTTCAAATTTTGGATATTCCGGAGTTGCGCATGGCCCACCTTGTGGGATTTTATCTTCAATATATAAAACGCTATACTTACATTATAATTATAACATATAAGGGTATAAATGTTATAATCATAGTATGGTGATAATTTTAGATATTACTTATTCAAATAATACATATACTCCATCATCATTTTTTGTAATTTTATAAAACTCTAATGTTTGTTGCTTTGGTTGTTTGATTTTTCCTGCATTCAACATATCACAATATTTCTTTTGCTTTGTAGGGTAGTCGCCCGATGGTCTTCCTATAGATTTTGCTTGAAAAATATTATCGATGTTTTCCTTCTCTTCAGTGCTTTGTTGTTCGCGTTCAACTGGTTTAAGTTTTTCAATGGATTTAATCATATCATTTAAAATTTTAATATGTTTACTAATTAATGTTATCTTCTTCATTAAATCATTAATAGTATAACTTTCATTTTCAGACATTACTATATATTTAGTTAGATAATTACTTATTTAATTATATACTTATAAAGTGCAATTATGTTAAATCTACTCTTTAAATACTAATTTTTCATCATTTGTTTAATAGTTTCCTGTGTTTCATTATCACCATTTTCCGAGAGTGATGCATCCTTACCCCATTTAAAAGTTATATTATGAACATCCGTTTCCAGATTTATACTGTCTTTAGTTTTATCAATATTCATTTTCTTATCATTTTTACTTATTTTGAAACTTGTTGGAATACATGAACATTTACAATTTTTATTATTTTTTATTTCTAATTCATTTTTCATTTCTAACATCTTTTTACACATTGGACAAGAAAACTCAATTACTGCTGTTTCTTTAACAATTTCTCCGCTATCTTCATCTGTTGAAGAAACACTTAAACCTGTCTTAGTTTTGTTTTCTTTTTCTTTTTCACCATTTATATTAATATTTACATTTTTATTTTTGATATATTGTATCACAAACTTAATTAATTCTAATGAATAATAACAGCATTTTTAATTTTATTGTCAGTTATTATTACTTGTTCTATATTCTCTACTTCATCTATTATATTAATATAATCTGAATAACTCCTATTCATATAAATAATAAGATAAAATAGTTATTTAATCTTATTATTTTCATGCATGATAGAATATTCGGAGGGCACAGCACTTGGGGTTTTCTTTACAACGCATCAAACTAATTAGCTTCAATGCGTATTGATTGAAACAATGGAAAGCCTGTTCCATTTTTTATGGTATTCACTGCCAGCACATCATAAAAAAAGATGTTCCATTTAATATTAATTACAAGTTAATTTCTAAATATAATTTTCTAAATATCTTTAATATTAACTATATGACAGATGTTCCAATAATAAAACCAATAAACATAACTGAATATGAATTCAAGCAATCCAAATATGAGCACGTGCCAAAATTACCATCTAGAAGTATTATAGTTGCTTCTTCGACAGGCGGTAAGACTGTCCTTATTCAAAATCTAATATTGAATGTTTATAGAAATTCATTTGCAAGAATATTTATATTTTCACCCAGTGTCCATAACGACCCTACATTTACAGAAGTGAAAAAAATATATCAGGGACGAATTGCACGTGGATGATGAAAAAGAACAAATTTATTTTGATAATTATAATCCAAGTGATTTAGAAAATGTATGAAAGACAGAAGAAAATAATTAATTATATGAAGTCTAAAAAAATACAGAAACTACATTCAATATTAATCGTTATAGATGACCACGCAGACGACCCTAAATTTGTTAGATAGAGTAAATTATTACACGGACTTTTTACAAGAGGCAGGCACGATGCAGTAAGTGTGATTTGTTCAACACAAAAATACAATGTTTTAGCGCCTATCATTCGTTTAAATGCCAGTTCATTAAATATTTTTAGGTTGAAAAATGCCAGTGAATTAATGAGTTTTATTGAAGAAAATAGTGCCATTGTTGACAAACAGCAATTATTAGATATGTATCATCAAGCCGCTAATTTTGCTCCATATTCTTTTTTCTACGTGAATATGAATTCAAAAGACATTAACAAAATGGTTCATATCAATTTTGAACAGGCATTTCAAATTACAAATGATGAATAAAGATATTCTAACTTAATATAATATAATAATATGCCAATGAAACTATGTAGATGTGGTGGATTTTATCGTAGGGGTAATTATAATTTTCATACTAATTCTTGGATGCATAAACTTTATAAGGCATTGAAGAGGAGGGCAACGGACGAGGAATTATTAAGATTTCAAAATAATTTTGTTGATGAAGAAGATTTAATAGATGAAACAAATAGCACTGTTTCAACATCAACGCAAAAACGTGAAAGAAGTTGTATAAGCAATTAATAATATTAATTTGTTTTAATATTATTAATTTAAAATAAAGAATAACTACATAAATTCAAAGCAGGTAATTTATAATATATTTTATCTTTTTTACATTCATTAACTTTTTCTAATTTATTTATTATTGCTTTCAATGAATTTATTTGTAGAATATCAATTCTTGACATTTCACTTATCGTATTTACATCTATATCTTTTATTACTTTAATAGCCTCTTCATCATCAATTTCTACTGGTTTTGATTTACTTGAACCCATTATATATAATATTATTTAGATTTTAATTTTTCAAAATTGAAATGTTGGTTTTCTTCTTCTTCTTCGTCTTCAGTTGGTGCTGGTATTTCTGTTGGACTTTCAGATGAAGAACTATGAACAGTAATAGGTGGAGAACTATGAACACTAATAGCTTCATTTGATGAATTGCTACTGCTACTTTGTGCATTTCCTGCTGTTATCTGATTAACTAAATCTGCGATATTTATTGTTGTTGCAATTGCGCTATGTGATAAGTTTAATATTATATCTGCTACTGTAGCGCCGTTGTGTAGCATGATTTCTATCATTTTTGTCAGTTTGAACTTCTTTTCTTCTTCATCGCTGTTATCCTCGTCTGGTGGTTTCTTTGGCGGTGGTTCTGGCGGTTTGTTGTTGTCAAGCATTTCAGTAAAGGCTGACACCATTGCGTCGCGTTGGTTTTTCAGTGTTTGTGTTGCTTGTGTTCTTGTTGGCTCATTTCTTTTGTATGTGTTGCGCCAAATTTTTTTAAGCATTATTTGAAACATATTGTCCTGGTTTTCCTTTACCTTAAACGCTTCAAATGTCACATTTAATGGTTGATTTGCATCATTGTATAACTTTTCTTGCGTCTCTCTGGTTGCTGTAGCAATAGTATCTGTGTTGGTTGCAATGTCAACAAATTCTCTCGGTATGCCCTTTTTCATCATTTTCGGTGGTTGTATTGTTGTTGAAGTGTTTGGTTTCATTAGGTTATGTATTGAAAAACTGTCGTCATCATATTAATCATTGAATTTCTGCTTCTTTCTTTTCAGTATATTTTTAGTTAATATTATCATTATTATTATTATTTATATTTTTGTTTCTTACCTTTGCCCTTAAAACTTGCCTTGAGTTCTTCTATTCTACCCTTGCTTAAATTTACTATCCCACCGCCATTATCAATAGTGTCTAAAATCATATCTGTTAAATATTCTTTGTATGTTCTCGCCTTGCCTCTGCCTTTGTGTTTCAATTCTTCTTGTATTTCGCTTTCTTCTGGCACTTGAATTCCTCTTAAATAAAATTGAAATTTAGTATCATTTACTGTTAAATTAGGGTTTTCTTTCCAGTAAACAGGACTAATATTATTATCTAGTGTTGTTTTAAATAATGGTGTCATTGGCAATGGTGGTGGTTGTTGGGCTGTTGAACTTGATGCTCCTGTTGCTTGTTGAACTGGTGTCGCGTAAAAATTGTCATCTACTGCTTGAGGTGATAGTTCAACATCTTCTACGCGCATTGTTTGCTGGTCGTCTGCTACTGCTCTACCTGCTGGCGCTTGTCGTGGTTCTGTTGGTGCTGATTGTCTGTTTGCCACCATTTTATGAAATAATGTTCCGCCCATCTCTCTTAAATTTGATGCCATCGCTCTGCCTACTTCTTCCGCTTTCCGCTTTGTTGCAGTTGCTATATCTTGTAATTGTGTATCTACCATTGCCTCGTGTTGTCTTGCCGTTTGTTGTGGTGTGGAAAAATCATATTCATCATTTATTGCATCAGCGTTTGCTTGGACTGGTGTTTCTGTATTCATTTTGTGAACTGCATAAGTATGCCCGTTTCTGCGTGCTTCTTGTTTCATCATTGCCTCTCTCATTTGTCTGTCTAATATTCTCATCTCTTGGTCTTTCAATAATTCTAAATGGTCGCTTCCATCAAAAAAACTACCCTGAGGACTTGCTTTGAAG